CAGATCTGTCGGTTGCTTGTCAAGGGTTTTGGGAAATATTTCCATGCCGACACCGCTGTCAGTAAAGGATCCAACAGGTGTTCCAGAATATCTCGATTCTGAACTGGAGTCTCGATAACTTGAGATGCCGCTCTGTTGACCTCTGAGTTCCGAATTCGTGAAGAGGCGAATGCAGCATTCTTCGAACATCAACTCGGTATCCCGGTCGAAGGTTTTGCGCAAGTCTCGCCTGTCTTGAGGAGTAAGTTTCTCCAACGCTTTGGTTTTCTGTAGCTCTTGTAGAATCATTCCGCCCCCGTTCAAGCAAACTTCTCTTCTCAACAAACATATCTCTTCAGAGAGAGAATAGTCTAGGTATGGAGACACGGGTTGCGGCTGCCAAGGAAATAATATATTCCATATGGCAAACCATTGATATCTTCACTTTTGGGTTCTTTTGATTTTTTCGACAGACTTTTCGAGATCTCAGGTACGATTCCCTTAAACCGAAGAGTTCTGCCAGGAGGGGCAAGCTGGCAATCGAAGCCATCTGCTCGTGGAGCGTGTTGGTCAAGATGTCTTTTGTCAGGAAAGACTTCTAAGCAGCATCTGCAGTAAAAGTGAAGCATATGCCTTCTGTTGAGATGCTGCTTCACATCCCCGATTCTTGATAACTTGTACTTGATGCATCTGGTATGCTTCCTGGGCTCAAGTACCCAAAATGGACAAGCAAACGATCGAGGCGAAGCTGATTCTAACTTTGACGACTTGTTGCTTCGTTTATTTTGTTCGTCTTCGTCAGAATCCGGATCGTCGTTTCGGTCTCTCCTTCTTTTCATAGTATTTCTTCCTCCTGAGGTAGAGGTTTCCGATTGTTCAGATGGCAAGAACAACGCCGTGCTAGCGAATGCGTCACCATCAGTAGAGGCTTGACCTCCAGCAACAGATCGGAACCCTGAAGATGGCCGAGCGATCATAATCCGATTAATCACAGCCTCTAAGGTGGCGGGGATCGGGCTGTCATCGTCCCACGACTCTGTCGACCCAGACGACTCAGATGATGGAAGCCAATCAGAATCGAAGGACGATTCTGAACACTCCGCCTGCTCCAAATTGGCTAGGTCTAGTTGACTCTCGACGTGGAGAAGAGCCTTGTCCATGGAAAAGTCGCTAAATTCGGCCGAATCCGCCGAATACTCAGTGTCATCTGAATCTTCCTCTATGTCAACTTCTTTGCATGTGAAAGAGGCAGCAACGATAGAGGAGGAGTCACGAATCAAGTCTGGGAAACGGCCAAACGATATTTCAGGGGTTCGGCCTTTGTTCAGGACAGGTTAGAAACTATGATGGATAATAGGTGAACCGGAACCTACCTTGGTTACTACACCGTTCCACGAAGTGACGACCAGAGAGCAGTTTTCTTGCACTGTAAGCATCGTCTTTGGCATCGAACTCGCGGCTATTTTGTGGGCCGCAGCGGCAAATCTGTCCGGGGCTCTGAGTTTCATGCCAGATATAAAACCCATTTTCCTGTTGGACCAGCGATAGAGGCGTTGTAGATGGGATCTTTGCACCCCAACGGTTCATGTCGATTGGGTGAGGCTGCCACGACTGGAGCAGGAATTCGGGGGAGATTTCGAATCCGTGGCATTCTTCTGGACGTCGTAAAATGGGGTAGCCTGCAACTATTACAAGTCCTTGTGGGAACATCAATTCCAATTGCCTGTGATTTATGGGTAGTATGTGGTTGACAGCGCTTAACTTTACATCAAAACATTGATCTGCTTGGCGCCCCAGGCATTGTTGCATTGATTCCCAAAGCTGATCCTGGGAAGAATCGATCACATTGACTGGATCGGCGATAGTAGGCGTTTGCTGAATATCTAGACGCACACTGGGACTCTGTAGTGCCGCATGCAACCAAGCTAGTTGTTCTGCGCATTCGATAATCGTATGGAAGGGCCCTGAAACACCCACAACTAGGTGGCCGTGTTCAGCGGAAGCGACTACACGTGTGCCGTCCGGCAAGTTGGCTATAAAACTTTGAGTAAATAACATCTCGTTCCTGAACCGTGTGCAAAACCACTTACTGACAAACACTTCAGCGTTGTTTTCAGTAGCCCGTATCAAGCTGAGGATTTGATACCAGGTCAATGGCCAGGTCTGTGCCATGTACTCTTCGATGGAGATCGCCTGTAATTTGCCGCCGCAACATGCGACAACCATCGAGTCGAACGATCTTGAAGTACTATTCTTGACACCGGATTCTTTGTGTTCAAAGAGGGCCCAATTCAAGATTCTCATCTTGATCGTATGTCTTTGTAGGGGCAGGAACCAGCTGGTGCTTCTTCTGGTGAGACTTTGGAGAAACTTCTGCCGGAATTTGACCCTAGAGCTCGAACCTTCAAGCTCTGCCTGGTCTTGTAGCACCTCTTCGTTTCTTAAACTCTGGAGGGGCCTCCTGAATGACCTGCTCTCTGAAATGGTGCTTGCGTACGTTGGTAGGCCAATATCGGTCATTTCTTCATCGCCGTCGTCGTCGCCCCCCCTAGAATGGTCAGCATGATCAATTCCACCAGAATTACTGGGGAAACCTTACAGTTACATCTTCTCGTCCATCGTGTTCACTTTGCTTCCGCCTTCCCGCTCACACTCACTACCGGTTCCGAATCCAAGAGCATCGTTGGAAAGTTCATGAACAATTCTTCTATCGCGGGAGTTTTTGACGCTCCAGCTTATTTCATGACCAACCTCTGTATTGTCGAGAGGATGAGTGGGAGAGTGACGCTGGTTCGAAAGAATGCTGCGGCGAGGCTTGGAACCGATAAATACAGAGCCGCTCGTTTGTGCTGCGTTTGGGCGGGGGAGAAGAGCTTTATTCCTTTGCGGCGCGCGGAACACGGCGTCGCTCTCGGCGGCATCCTTAACGTAGCCATGGCACTTGATATCGGCCTTTGCGCACCGATTACATGCAGGCTTGCCCTCGTCGCACTTGACTCGCCGGATCTGACAGGTGATGCAACCCGATCTGACCTTTGGCTTTGAAGCGTGTTTCTTTCGGGGCGGAGGCGCCGGAGCGAGCAGAGTTTGACCGTGACCATTTGCCGCCGACTGAGGAGAAGACGAGATTGCAAGAGGCGGAGGTTTTGATGATAGGAAAGAACTCACAACCGGGCACCCATGACCCAACAGCTCAGGAGAATCCGAGAGAGATTCGTCCTTCGCTGTTATGGTTGTGAATGGTTTTAGGGCCGCTGGGATGGAATACATGGAACCAATGGTCAGCAACCTCGGACTACACCGATAAAGTGGTATTTTCGACAGGAGCATTCAACTCCAGCTACCACTTGCCGATTGACTTCTCCGAGCTTCGCGATGTTGAAAGGGGGGAAAGCTGACAAGAAGGTTTGCCTGCAACGAGGATGCGCACTGATGCCTAAAAGGCAACGACGGGGCGGCGCAGCAGAAGGCGTCCCCTTCTCATTCCAACGATGAGTGAGACACACGTCTGTGAACAACCACCAATCAAATCGAATGACACAGCCGTGTTTTACACACCAGTGATGGATTCTGTGTTCTGCGCCATGCGTGTTGGGTGGTGTACCAGTGTGATGGTGATATTGACCGCTCAGTGTTGTTGAAAGTCCGTGTTGATGCCACGATGCAATGAACAGTGGCCTCATCCGTATGAATCGTGATATTTGTCAAAGTAATAAAAGGACTCTGAGGAAGACGCCAATGATCTGAAGAGGCTTCAGTTGTATACCATTTCATAGCCTCGACATCTTCAAGAGCTTTTAACGTGAGAAGTCTTCCATAAGCCCTGTCTGAAAAGGCGCAATTTTCCAGAGAACAATGCGATCCCATTCGAACGTTTCGGTGGCCACAACCGGCAGCAGCAGGTCAATTGAACATCCAATCCCGGAAGCGCTTGGCCATGGGCTTTTACTGACCAATGAGACAGTCGCAGAAACAAGACACCTGCCGTGATGCTCGAAGAATACCTCTCTAGCGCTCCAACCGTCACCGAAAGCATTGCCCGCGGCAAAACAACAAAGGATAGGATGAAGAAGATGCATCGCGGTCTTGAGAAGTGGCAAAAGGATTGGAACACCATGGGACACGCGCAGAATGGAAAATGAGATCATGGCCTAGGAATCGGGTATCGCTATATGCGGAGCGTCTACCCGCATCGTGTGGTACTGTGTCATGCCTGTTTTCCACTGGGTTGAGAGACCAGGAAATTAGAGATGTCTGAAATTGTTCATATATTCTTACGACACTCCAGCATGCTGGGTTCAAGAACAGTATTAACCGAGCATGAGTGAAGAGCAGTGTCTTAGTCCAATAGACGTCAACTTCTGATCACACTTGCACCACGCGTGGCAAGGTTCAAAGTTGCTCGAACTGGCAACTAGAATCAATTAAGCGTTTTCGGGCGCTCAGGTCCCTAGTTCATCTGATTCGCCGGCCGTTTGTGGGGAAGATCGGATCGATGATGGCTCGATGACCAGTCCAAGCACTCCCGTCAGGGGCACACCATCTCCATAGTCCTGTCAAATGCTGGATATGACCCTGAAATGATCTCAGCAATTGCATATACAATGGTATATTCCTCATGGGACCCTTCGTCAAGCTATTTGAGCCAAGTCCGTTGTTATAATCCATCGTTCTCGCATTTCGTGCAGAACCTCAAACGGCCCCAAGAACAAAAGCTCAAGCCACAACCACACCAACCTCGTCCGTGCATCAAAACTCCCTTTGACACTCATCTGTGCCATTGCTTTTTCTAGATTGAGAATAACGGCATCATAGACATTTCTACCCTAAATCGAGCAGAACCCCTAAAAGTGATGTCATCACTACCCCATCACGGCCTCCGTCCATCAACCATATTCCTTTCCTCAAAAGCGACAACATCTCACCAATTCAAAGTCCCAATCGCATCCCCAATTTATCATAATACCAAATCACCAATCCCCTTCACTCCCACCCATCACCACTTCTCCACAACCTCCAAAATGGGCTCCAACTCCTTCGACCAAGACTGGAAAACCGCCGCCCCCTACCTGCCTTCCTCGCAAGCCGAAGTCGACGGCAAGCCCTTCGACAAGAAGATCCGCGGCGAGTGTCACTGCGGCCAGGTCTCCTACTGGCTCTCGCGCGACCGTCCGCTCGCCTCCAAGTTCTGCCACTGCCGCGACTGCCAGAAGATGCACGGCGCGCCCTTCCAGTGGGCCGCCATCTTCCACAAGACCGACCTCGCCTTCGACCGCGGCGTCGACGGCCTCGCGTTCTACAACTCGGGCTCCAAGAAGACCAATCACGACCTGCCATGCAAAGTATCGTGCGGCCACTGCGGGAGCCGGATCATGGACGAGGGGAGGAATATGGTGCTGTTGTTCCCGGGGTTGTTGCATTTTGATGAGGAGGAGAAGAGGGAGAAGTTTGATGTGCAGTGAGTGTCTTTGCCTCCCCACTCGATTGAGGTGATGAGCTGGGTGAGGCGATTTGAGATGCGGATGTGCTGACATGGTGTAGGATGCACATCTTTTATAAGCAGAGGGTGGTAGATTTACCTGACGGCAGACCGAAGTGGGCTGCCTTGGACGAGAAGAGCGAGCTGATGGACGAATTGCTCGACGATGAGAAAAGTGAAAAGATTTCTGTCTTCAAGGCGACTGAGTCCTCAGAATCGGCGAAAAGGAAACGAACGGCCTAACGTAGCAAAGACATCAACGGATGGTGGAAGCCCAATCTAAGCATTTGTTTCAATGAGTAGTAATGACAGTGTCTATGCCATCTCTACAGGATTTCCCTGTTCGTTTTGTAGCGTCAGGAACTTGGCAGAACTCTAACCGACTCCTTGCCGCCGATATCGCCATGTTGAATACATGGTTGAAAAACACGATTGACTTATGACCGCATTGCTTTACGCGTGCAACAAGTCGTCAAACTACATTTTCCAGTCGCTTTGTGACTCACTACGTTTAGAATGATCCCGTAGGTGGTGAATCAGTTCGAGGCTGTTCGTGTCTGGTCTTTTACAAGCCATACTGTAGTAAATCACAGCAAATTTTACAACAAACTCTGGCAACATCTCACGATAAAAAGATCGTGAAGAATCATCTTCCGCTGTTGTGTGACCATCTACGTCCATCCTTCATTACTTCACTTCACCACAGCAATGGCATACTCCGAGTCTCAATCCTCGACGACCAAAGGCGTTGCTGCCGTCCAGCTTCCTTTCACCAAGGAGCCGAACACCTGCGGCTTCATTGATTCTCCTACTTCTACACCGACGTAGGCCGTGTCTTGCCACTTGGGGTCCCCGTTACACGTACTAATCGCCTCACAGGATATCCCCAAAAGACCAGGCGTGGACATGTCCCGGGCCGTGCATATCGTCAAACTCATTCCTAGGCTGCCGCTCCCCTGTACCGACAAAATGCCTTGGGTCGTCCGCGGAGTCCATAGCGGGCGGCTGTAAAGAGGGCGAGCTGTGCTGGTGAGCAGGCAGATGTTGACCCTCTGTTGTGGTTCACGACGCTAACGTCCTAAACAGCAAATACCGACCCGATACCGCGTGCTACACCTGGCTCTCAACTGATGATGCATCAACATTCACCCTCTACGAATGCAGTTCCACAAGCGGCACAGGTAACCTTCTGGCATCTCCGACGGACCTGCCCGGCCCCACCTTAACCACCATCATCGACCCCACGTCCAAAATTCTGACGGGATCCAAGACACCATCGGCAGCAACCGCGAGTCCCCTCCCAACATCGACGCAGGAACCGCAGCAAGAAGCCTCAAAAGGTGCCATCGCAGCCAGCGTCGCAGGCGCCCTCGCGTTCCTCGGCCTCCTCGCAGGCGGGGTCGTGTACTTGTACATATGGAACAAGAAGAAGAAGAAGAAACGGGAGGGGTTCACGGGGCTCAATCGGAGGGGGAGCATGGCGATCTCGGGGCCGTACATGGTCAGCGGGTTACCGCCCAAGTTCCCGCCGCCGCCGTCTGCCCCACCGCGTCCGCCGATGAGCCCGGGGGTGTATGACATGGAAGTTTTTGATCAGGGGAGATGTACTTCATCGATGTATAGCACTGGGAATCACGTTGAGAGGGGCTCGGATGGGCTTGTGCCGCCGGCGTTGAATGTTCCTGGGAGGCCGAGTAGGGATGGGGAGGCTGTTAGTGGCGGGTGGATTTGAGAGGGACAGCTGTAAATTCATTTCTGTACTGAAAAGTGGCAGTTGCGTTATTTAGGTCGGTCGCGGTGACTCACGCCCGAAAATTCTCAATCATCCATCCCAAATCTTTCTGTGCTGTCTGGACGAAAATTGCTGGTGACGTGTGGTTGAGAATGGGACGAACATCGGCGGTGCGGCGGTTCCGACTCGGCGGGTGGTGATGTGTCAACGGGAGCGCGGGAGGGAAGGTCCTTGAACCGCCGGCGGGGGAGAGCGGGCACCGCTGAAGTCGCAGTGGTGCTTCAAGGGTAGGCCCTGCTCGGTTGCTGCTCCCGGGAGTGGACTGAGGGGGCATTTGATGGATCGTCGCTGCTTTACCTACAGAGTGGTATTGAATGGATTTCATGCAGGATGCATTAGGAGATGGAATTGAAGAGCCAGAAATTCGTTTGGAGGGAGAGAAATGCCCTAGTGAGTTCCGTGATGGCGGGTGACTTTAAGCGCAGGTCTCCCGCCTGATAGCCGGGCTCCCGAAAGCTTAGCGGGTGGTCCCGCGTATCACGGGCCTTACTTCCAGAGGGCATTATCGGACGTTTGAGCGCAGCAGCCGGCGCTGATTGTAAAAACTATTTTCTATGAGAGTGTTTGAGTGCATTTTTGATAAAAGTTAAGTCTCGGAAACGGCGGCGCCCAAAAGCAGCGGCCGGCGGGATGCATCCGTGGGATTCTCACAGTGAGACAACACGCTGCGTGGCCAGCGTCAGGTGGGTTAATAGCCGCCCTTTTTAAGGCAAAGCCCCTCACTCTCTCGCCCAGCCAAGGCATCCGTCCCAGTTGGCTGCCTGTCCTCCTCCACGAGTGTCATGCACCAGCACAACTCACCACTGCAGCATCTACACCATTGTAAGGGGTGACCCGGCACAGAGGGGCCAGGTCACGGGCGTGCCGATGCCGGTGGATAATCGCGATAACCTAAGCCAGTGGGGACGCTTAATCAGATGATCTGATAAGATCCTAAATTTCACGACTTTCCCACCCCCGAATCCTTCAGTACCATTTTCCCTCAACCCCTCGGAGCACCGAGCTGTCCCTCCCGAGGCACCTCACCTCGCCTTTTCTTTCCCACTTGCCGTGAGCCGCCCAGTCTTTGCGTCTGCGTCCCCTTGCAACTCGCTCCAGACATTTCCAACCAACCCCTCCAAAGGCATTTCGCATCATCACCATCGCCCAGCAGCAGCTCCCATATCACAGCGAGCCCCCGCCAACGGCCCGAGCGACCAGATGCGAAGCTCCCGACCGTGATGCGCGCACCGTGGTCATCGCCGTCCTCGGCGACCGGACGAGGCCCAGGACTCAATCTCACCGTCGTCGCCGCGACTGCGCTCCTCCTCGCCACCTCCGTCGCCGCCTCCACCGTATCCGTCGGCGGCCTCTGCTACGACGCCTGCGTCAACACCATCCGCCAGCCGCACTTCAACGACACCGCCCCGGCCAAGTCGAAGCTCCCGCAATCGTGCAAGAGCTTGCTGCACATCAAGTCGCTGTACCTCTGCACCCATCTGCATTGCGACGCGCCGCACCGGGATGCTGGACTGGGCATGCAGAACGCGACATGTCAGCAGTACATGAACGTGTCGCTGCCGCCGTTGGAGATTATCGGAGGGTACTCGGAGGAGGAGATCAAGGGGCTGAGGAGGCTGACGAAGGAGGAGGGCACGGCGGAGACGGTCCTGGGAGAGGTTGTGCTGCCCGCGGAGCCGTTTTACCAGATCTGGTATGATTCTTTGGAATCGGTAGAGTATACCTACAGTCGGCATTATCGATATGGGTATGTGCATCACCTCGAGCCGATGAAGCACCGCTGACAAGATCCCAGATTCTATGTTATTGTCTTCTGGGTCATTGTGTGCGCTTTCGGTCTGGCGACCCGTCTTGTCGGAGCCATCGCCAGTCTCCAGCGCCAGGAATGGAACTCGGAGAAGAAGCCCAACGCGCTGCACTGGGCTGCGCTCTGGCTCAAGCGGTACATCACCATCCCGGCAACCTTTGGCTATCGCTGCTCGCAGAACCTGGGGTGGTGCACAATACCCCCGCGCATCCAGAGCATCACCATCTTCGCCTTCATCGCCGTCAACACGTGGTACTGTTGCTACGGCTATTCCCTCCTCCCGGGGCACATGTAGTAGGTCCACCCTTTCAACATCTCAGTACTATACTTACTCAAGAAGCTGGCCGGATATGTCGAAGCAGATAGGCCGCTACGTCGCCGACCGAACCGGCATCATCTCCTTTGCCAACTTCCCCATCATCTGGCTGTTTGGCATGAGGAATAACCTGCTCATGTGGGTGACCGGCTGGGACTTTGGCACATATAACAACTTCCACCGCTGGGTTGCTCGCGTTGCGACAGTCCAGGCTGTCATCCACACCGCTGCCTACGTTATGCTTATTCTGAGTGAGGGTGGCTGGACATACTTCCTCTGGTGGTTCACGCAAATGTTCTGGTGGGCCGGCTGGTTTGTAAGTACCCCCGCATCATCAACTCGTCCATCACTAACCCCCACAGGCAACCTTCGGCATGGTCTTCCTCCTCGTCGCCTCCGTCTTCTGGATGCGCCGCAAGCAGTACGAGCTCTTCCTCGTCCTCCACATCCTCCTCTCCATCCTCACCCTCGTCACCATGCTCGGCCACGTCTCCATCTTCAACCACCAGTTCGACATGCTCTTCTGGATCCCCTTCTACATCTGGGTCGCCGACCGCCTCCTCCGCATGTCCCGCACCCTCGCCTTCAACCTCAGGTTCTGGAACACCTTCGCCCTCGCAACCTACGACGCCACCTCCAACATCGTCCGCCTCAGCATCCCCTACCCCACCTCCTTCTACGAGCCCAAGCCCGGCACCTACTACTACCTCCACGTCCTCTCCGACAAGCGCGCCTGGGAGAGCCACCCCTTCACCATGGCCTGCACCACCCTCAACACCCACCACACCCGCAAGTTCTCCTCCGAACAGACCCCGCTCCTCGTCGCCTCCGACGACAACCCCGTCGAGCCCATGTCCGAGGTCGACCTGCACCCCCGCACCGGCACCCCCTCCATGACCTTCCTCATCCGCCCCTACGACAGCTTCACCGCCCGTCTCCGCGAGGCCGCCGCCGCCCCCTGGCCGCGCCCTGCCCGTCTCCGCGTCTTCGTCGAGGGCCCCTACGGCCACACCCAGCCCTTCTCCCAGTTCGACGACCTGCTCTTCGTCGTCGGCGGCAGCGGCGTCGTCGTCCCCCTAGCGCACCTCCAGCACCTCTGCCGCGCCGCCTCCCGCGCCCGCTCCGTCAAGATTGTCTGGGCCGTTCGCGAGCTGAGCTTCGCCGCCGACGTCCTCCGCCAGGACTTCGAGGACGCGCTGGACAGCGGCAAGTTGGCCGTGGATATCTACGTCACGCAGACGAGCCTCGCGACGAACGCCGTGCGGCCCGACGACTGGCCCGAGCACGTCAGGTTGATGTACGGACGCCCGGATGTGAGGGAGGAGGTGCAGGACGCCGCGACCGCGGCCGAGAAGAGCCGGCTTGCGGTCGTGGCGTGCGGGCCAAACGTCATGGCTGACGACGCGAGGAAGAGTGTCGTTGAGATGCTTGGACGGGGGTATTCCAGGATCGAGTACTTTCAGGAGAGCTTCAATTGGTAAGAGATGAGAATTAGATGATTAGACGGATAGCCAAGTCTTTTGGATCAGCGATGTTTTTTTAGCATAACCCTGGCGTTGGGCGGTTTGGTTACGGATACCATGATATTTATACACAATCTTACAACTAGATTATGAATTATCTCAACCATTTATGGTCATAATTCTCCCTAGACCTTTCGCCATGTCGTTATCCTTGTGGTCGTCCTCGTCGTCCACAATCACGATGTGGTCGAGCAACCAGACCTACCTGTCCGAATATTTGAACCTCTCAGCTTGGCGTCGGAACAACTAGCCCACCTCTGGACCTCCCACATCAATACTGATTCAAGAACGACAACCTACCCCACGCAGACAAGCTCTCGGGCAACGCTCCACGTCAATACCAAGTGCTCCTGTTGGTTGAATTCGCACAGGACTTATCCGGACACCATTTCACATGGCGCCACTCCTCCGTTTGCTGGTACGTTGACGGATCCATCGTCCTCAGCCAGTAACTCGAGGGCCTCCGTCTGTTGACATGCCCGTTTTCGTCCGTCGAGATCCTGGAGGTGGCGCCTATCGAGAACAGAGAGCCGCGCAAGTAGATGCTTCTGCCGTCTGACGTCCACTCGTAATGGTACAGGCAATGCCGACACACCTTGGAGTGGCACAGCATGCTCGCATAACCCGGCGATATCGGAAACCTGCCCACGCGCCTTTCGTCGGCCGTGTTCTTGGCTGCACAGCAAAGACACAACCATTCGTCTCTCTCGTCGCTCTTGTGGTACTCCAGCGACAAGGCCGACGGCTGTCTGAAGCAGACACACCGGTGCCAGTAAAACACCTTCATCAGCTTCTCCAAATCGAATGAGACGTGCGGGCACAGCAATCCCTCATGCCGCTGGTCGAATCGCTTGAGCGCTCTACGCATCACCTCCTTGGTGAGGATCTCCCCGCTCGACAAAGTGTGAACAGGCGCCTTCCATCCAAGCCTCAACTTTCCTGCGGCATCCCCCGTCCGCGAGGGTTCATAGGTGACTTCAGGGGCCTCGCCGTGTCGCCCGAACGCATCGGCGCACTCCCGGCAACGCACAACAGACCTCTTTCTGCTGGACTCTACGCCAATCCAGCCCTGGACACGTGGCCAAGAAAGCAGGGTATGCGGGCAGATCCGCAGCATACCTTCCCATCCGATGCAGATTCGATCTCGACGCTGTCGTTCAGCGGGGGAGAACCAGCTTGGATGGTGGGAGCACTTGCAAGCGGCGCATGCAACGTACCAGTCCCCCCGGGTGTAGAGCGGGTAGATGCCCTGCCTTTCCTGACTTCTACCAGCCAAACACCGCGCACAAAACGTCCGCCGTCGCAAAGCGTACCGGAGGCCATCCCGCTCCTCCACCCGCAGCCCATCCAAGTTGAACTCGGCCCCCGGGATGAAATGCGGACCAGGCGCCGTCTTGCCCCTGAGCCTCCGATAGGCGCGAAGCAGCCGGTGCACGCTCGGCTCCGCCGTCTTCGGGTCGATCACCGCGGTTTGCTGGTGGTACTCTGAAAACGCGGCGTAGCGGAAGAGCGCCGCGAAGAGGTGCGACACCTGCCGGACGAGGTAGAGGTCCGGCGGCGGGAGGCACTCCATGATCTCCAGCAGCAGCTCGTTGGGGAGGCGGAGCAAGGGGTTGGACGAGTAGTTCTCCAGCCGGCGGGTTTGCCATGCTGTGTCGTAGCCGGTGGGGATACTGGGGGGGCTGTGGGGGACGAGATCGCGACGGAAGCGGATGGTCGGGGAGGGGTCGGGGGTGGTTCCTTGGAGCTTGGCGAGGAGGCGGCGCATCGTCTTCATCGTCTTCTGTTTTGAAGGGTTGATGGGTAAGTGTTTTGGATATAGGAAAATATAAGCGGTTGAAGAACACACCTGAAGGCATTTGAGAACCCCTGTCGACTATCACTTTGTATCACATGGCTGAACAACCCGTTGGTTTCCATGTGAGCGGCCCTGCCGGTAAACTTTGTCCGCCGCCTCGTGATGGTCGAGAGAGGTTCTCAAATTCCTGTCAAGCTCTGATGCACCTCACTCAGCTTGACGTTGACCCCATCGATACCTGGCAGGGCTATGGAACCCTCGTTGCAGGCACCATCACGCCCCAGGACAGCGAGCTCGGCTACACTGGCGCTGCTCCGGATGTCACTCTCGACGCCTATTAGGGGTCTAGTGTTTGGCGTATGGCAGTCAGAACAACAGGAATTACGTCCCCGGCGACGGCGTACGCCTTCGTAGACTGTTCTCTGCTGGTGAACCTTATTCTTGTAGGGGTCGACTTCACCTACGTCTATGTTTTCGTTGTTGCTAATGTCGAATCTGTCATCGTGGCGGTGGTCGTCGTCCCTCATCATCGTCTGAAACCGATCCCCCCACATATAAAACCTTACAGCAATGCTATCGACTGGATGGTGCAAAGACCCTGCGTTGTATCGACGATCCATCGCGTTGGAGCCGACGTTCGATCTAACGTGCCAACAAGTCAACAATCCGACGAGGAACCTGAAGTGATTCATAGCTGTGTCTCATGCCAGATGGGCCAATAAGCTCTTCTTCGAATTATTATACTTGAATTCTTGTAGGTAAGTGCGTGCCCCAACGACTCCATCCAGTCGCCTGTGGTTGCCCCAATCCATCGGGTATCCCATATCCTTAAACCATGTCCATGAACAAAAAGAAAGCCGAGCAGCACCCTCCCTCGTCGCCAACTTTCAGACCCCCTCATTTTATCGTACATGTTTACCATCCCGCTTAGTTGTGCGGCTGCTGCGGCGGCATGTGCATGCCCTCCTTCTGCGGCTGGTACCCCTGGACGATGGGCCCCGTAGACAGGCGCGCCTTGACCTCGTTGTCCTGCTGGATGAGCGCGCAGCAGCAGCACCAGTAGCTCACACAGCAATCGCTCGCGCCAGAGCCCTTGATGCCGAAGCGCTCACGGATCTCGCCGCGCTTCATGAGCGCGTAGATCCACCCGCAACCGGTGAAGCATTGGATAGCACCGTAGAGCAGGCAGTCCGTATTGATGGCCTCGTACGTCTGCATCGTGGGGTCGCGCATGCGCTCTGTGGTCTTGCCAATGACTGTGGGATGGTGTTAGTCATAGTTGATCAACGATGAAAAGAGCCGTCGTCGACGAGAGGCGCGCGTCAGCAGATGTGAGGGAGACGTACGGATGCATGGTAGCCAGTAGGCCAAGCAGCAGCTGTCAATGGGCGAGCAGCTGCACAAGCTGGCCTGCCATTCCTGGTTCTGGACGGCGGCGCCCTGGGTATACTCCTGTTGGATGGGCTGCTGCTGGGGCTGGCCCTCGTATGGATTCGGCTGCATTTGCTGTTGCTGCTGGTATTGCTGTTGCTGCTGTTGTTGCTGGTAATCCATAATGGCGTTGATCTAGGAGCTTTGAAATCTATAACGATGATAACCTGAGCAGCGTATAGGAAAGGCGAGCGAAGTGTTGTAATGATGCAGACGGCAGGAAAATGAAGTCGTTCAGACGGATTGGGAACGAGATGCAAGGGGGGGACACGTTGATATATGAATCGGCCCCCGGAGGTAGCTGCGTTTGAAAACGGAAAGGAACTAATTAAGTAAATCAGCCAAGGAGGAATGAACTGAGACAATCATGTGGGAAAGACCAACCAGACGGATGCAGAAGGGGGAGGGGAAATAAACAGTCGGGCAACGCCTGCGTGAAGCTCGAGAAATGGACCGGAAGCGGTTTAACGTCACACCAAGCTTCTCACCCCGGCCAGCAGCTGAGCCGGAGGGTTAATGAAAAGACTCAGCCAACCTTTTTACCTCAACACCAAAGGTCCGCACTAAACCGTTAGATGGCGCCCCAATCGGCGTCTGGAGAGACGGGGCTCGTGGTGGCATGTTTGCCGGCCGCTTCGTCTCATGCCATATATCGATGCCTGAATCCTTCCTGTCGGACCCATATGGCGCTCTCGTGGTGCCGAACCAGATCGGCGGAGAGGAGAGCTGCGATCAGACCCTTCACTGTACACAGCTGGGAATTGGAGTCTGCCTGACGAGCCCGCCCCTGTGGCTTTCTACCCATTTTGCTGTGATCATAGGCAACATGGGTGGAAGACGTGGGAGGCAGCAGCCGGAGGGGCGCCGCTAGGAAGCGATGGCGTCCTAAGGCTGAGCTTGGAGGGCTGTGTAGCTGGGGACGCTGATGCAGGGGTGGAAGTGAAAGCCCTTCCCTTTCTTTTTTCGTCATTTGCAGATTTTCAGCAAGTCAGCCCAACACTGGCTTGAGTAATTATCTGGGGTGAGGAGCTGGCATGTGGTGAGATGAGTCTTGTGTAACACGATCCAGAGCATCGTCCCCTTTCGGGTTGAGAGCATCGGCTGCCGTTTGACCTTGTCTTGAAGTGAAGAAACACCCTGAACTCAACAGCAGGAGTCTTCAAGGGAATAAACTCTCGGCAGGCAGGATTCCCGGAGTTCGTCGCCTTACTCCAAGTGGATGCTTCCTCGACAGCGCTTACTGTGATCGTCGCCGTCAGAGCAAGTCGGGTCCTGCCAAGTGGGCGTGAGGTGGAATGAAGGAATGTTCAGCCGTGGAAGCGAGAGGTGAGGTACTTTTTAGGCTCAGCTTCCCTGCCGCCGCCCACGGCATGTCCACCTGCAGGGCGGGCAAAGCAAATAAAAGCCCACTGTTAATTGCCCGCCGTGTGGCACTTGGGACTTGGCCTGCTCGAGCTTATTCCTGGCCCATGCAGGCAGTTGTATGTTCCTTCTCAGCCTCAGCTGGCTGGCTGTATGTAACCTCAACCCACCATCATTGCCCCAAATCAACGAGCGAATCTGCAGGACCAGACTAGTTCGTCTATCGATTCCGAATTCGAATATTCGCTGTATCTTGGTATCTCATGAAGTTCCCTAATCGGGTGAAGAAAGCAGAGAACGTGCATCATGAATCATTCCTCTTGGATTTCTTCACCCCATCAACCACCTCGGCCTCAACATCCCCACCACCATCTTGCGAATCAACCTGTCCGCCCTCGCGGCGCTGAATCTTTCGGCTCATAATCACATAGTCCGGCACAAACACCTTGCCGAATCGCAACTTCCTCTCGACCGGCGACGTCGCGTCCCTCTCGAAGCCAAGCTTCTCGTAGAACCCCCGCGCCGCCTTGTTGGCCACGAAGCACGTCAGCATCACCTTTTCCACGATGGGTATGCTCTCCGCAACGGAGACGAGGTAGTCCATCAGCTTGCGGCCCATTCCCGTGCTACATCGCCGTCAGCAGGTTTCATGCATCACGAGCCAAACACCATAAAAAAGCAGAACTTACCCCCGCAGCTCCTCCAACAAGTGAATCTCATAACAATACACCACCGCCTCGCCCTCCTCAAACGTCGGCATCAGACTCGTGAACCCACACAACCTCTCGCTGTCACCCTCCTTGACGAGCACGTACCGCAGCTCCGGGCTCCGCATCTCCTTGATCTTCGCCGCCGGCTTCCACCCCCACGATGACGCGCGGTAGTCCGCGCCGCTGGTGTATTCCACCATGTCGAAGCACGCCTGCATCTCGTCGACCGACATCTTGGCCGGCGACTTGAGCGCGAGGGTGTACGTCTTCTTGGTCGCGGGGTGCGTCCATGATGTCCGGTCTGCGCTGTTGTGTTATTGAATGGTAAGCATCGTCCATGGCTGTGATGCGTGAGGTGCCGTACGAACCTGGGTTGCTGCAGATGGTCTCTGATGAAGTCCTCGTCCCTCTTGCGGTTCGCGGACTCGATGGGGTTTGTAGGCGCCCTCCGCCGCTTGACGGGCATATTGAGCTTCTGAACACCAACAGACCACAGAAGGTAAGGCGATGGGAAAAAAGACAAATTCATACAAAACTCCCAGAACAATATTCTCCCTGCCAAAGATAAAGGATCCGTGACCTTATTCAGGTCCTCCCCTTTCGCATCGTTGTGAATCCCAGAATCCCAACCCGCTGAACGCGCCCCGACGCGTCCACTAAAGCATGCATCACCCCCCCGGGCCGCGGGGCACTTCGATCCCCCGGGGGGCACACTCCCGAAGTTTCCCCGTCCTGACCTCATCCACCCAAAAAGTTTCCAGTCATTCACCATTGGCTCACCTTGAGAAGCCAAGCTAGAGGCTCACTTTGAGACCATCATCATAAAAAGGCTTCAGATGTAGTCGCCCTTCCACCGCGGCACAAATGCCCCCCTTCGCCCCCTTGTGGATCGCTATCCGCAGCTACTCCAATGGCCCGGCCAAGTCGCGCTTCGGGAAGACGCTGAGTCTGGATCATGTATGTTACCACCCATCTCATATATGCATGCCATATATTAGCCCATAGCTGCCAACAATGACAATGAAGGCATGGATTTTGACACGGTATACAGTTCCTCCAGCGCTCCCGCGTCCTATCTCTCTACCGCGAAATCCTGCGCGGCACACAACGCATCGCGGACCCGACCACCCGCGCCGAATCCCGCCGCTACGCCCGTGATGAGTTTGAGCGTCACAGAGATGTGACGGATATTGTACGCCCACCTTGATCTCTGTTTCTCTCTGCGTCTCCGTCTCTATCTGTCATCTCTGACAAGCACATTCAAACACTAACCCCAACCCAGAACCACATCCGCTACCTCATCTCAACCGGCAAAACAGAGTTCCAGGGCATGGAGCGATACATTGACGGAATGTAGAGTTTAGTTGTTGCGTTTTTTGTAATATCCCGATCTGTATAATACAACAGGCCTCTGCCTCAATGCGTCTATTCTCCGTGACGGTCGCTTCTTCTTCCCTCTCATCGCATGACCCCAAACTCGTGAAGTAAAGAGGCTACGTCGGAGCCTCGTCTATGCAGCAACACGTCCTCGCACCAATCTGCCTCCGTAGTGTACACGATCATCCCCAAACCCCGCCCTCGTTCGACTACGACTGGCGCTGCTTGTGTCTCGGGTTCGCCTTGCAGATGACGTAGAGGTATCCGTTGTGTCGCTTGCCGGCCTTGCGGCGGACGATCTGTGAAGAAACATCCCGTTAGCCCCAGAAACTGACCCTTCTCCCGCCTCCATCTTGACCCCGTCTCCTCCTTCCAACAAATCACGCCACCTCTCCTCCTCCCCTCTCCCCTCTCCCAACTTCAGAAAAGAAAAAGAGCTCACCTTGCAGTGCTCACACCTCTTCTTCACCGAAGAATGTACCTTCATCCCCCTCGTCTGCTGCGCCACCGCGCCCGCAACAGCAGCAGCGCCGCTCTTCTTCGCAAACAGCGCCCCCGTCTTGGCCATCGGCTGCCTCGTCATAATCACCGTCGACATGTTGGCGCGCATGGAGCGAGCAACAGCGAGCTTCGCGGCGGCGGCGGCGCAGCATTGCGGGCGGGCGGTCGCGAGGGACAGCGCCCTGAATGAGGCGGCGAGGGAGGCCATTCTGTGTTAAGGTGCGCTTGGTGATTGCGGCTCGTGGTTTCGGAGTCAACTGCGGGCTGCGGCAGACGACGGGACGGCGGGATCGTGGTCGGTTGGGAGGCTCCGCTGGCGACGACGACGACGACGAAGTTGCATGACCTGGATGGCTTCGACATCGCGGGAGCTTTTTTGGGTGTGTCACGTGAGTGGGTGTCTGTGCGCTTATCGCGTGTTGGTTCTTATCGCGATATGCGACATCGGATGAAAAAGTTGGATTGTGACGGACGACAGATGACGGGTTCACGTTGAATTTGGGCATTGCGACATGATTTGGTCGTAAACAAGCAAGATTTTCTGAGTATCGGTCCCTCTTACGAGTAGGGCGACTTTGTAACCACTTCGTGCAAGAAATCGGTCGTCCGTCATCTCGGGAAACTGCATACAATACTGTCGGAACTGGTGGGGCATCCGCCATCGACGAATAGGACATATTTAGAAAGATCACTGGGACTCATTCCATATGCTTAAAAATTGAACACTTTTCTCTATAATGATGCTCTTCCTTTTGTCCAATGTCTACCTTTTTGGACCCCCAACTCGCCTCAATCAAAAACTCCCGACGCCGAACCGGATCATGTACCAGAAGCAAATGTCTATGAACAGAATAATTCGGAGGTTTACCTCCCTTCAGCTTCGGAGGAAAGTCTTGAAAACGCCCGACTGGCTGCAGTCCTCCCACGGGTATCCAATCTCGGTCAGGAACGTCTCGAGATCCGCGACCTCGTCGTCGGGGCAGACGATGCCCGCGAGCACCTTGGCCACGTCGCCGCCGTAGTTTCTGTAGTTGAACAGGCTGATGTTGAACTTGGGGCGCAGCGTGCGCAGGAACTTCTCGAGCGCGCCGGGGCGCTCAGGGAAGTTGAACATGTAGAGCCGCTCGTGCGGCACGTTGGAGCGCCCGCCGACGAGGTAGCGGATGTGGCTCTTGGCGAGCTCGTCGCCCGAGAGGTCCGTCACGGCCATGTCGCTCGCGCGCAGCCGCTCGAGGAGCGTCTGCAGCTCCTGCGTGCGCTGCGACGCCGGCGCCGTGAGCGAGATGCCGATGAGCACGTTGGCGACCTCCTCGGTCGCGTAGCGGTACGAGAACTCGGTCACCGAGTGCGGCATGATGGTGTTGATGAGGTTGGCGAAGGCGCCGGGGCGTTCGGGGATGCTGACGGCGAGGAGCGCCTCCTTGCCCTCGCCGAGCGTCGCGCGCTCCGCAACGAAGCGCAGGCGGTCGAAGTTCATGTTGGCGCCCGAGGTGACGGCGACCATGGTGCGCTTGCGGTCGCTCGGGTGCTGGGCGGTGTACTTCTTGAGGCCGGCGATGGAGAGCGCGCCGGCGGGCTCGAGGCCTGCGCGGGTGTCGTCGTACATGTCCTTGATGGCGGCGCAGACCTCGTCGGTGGTGACCTGGACGACCTCGTCGACGACGTCCTTGCAGATGCGGAACGTCTCCTCGCCGACGGTCTTGACGGCGGCACCGTCGGCGAAGAGGCCGACGTTGTCGAGGACGACGCGCTCGCCCTTGGCGAGGGACTGGACGAGGGCGTTGGCGTCGTAGGTCTCGACGCCGATGATCTTGACGTGGGGGGCCATGCGCTTGACGTAGACGCCGATGCCGGAGATGAGGCCGCCGCCGCCGACGCAGCAGAAGATGGCGTCGAGCTTGGACATGTTGATCTGACCGAAGAGCTCCATGCCGATGGTGCCCTGGCCGGCGATGACATAGGGGTCGTCGAAGGGGGGGATGTTGATGAGGCCGTCCTGGGCGGCGCGGCGGGCGCACTCCTCCTTGGCGGCGTCGAAGTCGGCGCCGTGCAGGACGACGTGGCCGCCGAGCCGGGCGACGTTGAGGTGCTTGATGCTCGGGGTGGCCTCGGGCATGACGATGGTGGCCGGGATCTTGAGCTTGCGGGCCGAGTAGGCGACGCCCTGGGCGTGGTTGCCGGCGGAGCAGCAGACGACGCCCTTCCAGCTAACGGCGGGGTCGAGGTGGGCCATCTTGTTGTAGGCGCCGCGCAGCTTGAAGCTGAAGACGGGCTGCTGGTCCTCGCGCTTGAGGAGGACATTGCACTCGAGGCGGTTCGAGAGGTTGACGGCGGGCTGGAGGGGGGTGACCTTGCAGGCTTCGTAGACGCGGGAGGTTGCGGCGGCGATGAGTCGGAGGTACTGTGAAGGGATCGTGTCAGCTTATTTCCTGTCAGCCATTGAGGGCCGCAAAGAGGTTTCTCACGTCTGGGTTGCCATCAGGGAGCAGGTAGTCCTCCGGGACGACGGTCTTGATGCGGTTGCGCTTCTCCTCAGGCGGCGTGGACGGGTTGGCGCTGTACTCGGTCAGGGACATGCCGCTGGGCTGCGGGGTGCGAGGCCGGGGCGCGTGGTCGCCATTGACGCCGTTGAGGGTGCCGTTGGTCATGACGGCGACGACGGGGGGTTCGGTCGACTCGGACATGGTAATGAGGAGGATTGTTGCAGGATGAACGAGAGGACGGGACTGAGTCGGCGACGACAACAATCGTGGCCGGGAGGCTTCAACTAAAAGAAATGGCCTGGGCGAAGAGTCACCGACAGCGATGGCCTGGATTAAACTGGAAATTTGTTCATAGTGGGGCACACATCGGAGCTCAATTCGGTGTCGCGGGGTAGAAATCGGACGGTTTTTGCGGTGAGGTGCGCTATTGGCGGCGCTGGGATTGGCTGGAGGACCCCTGTTCGTGCTGCGGTGCCAGCAGGCCGGCTGCCGTTCCCCTGCGTTTGGCTGGGTCTCTGGGCGACATCGGTTGGTTTGCGTCTCCAAATTGAGTTTGTCCAACCTCTTGAATTGTGACTCAGGATGAATTGGTAGTTGTTACTAAGGAAATGGTTAGTAACTGATGTGGAATATGTTCAAGAGAGTGCAATTGAGTTGATTGCTGAAGTGACGCTGAGCAATTGGTCATTGAGATGGATCGTGAAATCCACTATTAGAGACTCACTCAATGAATAGGTTGCGATGATTGCCAGAGTTCCACTGTGACCTCAACTCTGAATGCTTGGTCCGTGCGGCAGTTACCATTCGTGTTGCCTGAGGTTTCGGCGCAGATGTCTTGATTAAGAGGTGGAAGGCACAATTGCTTGGTTACCTAAGCCGCCTGAAGTGCCGGGATTTGCCGCAAATGTGCTCAAGGGTCGAGCTCCGGCGGCGCGTCCAGCCAACTGCCCGCCAGACCCCGAAAATCAAAGGGCCCGAGAGTCCATTTCATCATCGAAGTTCGCCGACCACTGCAAATCGCATGACTGCGCTGCCGACTCTGCGATCGCAAATAGTCAACAATCACCACCCCGGCACAACGAGTTGAACACCCAATCGCACTCTCGCAAACATGCCCGGCGACGACAGACTTCCAGTCATGGACAGGCAGATGCCCTCGTCCTTTGACGAGAACAAGTGAGCTGCACGCGAGCAGGGACCACAGCTCAGACCCAAGTCTTGCTAACCGTCGACCCCGCCAACAGTGACTTCTACGATGAGCGCATCATGCACAAGGTCTTCCGCAAGCTGAAGGAAGAGCCCCTCATTCCTCTCGGTACGTCCTCTTCTCTTTGCTCCTTTCAATCGCAGTCTAACAACCACCAGGTTGCGGTCTGACCGTCTACGCCTTCTACGCCGCCTGGCGCGCAACCCGCCGCGGCGATGCCGTCCAAGCCAACAAGATGTTCCGCGCCCGTGTCGCCGCCCAAGGCTTCACCGTTCTCGCCATGATTGCCGGCAGCATGTACTACAACAAGGACCGCGAGCGCACCGCCGAGCTGCGCAAGATCAAGGAGGCCAAGGACGCCGAGGAGAAGAGGCAGCGCTGGATCCGCGAGCTCGAGGCCCGCGACGAGGAGGAGAAGGCCCTCAAGAGCCTGATGCAGCAGCGCCGCGCCAAGGCGGAGGCGAGGAGTGCCGGCGGTGCTGCTGCGGAAGAGACGGAAAAGAAGGCGAGCGGCGGCGGTGTTTTGGGTGCGATTGGCCTGTCGGGCTGGAGCAAGCCTGCCGAGGGTGCGGCGCCGGAGGCACCGGCCACGGCCGAGGGGCAGAAGGACAAGAAGGAGAACCCCAAGAGCTCACTTGGTGTTATTGGCGAGCTCTACGGACGGAAGCCGTCGGATGGATCGTCGGATGAGCCCAAGAAATGAGGAAAGAGACGATTTGTTGTTGCATCGACTTACGGCTGCGTTGTATAGTATTGGCATGGCATTGGCATCGAGGACGGACCTTGACGTCTCATTGAAGACTCCCCTCCGTCGTACATAAAAGCACTGGGCAATAATAGGCGGCGCAATTGGTTTGAATAGATCATCTGATTTGGATGAAGCCGGTGAAATGGTGCAGGTTTGCATGGTCAGCTTGGCTGCAGAGTCACTTGACGCACGCTCTTGGGTTCTCGTTATCTAACAAACTTCAAATTGGTCATCGAGTTACATAAATGACTAACAGCAATGTCTTGTTACCCTGCGAAGTTCCAGGTGGTCTGAGGTCTCGATGATTTTATGCGTGAACATGCTCTGGGCGGGAGATCATCACATGTGGAGGGGCAGGGGAGCTCGGGCCAGTGACGTTGCGGGGCGCTTCGCCCACTCGCCGCAGTGGCTTGACCCCCTGGCCTCCAGACTGTCACCCCCAAGACATGACGCGCTGGGCGCCTGGGGGATGGAAGGGGGGTCCTGATCTGACACCTGCAGCTGAGCTCTGGGCGCTGGGTTTCCCATTATTATGCAATCGTTCGCTGCTCATGCACCCCAGGCCTCCGCCATTCATCTACGTCCATCTTCCCCAGAACATGGCCATGGCCGTCGATGACTGCTACACGGCCTGCTACACTACTGCAACTACCTTCACTGATGCTTATTGATACCCCATTACGAGCACATCATGGGCCAAGCACTGTCGGACGAGAATCCGCGGCAGCTGTCGCACGAGGAGCTCACCCGTGAACTGGTAAGTCGCCGTCTCTGTGCCCCTCCAGCCCACCTTGAAGCATCGTAGAGACGGCTGCTGATCATGACCACCAACAGGCCAGCCGCTTCGCCGAGAAGTGCTTCACCAACCTCGAGCTCTACTCCTTCAAGGATGTCTTCAAGAGCCTAGCAGATACCCAGAGCGACATCCACTACCTAAAAGAAGACACTATCGCCCGCTTCCTCGAGATACCCGACATCCTCCATGTCTCGCCCGTCATATTCCAGATGGTGTCCTACATGGGCGCTTTTCCCTTCCTCCAGGACGCCCCCGCCGTCCTCGGCCTCGAACAAATGATCATGGTGGTCGTCATCATGACGGCGAGGTACAAAAAGGTCTTGGCAAAGGGCGCCCAAGACCGGGCGAAGCTTCTGTTCAAGAGTCTTGCCGTGTACGACCGGAAAGCCTCGATTGCTGTAGTCGACGAATCAAAAGAGAAGGTCAAGGACGCTGAAGTTGAGGTCAAGGACGAACCGGCCAGGAGTCACGTAGCTGGCTTCGCCGTCGACGAGCCTGTGGAAGAAGAAGAGGACGAAGATGACGACCTCGAGATAGCTGCTTTCGAGCTGCTCGATATCAACGATGCGGTCCGACAAGGCGATGCCCCAACGGTCCAAGGAGCCATGATACCAGCCGATAACTTCCGCAAGCTCCTCATGCTGCTCATTCTCATAGCTCCTCTGAGTCCTCAGGAGAGGCTGTCAATGTTTGCGACCCGCGTTGTTGGCGATGAGCTCGAAAGCCTCCGCTCGACCGCAGAGAACATTCTTGCCGCATTTTTGAACGTCGAAAAAGCACCTGGAATCAAGTTTAGCCAGTTCAACCGCGTGATACCCGTTTGCTTTCCGTATCTCTTCAACGGCTTCAACCCCTTATTCGAGCACTTTCTCTTCTCCAAGAACCTCGACTTTTCAAAACACAAGGGCGACGACCCGGCAGCAGAGAAACAGCCCGAAGAGTTCGTACAGCCTTTGCTCCAGGACAGCTCAGACATCATGAACCTGAACGTCCTTTCGCAACTCTCCTTTTTCATCCCGGGTTCGGACCTCTTCCGTCGATTGAGGCTCCTGTACTCCGGCAATGACGCGGGCTTCTCCATGGGCAGCTTCGAAACCAAGGTGTTCAATTGGAGAGCACCCACAATCCTACTCGTCCGTGGCAGCCGCATCAACGATGAACCTCAGGGTGGCCAGGAAGCAACGTTTGCGGCGTCAATCCCCCCGCGCCGCTTCCCTCATGGCAGCAAAGGAGAGCGTCTCACCTTCGGTGTGTACCTCAGCACACCTTGGAAGCATACTTCAAAGGAATGCTTCGGCGAGAGGGATACGGTGCTATTTCAATTGGAACCTATCCATGACGTCTTCCCAGCGTCGAAATACAACTCAGACTACGTCTCTTTCACGAAGCAGCCAGCCAACCGGCCCATGCTGGGAGTCGGATGTCCCCACCCAAGATCGACACAGGCACACCGACGAAACACAATGATGTCCCTCGGCTCGGTATCCCTTTTGTTAGACGATTCTTTTGAGTACGGCGTGTTTACACATGACTGGACGGCAGGCGGCGGCGCGTTCCAGACTAGCGTGACCCGCAAATTTGACTTCCAGGACAGATTTGAGATCGAGAGCCTCGAGGTCTGGGGATGCGGCGGGGACGAGGAGGCCAAGGCCCAGGCAGAGCGATGGGCGTGGGAGGCTCGGGAAGCGGAGGCGCGGAGGAAGATCAACCTCGGATCGGGTGACATCGCCGCTGATCGCGCGTTGTTGGAGATGGCTGGGCTTGTTGGGCAAAACCGCAGCGGCGGCTCTGCATAGTAAGTCGGCACCCTTGTGGACGAAAGCTTACGAGAACGGTGCGAGACGGTATTGATACCGCATTGAGGCGCACCATTGGGTACGATGTTTTGGGATAGGGCGTCATTAAACTCATAGGACCAGGATACATAAATAGACGTTTTTTTACCGCAACTACGGATACCAGCGCCACTGCGCCAGTATTCTTCGCCCCGTGTAAACCAAAACACGGCGAGCCGTCTCTCGGCTCTTACAACAGGGCGAACCAAATATCCTCCACGACGTGGGCCAGAGTTTACATTCTCTGGGCTTCCCAAACACGCCCCCCTCCTCTCATCTGAGGGAAACCAGCAGGCGGTTGCATTCAAAGGTTGCGCTCAAAGGCCCAGATCGTGTGGCCAAACTGCTCGTACATGCCGTGGTAATCGCTGCGAAGCAAGTAAACCTCGACAGCGGGGCTGGTGAGCTTGCGGTCGACCGAGTCGCGGACGCTGCCGAGGGAGAAACCCAGGTTCTCGAGAACGCGGACGATGCGGACGTTGGCGTACGTCTGGTATTTGGAGATGGGCGCCTTCTCCTCGAGCAGGCGAAGGAGGGAGCGGAAGCCGAAGAGGTGCGTGTACCTGGGCACGTTGACGGCCTTCGCCTCGTTGTCGCGGGGGAGGATGGTGGGTGTCGGGAAGGGGGAGAGGGAGGTGGTTTGGGGAACGGGGGCCGGGCGGACGGTTGTGTCTGTGGACGTGGTGGGGAGGGGGCGGGGAGGGACGACTGGCCCGGGACGACCCGTGGGAGGGAGTTGAGGGACGGTGGTCAGTTGGAGGTTGGAGCCGGTGAACTTGGAGGGTTTTGTTAGCTTTCACGGAGCGGAGCGGGGTGTTGAGGTGGGCTTACGAGGGTGACGCAGCGAGCAATCTTGAACTGCTCCTCCTCGGTGAAGGAGGAGGTGTACTCGAGGGCGCGGCCGAGCGTCCAGAAGGTCCACTCGATCTCGCGGAGGCCGTCGAGGACGTACTGATCAGACTTTTAGCATCGGACATCAACACCAGGGGGAGGAATGCTCTCACGATGTAAGGGCCCTTGTTCTCAACCAGCCACGGGACGTACTCGGGCGAGAACTGCTCCACGGGCCTGCGAAGCTCCTGGGCCTTCCACGCCGCGCCTTGGAAGTACCTGCAGACGCCGTCGGCGTTGAGGCCGACGTGGAAGTCGGGGATCTTGGGGCGGCCGCCCGTGGGCTGGGTGCCATTGTCGGCGAGGACCGCCGCGAGGACCCCAAGGACGGGGTTAAAGAAAAAGAGGATTAGCGCTCCGATCCCAAGGGCAACCTTTCTGCCTTGTTCGAGCTCCGCGGTCTTGTTCTTGTTCGTGTTCTCGACGTGGGCGCCGGCCCACTTGAGCGTGACGGGGTGGGGGTCGGCGTCCGCGGCGGTGAAGTTGGTGACGTTGATGTTGGCGATGAGGGCGGCGCGGAGGTCGGCGTGGACGCTGGCCCAGGCGGCGGCGCCCTCGGTGTCGAGGTCGACGGAGGCGAGGTAGGCGGCCTCCTCGCCGTCGAGGTAGGTGCCGGGGGCGGAGTAGGCCTTGTCGGCGTCCTCGCGGTCCGCGGGGGTGAAGGCTGCGTCGCTGAACTCGGGGACGAGGACGGGGACCAGACCCTGGGATTGGGGCACGGCGGCGGAGAGGGCCGAGCCGGCGAGGGCTGCGACGGGGAGGATGAAGGAGGGCTTCATCTTGATAGGTGGGTTGAGGGGTTGTAGCGAGAGAAGCGAGCGTATGTTTGTAAGTGTGTGTGTGTGTGGATGAAGAAGCAGGTAGGAAATGTGATTGAACCTGTGCAGTTTTGGTTTGTTTTATATGTCTTCATCCAGGATGGCGAGCAGGACAAGAGATTGGTTGATAGCATGGCGAATGTCGTTATGGCACCTGGAGGGATGGGTTCCGGGGAGGCGCCGGGTTGGGCGTTATTGACGATGTGATGGCGCTCTCAACCTTATGCAGGGAAGCATTTCACTTTTCGATATTTGCGGGCATAGAGTTCTCATATATTCCTATATACAGGCTGTGGTTGAATTAGGCTCTCGTGTTACGAACTACAAGTCCAATGAAAGGTGCACAAGTTCGGCGCATTCTGAGTTGGTGCCACCTCTGATCGAATTTCATGTCGATCTTCACGTCAATTAAGGTATTTGATTAAGCTCATTGGGTCCACATTCAACGCCACATCGAAACGTTTAGCAATTATTGCTGTTCCCATCTTCCATATGTCAGATGTGGCTGGCTTTAACTTCCCTGCTTCAAGCAAAGATGAACGAATACACGGACGACAGGACAAACACTCCCGACAAGCCTGGCATGAGATCCGACAATTGGAAGTTCTGCACGTAGCTGTAAGGTATGAAAAACGGCTATGTTTCCTTTAGTCATACATAATTCCACAAAGGAATTATTCCAAAAACGGGATGTGCCCGCGGCCGGTAACCTGCCATACGAAGGTATAAACGAAAAGTTGGAAGGGAAAACGAATGAAGATCCGCCGCGATTTGGCCAGACGGATCAAAATGCCCCCCTCGAACTTAGGATTAACTGAATTGTCTGAATAACCTCATTTTGTATATCTGATTGCTCGATTCGCTTGATTGTATTTGACAGGTATGCAGCGCTGCCAGGAGACAATTATCCTTGTGCTTCAGATTGACAGCCTCTTTCCAAAAACGACGGGGATGTATCTCTGGTGTTTTTCTGGAACGGGAAGAATGCTTGGTAGCCATTCTGGTTCTTGAGACCACCTATTGTTACCGCGCTAGGGCGACTATCTTTCCTTTGTGCTCGCAATCGTCATCGTCGTTGCCTCCATCTCTAATATCTTCGTTTCTGCTATTGTTATAGTATCTTTGTTGTTGTCTCTCTCTAATTGCTATCCATGTAAGCGCTCTTCAACGAAGTAAAGCCTTGAATGTACGGGTATCAAGTATTCAAGAAATGTAGCCGCGTAGGCACAGGAAAATCAGGCAATCTCCGCCTTTTTAAATCTCAATAACTATTCAGAAGGAGCTTTTGCGCCGCAGACACGGCTTCGTGTCGATCACAGATCAGAGAGAAGAGGGGGAAAATGGGAGTCTGGCCCAACACTGTCTGTTTTTGCTAATTGACTTGACTATCAAGCAGCATATGAAAGCATTTCTTACGCCAGGGCATAAGAAACAAATCCCGATCCTTGCCTTCATAGACAATTCGCCTCCGAGTTCCAGGGGAGGCAGATTCCAAACAGACACCATCTTTCCCGACACCACGTAACTTTCTCTCCTTCGTCCCAAAGAAAACAGCACAACAAAGAAGTTCCCCCCCAATGATACCCTCAAAGTTTGAGCAATTCCATGTGCGAATCACCATTCCTCAATAAGCTTCGATGTCCGACAACGAAGGGTTCCTCTTCCAGCTTGGTCCGCTAGCGAAACGCTTGTCCTTGAATCACTAAAGGGAATTCACCTGGGCTTGCGCGGATTTCTATCGGTTGTTCTCGTTCGCGAATTGTTGTTTTCTTCCAATGTAGCAGTCAAAGGGGGCAAGCAATGAAGCGCATTTCTGTTGTGTCAGGGAGGTTCTCTCACGCATCATCCCGCGAGACTTAGGCCTCGAACTTGACCGCCTCGCCCTGCTGCTCATTTGCAATGGGTACCGCGGACTCATCCCCGTTGACCCAGTTGTTCTCGTCCAACGGGACTTCCATGTCCAGCTGGGTGTCATTCCCGTCCAACATCGCTTTCTAGTACGATTTGCCATTTTCCTCCATGTTGCCTCCGGAGAGTTTGGGCTTGGCCGCGGCGGAGTGAATGAAGGCCATGGCGACGACCACAAGAGAAAGGTTGAGGACACGCATTGTATCTGAGTTTGGTTTGGCCGGATTTGTTATTGTTCTTTCCGAGGTAAGCCGTTGCGCAGCGCTGCCGCAAGTGCAATCAAAGCAAATTGGACCCCCAAACTTGCTGTTGATGAGAATTTTTCGCAAGGGTTTGATTAATTGGCCTAATTGCAATTAAAATAATTCAACTATAGTATAAAACTACGTCATTTTTAACTTCCTAATCGGGTAATTTTGAAGTTATCTACAGCCTCATAGTCCCCCTCACAGCCCTCACAGCCCTCACAGCCCTCTTTCCTAGCCCCCCCTCTTCTTAAGGGCCCCTTGCGAATGCCCTCATAGCCAGCATACCTAGATAAATGGGGCTAAGACGGATCTATAGCCTCCTATAGGCTAATCTATAAACAGGTGAATCAATCAAGGTATTCGAGTCAATTGAGGGGTATGAGCTTGCTTAATTGGGCGTGGCGATGGACTCCCTTTGGTTAGATTTGCTTGGAAGGGTTGGTAAATATTTGCACTTGCGGCAGCGCTGCCGTTGCGAAGAAGTGCTGTGCGTACTGTTCAGAGACTTTTGAGTAATCGCTCGGACCGGAGCATCTGCATTTATAGTTGCTTTCCCAAATCTCATGGATCATCAGAGTCTCAGGTGTCTGATTCGGCTTTTCCAACTTTGGTGTTCAGATCTGGCGGAGAGACGTACGTTCAACGCCCAGATCGATGGTTACAAGCCCATTACGCTCTCGAGATCCTACTTCTTTTGCCTTCATCCCATCTTCTTAGACAAACCCAGAAATAAAAGGTATATCGTAGGGTGGTTTGTCCTCAGTGTGTACGGGACGAGTCTCGAAGCCGAATATCTCGCTGTACACCTCTGACCGGCTCCAGTGGGCTTATTGTCTAGAACCGGGTCGGAAGTGGCCATACGTTGCCTTTCCTGGGACCACGGTAAGCGGAGACGATCTCGGCATTTCAATTCAAGCCTAAACCGAATCTTATTTACCCAAATTTGGGATTGGCACCATATCCTGAACCGATATCTCGACCGGAAATGTTCAAAGTGCACACCCCTGTGCATCACGACTCAAATTCATCTCAGTCTTTAAATCCCTTGGTGGCATACGCTATCTACCCCGATACATGAAAATATTGCAGCAGCAAAGATCACTTCCCAACTTGTGTTAGAAGCAAGCCAGCGGTGGGTGCATGTCAATATTGAGGCGTCAAGGCACGATGATACATAATCTTCTTGCGCGGCCGTGAAAATTGTTGAACAGTAACTCTCGAAGTTGAATGTCGCAAGGAAATCCTCAGCTACCTAGCAGTCGAAAAACCGCACAATCTGAAAAGATCCGAAATGGAGAATATCGATGGAACGTTTTAGGCTTCTCCCCACCTCAGACCTGGGCCCATCAGTGATCGCCCAATGCGCTCCATTGCCATGTCTGCTTTCAAGTACTCATGTACTCGCATTCTCAGTAATTGATCAACATGAGCTCATTCGCAAGGCCCTTGTGGCCGGGAGCAACCAGGGTCGGGATCTGGAGCTGCCGGGGGGATCTCCTCGCAGACGCAGTGGCTGAGAGGGGGTATTATTGTCAATATGTGAACACCATAACTGTACGCTTACAAGGACTTGAAAGAACTTACGAATGTTTCCCGGCATCAGTCTTGTGCTCCTTGCAGATTCCACGCTCGGTTTCCCGGCAGTTCTTGTAGCCGGCACACGAGTTGACTGCCTGGTCAAGGTTGCATTCCATAAGCGCTGAAGCTGTGTCAACTCTCTGCTTCCCAAACTAAAGCAGCAAATGATCTTGTATGCCTACCTGGAGATGTTGGAGTCGGGGCTTTGACGGTGGTCGACGGCGGTTTGGGCGCAACCGTGGTTGGTTTCGCCACCGATGTGGTGGTGGGCGTGGGATCGGTGCACTTGCATTGCCTACGATACATATGCCATCAGTGCGTGCAAGTTCAAACCTTCTACAGAATATCTTACCGGATGGCAAATGCACCCATAGGGATAGTCGTTACGCAGGACTTCTTCTTTGGGGCATCGCAGGCCAGGGCCTTGCAGTCTTCGTCAACAGTACAAACGGCGGGAACGTTGTCTTCCTCCTTCGGGTCGACGCATTCGCATTGTCTGTTCACTGTTGTTAGTCATTGTTGTAGAAACGTATGGGGGGCTCGTTGGTATAGTACTTGATTGGGATAGGCCCGGCTACTGCCGACTTTGCCTTGCACTTCTTGGCTTCCGTTGACTTGCAGGTGAGACCGTCACACTCACTGTCTTCGTTGCAGGTCAAAACTGGGCTGGAAGTCGCTGTCGTTGAGGTGCTTCCGGTCAATGTGGTAGGCTTGAACGTTAGCGTCGCCTCGCCAGTTGACGTCGATGCCATGGATGTGGGAGGCACAGTAGTTGACACGCGGGTGAAGGTATCTGTGGCAGAACAGAAATCGATCTCAGTAGTAGTGCCGTCTCGCTTGACCTTCATGGGGTTGCATTGCTGCAAACGGTCCAAGAAGCGGTGATATCTCTCGCGCAGCCTCTGTCGATTGGGATCGGCTGGCTGAGTCGCTGCATCTCTGTTCGAACCTGTACTTAGCGTCCAAGCCCATGTTGCCCGTACGAAAACGAAAATAGAGGGAACTTACACGTCGCGTTTCGGACCATCCACCATGTTGTATGCAATCCGGACGCGCTTGGGAAGTTCATATTCCTCCCGTTCATACTCTCTGAAGCGATTGAACACCGCCTCTTGCGGTACCCATTGGAAAGAGGCAAACGCTTCGATGACCTGCTTCATCTGGAGACCAACACTGCGATAGTCTGGTTCTCGTTGTGACTTCTCCTTGTACTCGAAAACGTCACTGAAATCGGGATGTGCCAAGAGGTAGGCTGCCAAGCCGGCCTATGATTCGGAGTGTGCATGTTAGTAATGGCTCCAGCTCTGGTGAACCTTTCGTCAAGGGTGCTTGAAAACTTTCACTTACCACTGCTGGAGAAGCGAAACTGTTCCCTGTCATCTTCACAGTGCTTCTAGTGTCGGCCGGGTCACCGATGCAGCCCGTCACATCTTCGGCCTGTGCGTAGATGGTAACGCTTCCACGACGATTAGCGTTGGGATGAGGGCTGCCATCCTGCATTGGCGGGTCGCCTTTCATCTTCCCTTCTGGCTCAGAGGTCGCTTGAAGTGATCCATCAGCATGAACTCCTCCGACGGTAATAAGTGAGTTCTCTTGTGTTCCAAGAAGTTGCGGAAGATGGTCCCCTAGTCTGTCCGGCGACGGGGATTGAGCGGCGTTCCCGGCAGCCATGACGAAGACACCACCCAGTTCCTCCAGGTCTTCGATGAACGCCTCAAAGTCGGCCTGGATGTCATCAAAAAGGGCGATGTCTCTTTTGATACCTGAATAAAAGTTAGGTAACTGCTCACGAAGCCAAGATAACTGGGATCACGGGAATACGTACCGAAAGAGACATTCACAACCGCCTTGCCCTTAAGCGAAGGGTTCGCACGCAGGATCTGAGCTCGAATGTGGTTAAAAGCATCAATGAGTGCTACCCGTCGGCTCTGGATTGGCCCGTAGCTGCCGTTGTTTCGTTTCTGTGCCGCCTTCCACTTGAGGAGGTACAGATCAGCATTCGATGCCACGCCTAAGGTGGTGCCTCCAGCAACGCAAGCTACGGAGGTACCGTGTCCTATCCTGCGCTGGCCATCGTGAAAGTAGTCCTCCGAGTTATCCGGTGCGAGCTTGTCGAGTGCAACCTTGGACAAGTCGACTGCGTTCTCGTTTTTGACGTAGTAGTCCTTGACTTTTCTTGAGCCTGGAGCGAGTTCCTAAAGCTTTTATTAGCTTGTTCAACCCACATGTCTTGTATTCCATACCTGATGACCCAAATTGAAACCAGTGTCAATTATGAATATGGTAACGCCTCGGCCCAGTGAGGAATGATACCGGTAGTCTTGTCTGGAATCTCCTGAAATCATCCTGAGATGCGCCGGGCTGTTTGGTCTGACATCAGGAGGCGCAGGGCGCCGCTTGTATAGTGGGCTTCGGGTAGGAGTGCTGCCGGGCGTCGTGATCGGGGTCGTGAAGTCGGAGGTCTTTATGGCGGAAGCCCTCTCGTACTCTTGGACGTCGAAAGGAATATCAAGAGTGACACTTCTCACCCAGGGAATCTGAGCGATACCTGCAGCTTTGAGCACAGTCAAGTTGGTAGTGTATACAGGCCACGCCATCTCCGTGGGCAGCCATTCCTCGGCACCAAGAGTACTTCCAGCGTCGTTGTCAAGGTACTTGGTGAACTTCTTGAAGACAGAAGTGCTGACCTTCCCGCGTTTGGCGGTGATCATGAACATGTCAGTGGGTCCTCGAGGAATAGGTGGCCATGAAGCCTTCTTCTTCGGCGTACCAGACTTGCTTGGGGGATCGGCAAAGATAGTCGTGGAGGTTGGTTGAGATACAGTCGTCGAATTTGGCGGTTCTTGGGGGTTTCCAGCAAACACGTCATCTACATCGGCCCAGTTGACGGCGCTTAGAACAGCGTAGGCGTCGTAGGCATCGGCTGCGAAACTCAAAGCTGCCATCCCAAGAATCGACAAGTCTCCGAATCTTTCCATGATTGTAGCGTGCACCGCCGTGGGAATATTGGGAAGGTTCTGGAGCATATTGGCAGTCGACGATGACCAGGCCGCAAACCTGCGTGAATGGGCGTAAGCCGAAAAGAACTTTCCGTTGATAGATCGAAAGGCGTCTGGCTGATTTCCTTGATTCATTCGGACAGACTCCGCTTGATTTTGAAACTGAGATGTCTGCTTCGCAAGGTTGATGGCATCTTGGGTGAGATCTGCCAGTTCAATCGCTTCACCAAACTGTGTGCCGGATAGGGGCCCGCCAGGTGCGTTGAGAGCCAGACGCATGGCCTTGCCACTGAAGCCGGCTACGGCATCAGCCAATGGACCTGCAGATCCGGAAAGCCCTTCAAAAATCCCCTTCATAGCACCAAATGCACCAGCGCTGCCCCCGGCTGCGGTACCACCACCGCCACCAGGGCTACCTTCGGGAGAGTCGAAAGAGCGTTGTGAAAACTCCACACCATCAATGACACTTGTAGATGAAACTTCCTGAGGTATCTGGACCGTCTTGCCCGCGATCTTCAAGGACTTGTAGGAAAGGGTTGCGGTGCTTCCGTCCTTGAGAAAGATCTCAACTGGCTTTTCGTGTTCGGTTGGGGGATAAAACTCAATCCCGTCTAGCTTAACGACAACCGGAAGCGGAACCCACGTATGGTCAAAGGGGGAGTTCCCCTCGCCCATGTAGGAAGTCTCAGAGGGAGGCATGGAGGATGTAAGTACAGCCTTGGATGTCCGGGTAGGGCTTTCCTGGGTCTCCTGCTTCGTGGTCTTCGGTGGCTGTTTCACTGAGGTGACAACTTGCTGGGTGGTGCTCAGACTGCCAAAGGTGATCGGAGTGCCGTCAGCGGTCAACGTTGTTGGTTTTGTTGGAACAGCAATAGTCGTAGATCCCAGTGCGATGGATCCTGACGAGATGGTGATGGGGGAACCTCCTCGCGGGGCGTAGGTGACAACCGGCCGGTCAAGCGGAAGGGGTGATCCGTTGAGATTGACAACTGTGACAGTACTGGTGACCGTGGCCGATGTAAGAGTGACTGTGGCAGTATTCTCGACAGTGGTGCCGGAGCTTGGTGCAACGGTAGGTGATGAGCTGTTGGAGTAGTGCGCGAAGCTGGTTCCAGATGAGGACGTTGAGACTGACTTTGGCGGAGGAAGCGAATTTCCGGCGGACGCTAGGCTGGTGGGCTTGGTGGAGGTAGAAGCAGAGGCGGATGTATTGTGAGTCGAGAAGGAGGACGACGGTTGGGACGTGGGTATTCCAGTGCCACTTGGAAGGCCCGTAGCACCCCTGACGAATCTGACTGAACGTCCTGGGGGCGGTTCTGCCGTCCGGGACTCTTTGCCGGGCGCTACGAGAGTTAGCAATGATCTGTTTCCAAAGGCCTTCTCGCGACTCACTGAGATAAGGCAAGCTGTACGGAAGTAGAGCTGATGCTTCGGATATCATCAGCAGAGTGATCACGAAACTGGTCCGCGGTAACCGCATGGTGAAGGAGAAAATGCAAGGAGTAGAATAAGCAGGATATCAAGATGGTGGCTGGCTTGAAGATTGAGAGAGATACTACTGACCAGCTACCTGCTTTTATAGAAAATAAATTCGCAGCTTTGGTTTGTCCTTTGGATCAATGGAAGTGGCCGTTGGTGCAATGCATCACTTCAAGTTCTACCTCCGAAAGTAAGTATCTCGTTTCACTCCATCTAGCGTCATTTGCAAAGTTCCAACGCAATGTGCCATCGAAATGTAAGTTTCCAACCAAGTTCGTGAGACGATGTGTCATTCAGACGCAGTTGGGTGAAGAATACTGACTTCTCATCGGGGGCGAAGTTGGAGATGAAGAATTCGGGGGCTGAAAGAGCAGGTTTTATCTCTTGAATGCGACGACACGAAACAATGGCGGCTAAGTTCATGTAGGCTTTCACCCGGCCCGACCAACTGCTCGACCTTCAATGGTGACGATCTTGAGTGGGTGGATCTTTGGGGGCTTGCTTCCAACAGAGTCTCGTGATGCCCAGATGTAGTTGTTGGTGCAAATTTACAACGTCACCGACCAACGGCCTGCATGTACCTGCAGGAACCAACAAAGACGTTGGTGCAACAACACGTGATGAACCACGAAACGATCCAATGGCATCAAGCCGACCCCCATGGCCAAGACTCGTTGGCCTCCAACTTCAATTTTAACTTCTGTCTGTCGCAGCTCAATTTGTTGGTTGGGCCAACTTCGGCCACCGCTGTCGTAGGTGGCATCGAATTATCTTATTCATGGACACCAAAGTGATAAATCGGGGCGTTCCGCGTGATGCCGGGACTTCCTACTGAATTTGCAAAACCATAGCCCCATTCCAATGTACGCCAGCGGCGTCTTTCGTGACTCCCTGAGGCCTTCTGATGGGGTTGTCTAGGGGGCGAAGACTGTGTGATGCGATCTGCTGGCCGGGCGGTATCCCACGTCAAAGTCAAGTACGGAAGGGTTTCCCGCGCGGTGCACCTAAACCGCGGGCAACCTTTTGGAACTGACTGCGCATTGCTAACGACTATGCAGAACTGATCATTGCAATCAAATTGACTACGAATAGCAACTGCAACACAAATAACTATATAGTTGGCGGCGCTGGCGCGGGTGCGACGGGGTAATTAGTCTGATTGGACGATCAAAGTGGGATACCGCCTGGTTCGATCAGAACTACCCCGGATACACACCTCACTCTTTCGCCTGCGCGGCGTATCATTGGGGGCGACCACGAATGCTATGTTTAGACGATGGTGTGATTGATCTGCGCAGCGGGAAAACTGTCGCTTTATCCCCTCAAAGGAATCATGGCAGGTCATGACTCCCGCTGCCTCGCAGCTTAAGCATGCCAAGACGTGGCAACTGACTGCACCACAAAGCAAGAGCTTCGGTAGTGGCGAGTTCGCCGTTACTATCTCCTGTTATGCGATGAATAATCGCCCCTATCTCCCCGAGTTGTGACTGAAGTTCATTTTCAGAGTGTCGACAACGCTATCGGAAGCGTTGCTAAAACCATTAGACTTCGGATGGGGTCACGTCAGTGGATGATTTCTGCCATCTTTCATTGGGGAAAGGTTGTTAACCTTAATAAACGAGTCGCGGCCCTTACCTTCCCCATGGTGTCCATGTTTGCGTCCACTTGGATTGAAGCGCTGGTCTGTGGATTGATCTGCTTCCCTAAATAAGAATTTTAGGGTTATTCCGCCCGCAGCACCTTCAGCATGACCGACAAAAAGCAACTCGTGCTTAATGTGGTCATTAATTGGGCGGTAGTTGTTGAAATGAGTTGCTGGTACCCCAATCGGCTACCCCGAACAATAATTGAGGGGTTGTGGGAATCCTTGTCTGTCATGATCAACACCCACACATAATTCATCCAGAGCCAACATTGAACGAACATAAAAACACTCCCAGCCCGGTTGATCCCAGAATGTATCGCTGGCTGTAAGCTGTGACCTCATATTTGACTGTTGCCGGCCGTTGGGCTGATGTTGAACGTCATTATGCAATTTCGCTCAGTCCTTTCCCTTCTCAGCCTTTGCGCTCTGTACTCTGTCTCCTCTGCTGCCGCAACACCACCACCCCAAGTCCAGACTTACTTCAATATCGACGGTGCCACTCATGCGGCCAAGGCCCAGGCGCTCAAGGGTTCTGGCTACCGTATTATCTCTCTCAGCTCTTATGGAACTCCTCCTGACGACAAGTACGCTGCAGTTTGGGTCAAGCGGGAGGGCAGCGACCAAGTAACGATTTCTGGCGCGGATATAGATGGCTACCGGACTTGGATGGACTCATGGAAATCCAAAGGCTATGCTCCAACGCATGTCTCCGCTTCGGGGCCGGCTGATGGTGCCGTCTTCGCTGCCGTCATGGAGAGGACAAATGTTGGGAAATGGAGCCAACAATGTGACATTACGAAACCAGGAGATTTTCACTCTGCGACCAATACAAGTGGCGTCGTTAAGGACTACAGCACCTACGGCACCCCTAATGATCGTCGCTACTGCCTAATTGTCCACGAGAACATTGGCAACGCAATGGAAACGATCTTCTACGACACCCCTGGGCCCAAGGAGTTCGCTGCAATCTACGACTCTGAACTCACAAAGACCTTTTGGCGACCGAAACGTCTCTTCGTCGCCGATGATCAACGAATCACACCCCAATTTGCTAGCGACTGGGTTGGTGAGTGGGAGGCAAAAGCTGACCTCACCGCGGAACAACTGGACGCCGAACTCAAGTCGCAGGAGCCCCAAAATCGCCTCTATCCGATTCACATCGACGGCGCCGGCACTGGACAGGACACTCGGTTTTCTGTCATCTTCGCTGAGACTGACATCCCTGAGGCCCGCAAGTGGACGGTGACCGGCAAAGAGGGCGACCCAGCCATGACTGCGAAACTCGATACCATTATGGAAACATGGATGAAAAAGAACGGCGTGCGTCAGGCCCAAGTCGCAGGCGCCGAAGAGGGTCATATCGTCTTTGAGCGCGGTTATACTTGGGCAGAGCGCAACCGAGCTCCTGTCCAACCGGACGACGTTTTCCTTCTGGCTAGTCTGAGTAAGATGTTCGTCCATGCTGCCATTGACAACCTGATTCAGGCTGGAAAGCTCAAGCTTTCCACACGCGTGTACGACCTCCTTGGCTACAAACAAGCTAAGGATCCGCGGGCTCTCACTACAACAATCGACCATCTCCTTACGCATAAGACAGGATTTGATCGTTCAAAGTCGGGTGATCCTGGATTCGAGTTTCGGAAGGCCTCTCAATACTTTTACAACAATGCGCGTCCCGCGACTCTGCGCGACATGATCGAATATCAGCTCACGAAAAGTCTCGATTCCAAACCTGGTTCGAAATATGTCTATGCAAATTACGGCTCAATGCTCCTGGGCTACGTCGTGAGCAACATTACTCAACAGCCGTATTTAGACTTCTTGAAGGAGAATATCCTGGAAGGTCTGGATGTTCGTGTCTTCGAGACAGCCGCTAGCAAGCACGCCGTCGATCGCATCATCCAAGACACCCGCTTTACTGGCCTCGACGGCTCGCAACCGGACTCCATAGCGAATGTGTCCAACGTTTTCGGAGGCGACGGGGCTGTCAAAGAGGAATGCGATGCCGCATTCTCGCTCGCCGCTAGCGCCAGCACCATTGCAAAGTTCATCAGCAAGCACGCCGTCTGGGGTACTGGTGGACGTACTGTTGGCAAGCGTCAGGGCACGCTCGCGGGAGCACGATCTTTTGCCGCATCGGAGAAGTCGGGCCTCGACTGGGTCATCACCATCAACACGCGCGACTTCATCAATGATGGTGAGGTTGATAACTTGAGATTTAAACTCTTGGAGCCCCTGTTCGTCGAGCCGAATTCATGCTTTTCTTGGTTAAAAAGGCTTTGTGCTAGTGGTTGAACTTCATGCCACTGTCTGCTTTTTTGTGTGTATATAAATTGAGTAGATACCCCAATACGTGTTTTGACAATCCCACTATGCGCCTTGTGTTCACTGGTGCTTGTATGCTCTTATCGAAGGAGTTTGGGTTCAAAAGCAAACCAATCATTTGCACAACTTAAGCTGAGGGGGCTTTTTACTAGACAAGGCCCTGTGAGGCTCGTTGTCACCATGTTCCGCGTAAGTAAACAAATGATCTGAACGGAAACTGCTGAGATCGCTAAAACGTTGATGTCTGCACCGAGTCTTCCGGGATATCTGCGCTGGACGCATGCTGATCGTGATACAAGTACCTTGATGGCCTTACATCAAATCAGCCAAGCAATCTGCCTTCGGAAGACCAGGCAGCTTGAATCAAGTTCAAATCATCATTCATTACTTGTCTTGGCATGCTCGCTAACAATTGATAGAATTTGGCGATGGAGTTTCGGAGTCCGCCCTCAACGTGGAATAAATGCCAAGACAAGTCGTTATATCGGAGAGGCGTCGAGAAGTGAAGTTGATGACTTACCGGTGGGATGGATGGCGAAGTCGAAGCTTTACCGATGGGATGAACCATTAGTGCGGAACGCGACCTTTATCATTGGTTTAGACGAACCCAAACCCCAAATCGTCCAGTTTTCCCCTTTAAAAACAACGCTGCCAAGCCCATCCTTATTCAAACCTTATCCGCAACCCCTGCCAAGAAGAAGCACACAAGCAGACCGACAGTGCGCTGCAGCGATTTTCTTTACACGTGCGACCAGCAATTACCAATTCCATGGAAAGAGTGATCTAATTACCCAGCCAGTTAGATTAATAGGTGGGAAAATCCGCCGGGGTTCCAGGGTCATCCCGACCCCGCACGGAAAACGAGCTTGGCGGAGCAAGCATAGTCGCATTTCCGACATGTGTACCTTGAATTCTTAAAGAGGCGTGATTCCCAGTGCTCAAAAATGGAGTCGAGCAGCTTTCTCGGGTTCATTGGTTCTTCTCCAGTTGCCAGTCATGTTGTCCAAACTCACCTCTGCCTGGCTGTTGGCCGTCATGTCCGTCAAGCCGGTTTCGTCGACTCTGCTCTACGCCGCCTCCCACGCGGGGACCGTCACGACTCTCAACCTTCAGACTTCCGAGTCCGGGGCAACTTTGGATGCAATCTCGACAACGACGGAATGCGCCGCCAACCCTTCCTGGCTGACCCTCGACCAGTCAAAGTCTCTGCTCTATTGCGCGGACAGAGGCCTCACCAATCCCAACGGCACGCTCGTCTCCTTCTCAAAATCTGAGAACGGAACCCTCTCGCCGCTTGGCAAACTGGAGACCATCAAGGGTGCCGTTAGCTCTGTTGTCTACGGCAAGGATGGCGGTGGAATTGCGCTGGCGTCTTAGTAAGTACATCGCCCACGTGCTGCGCTAGCATTAGAACCCCTGTCAGAAGTCGAGCTGGGGTATAAATGTGAAATGGTAATGTTGGAAAACAACATGGATATTGGAACTGACAAAATTTTGTTTAGCCCTGCATCCTCTTTCGAGGTCTTCTCTGTAGCTGACCCGAGCGACATCAAGAGGTTGCAGTCCTGGACGTACTCGCTGAGCCAACCAGGCCCGAAGCCCGCTCAGAATGCCCCGCATCCCCACGAGGCCATCCTTGACCCCACGGGGGAGTTCGTGTTGGTGCCGGATCTGGGAGCCGACCTGGTGCGGGTTTTCAACATCAACCAGGAGACATACGAATTGACGCCAAGCACCCCTCTCAACGCGGCATCCGGAAGCGGCCCAAGACACGCCAGATTCCTTGTTGTCGGCAAGAAGACATTCTTCTTCCTGTTGGCTGAGCTCGGCAACACCATCACGTCTTACGAGGTCACCTACAACCAGGACAAGACTCTGGAATTTAAAGAGGTTTTCGTCGTTGGCACTCACGGCCCGGACAACGTTGTCCCTGTCGGAGCTGCAGCAGCTGAGATCCACGTCTCTGTGAGTACTACCACACTTTAAATGATTGAATCTCGGCGACTAACCACAGTCCCAGCCCGACTCTCAGTACCTGGTCATTTCCTCCCGCAACGTCAGCACCTTCAGCATTCCCAACTTCGACAAGACCAACAGCACCGAGATCGTGTCCGACGCGCTGGCCATATTCGCCATCGACCAGGAGACGGGCCACCTGAACTTCACTCAGCTCTACCCTGCAGGTGGCAGATTCCCCCGCCAGTTCTCAATCAACAAGGCCGGCGATCAGGTCGCTGTTGGTCTTCAGTCAGATGGACGTGTGGTGATCATCAGCAGAGATGTCAAGACCGGTCTTCTCAAGGATTTCATCGCGAACATTGACATCGCTGGCGAGGTTGTGTGCGTCATTTATGACGAGTAGAAAAAGCCAGTCGAAGCGGTAGGAACTTGTGACGCGAGAGCGACCGAGAAGCAACCGAGAAGCAAGAGTTATGCGGGAGCATCTAGCAAATGTGAGAACTCAATGTATATAGCCAACCAAAGACCACATTTTCTTTCAAAGAATAAAATCAAAGTCGGATTCGCAAAATGGCTCTTTGCTGCATAAGCTCGGGAGTCACACTTCAATGTTGAATTAGCAGCATGCAGACTACACAGGGGAGGACGTCTACTCGTGGGAGAATGTATGACAACCATGAATCCCGAAAACGAGTAGGAACTTGGAACTCAAGTATTCCTTGGAAATAATCTTTTAAATATTGCTTTTTTTAAGAAAATCGGGCAGGAATGGGACATCGAAACAGAGGTTCCCTGCTAGACCATAAAACAGCAGCACGCAAGAATTGTCTCATTAAGAAGCTCGGTCTATGTAAGATTTGAGAAGCCAAGTTCATTATGAACTCTGCGAAACTCAAGCAACAGACCAACTTATTAAGGAAGGGCTGAATTGGTGTAAGTTTGGTTGGACGTCGGTGCGAGGATTCCGCCCAGATAAGCTCCTGACGGCCAGCGTAGGTTTTCAGGGGTGACGGCTATCACGGCTCCTCCCCCAATGCACATTCCAATCCGGGCCATGGCGTCAATTGACAGCCCGCAGAACTGGAACCTCATCACTTCTTCCCCGGACATTGCGGGACTCGTTGTGTCGCACGGTGGCTACTCAACCCCTGATATGGCGGGCTGATCGCCGAGCCAAGCTCTTGCGGAGCCTTCTTCTCGGTGCGATGCGAAAGACAAGCTTTCTTTGCATCCGATCTATCTTGGCAAACAGCATGCCCAAGTTCGTCCCATGAAAATCGAGCTTATTTTAGGTGTATTGGCCGACTTGCTGAATGAACGAGTCAAGACCGTTCTTTCTAGCACATTGTGAGCTGTTTTGCTCTGCGGGTGACAAGGTTTTATTGCGGCCCGTATAGGGGTTAAAGTTATATTAATGCTGCTGAGCTATAGTCAAGCAAGCAAAAGTGCGCATCCGTTCGGTCGGCTCGGGAGCTTGTTCAGAATGCAGTTCGGGTCGATTTTCGATGCCGGATGGGTCGCTGTGAGATTCCCCGCCAATTGGAGACTTGCTATTGCCTCAAGGAACACGACATATATGAATGTTTCAAACTAAGAGAATTTGCTTTTCTCCCTAATAAACGGTTAATTGCGCGATGTCAGTCATGCTCATCAGTTGCCGGCACCTATGTTTATCGTTCGCCATTGCAATGGCACCCCGGCCAAGACGGTGCGGCCGAGTTAATTGTAGGGTACACTGCAGCTGAGCTACTCTAATTATTAACTCTCTCTTCATCTTAGAGAGTGGTGATCCATGCCACATTCAATCAGCGTTGCAATAAGATGCAGTGCCTCAGGGGAAACCGATCACGCCAAATACGATTGCCTATTTATTATCGGCCCTCTCGCCAAGTTTCTGCCAAGATGGCCGTTTGGTTTCCCAAGCGTCGACACTCGCCATTTTCATTCGTTTCACTCTAGATAATAACCATGGCTCCCGCGCTTTCTCTACGCGCTCTTCTGTTGGCGATGTTGCCATGCACCGTCCTGGCCCACTGGCGTGTTGATGGTCACAACCCCGTCAAGGCGTTGGCGGAGGAGAGGCGTGGCCCGAATCGTCGCAATATTCAAAAGCGCGATGTCAGCGGTGACTACCAGTACTTGACTGACAAGACTCAGAGTGAGATTCATATGGGCGTGCTGTGTTTCCCAGCAAGCAAGCTAATGATATCTCAGAGTATCTTGTCAACGGCACCGACATTCCTTTCGTCGACTGGGACCTCGGCGAGTCTTACGCCGGTCTGATGCCCATCTCCAAAAAGTCGAATGAGACGCGCGAGCTGTTCTTCTGGTACTTCCCAAGCACCAACAAGGAAGCTTCCAACGAAGTCACCATCTGGTAGAAATTCCCCACGACACATCGCACTCATCAATTCTAACATATACCAGGCTCAACGGTGGCCCAGGCTGCAGTTCCTTCATTGGGCTTGTCCAAGAAAACGGCCCCTTCACCTGGTTCCCCTCCGCCTACCGCCCCGTCTACAACATCTACTCCTGGTCCCAGCTCTCCAACATGCTCTACGTCGACCAGCCCGCCGGCACCGGCTTCTCCGTCGGCTCCCCGGACGCCACCACCGAGGAAGAGATCGCCCAGCAGTTCCTTGGCTTCTACCACAACTGGATGGAGACCTTCAACACCACCGGCCGCAAGACCCATCTCACCGGCGAGAGCTACGCGGGCCACTACATCCCGTACATCGGCGACGCCATGATCAAGTCCAACCAACCCGCCGACTACAACCTCTCCGGCGCCATGATGTTCAGCCCCTACATCCGCAGCGTCCCCAACGACTTCCAGCAGCACATCGTCACCAAGCCCTTCGTCGAGGAGTACAACAACGTCATGGGCCTGTACCCCGACGTCGGCGACTACTGGGACCGCATCGAGGCCGCGGACGAGGCCTGTGGCTACAAAGAGATGCGCGAGAAGTACTTTACCTTCCCGCCCGCAGGCCCCTTCCCTCCCGGCAACATGAGCAACGATTGCCAAATTTCCTCCATTGTATACGACGGCTTGGCTGAAGTCAGCCCGTGCTCCAACATCTACCACATCTCCCAGGGCTGCCCGAACCCCTCCGACCCCCTACTCTGGGCCTCAGCCGGTGACAACGCCAGCGTGCCGCTCAGCTTCGACAAGAAGGACTGGCACGGATACCTCAACATCCCCCAGATGCGCAAGGCGATCCACATCCCCGAGGGACAGAAGGATTGGCAGGAGTGCACCGACGCGGACCCCTTCGGCCCCAATGGTGACCAGAGCGAGGACCCCTTCACCTCGGGTGCCCTGACGAGAGTCATCGAGCACACCAACAACTTCATCATCGCCAGCGGCAACCTCGACTGTGAGTTCTTACCAGGTAACGCTCAATGGCTCTTTCAGAAACTGACATCGCGACCCGCAGACCGCGTACCTACCAACGGCACACTCTATGTGCTGCAGAACATGACCTGGAACGGAAAACAGGGCTTCGACGAGTTCCCCAGCAAGACATTCTTCCTCCCCACCGCGTACAGCGACCTGTCCTCGCAGAGCGCCGCGGGCAAGATCGGCGACTGGGTTGAGCAGAGAGGCCTCAACTTTGCTAGAGTTTTCAACGCCGGACATGGTGAGCTTTTCTGGACATCCTTCCTGGGATTGTCTTTCATGGTGACTAACATGCTGTGATAGAACTTCCGGAGTACGCTCAGGGTGCGGGCTACCGTCTGCTTGAGAAGCTTCTAGGCCGCGTATCAGATCTGGCATCCGATGTCATGTTCACTGCCCTTCCAGGCAACTTTGCGGCTCCCACGAATGCGACGGCGGCCAGCAAGAAGCTTTAAGTTTCCGTTACCCCTGCTTCAAAACAGTCTAGCGCCCCTACGTAGACATAGTTTTGATACAAGAAATAAATTTGTAATCATGTTACCCCTTTGATTCAAGAGATCGCCTATTCTTCTTGTCCCAAAGCGACTACTATTCATGTGTACTTAATGACTTTGATAAGGAGGACGACGGGGGATGACGACGGGGGATGACGACGGGGGGCGTCGGCGATAGACGCTGATAATAAAGGACGAAGACGATACACGACGATGATAGTAGCAATAATAGTAACGACTACAATACCAACGACGATAGCGAGCACACAGGAAAATGAGCCGGTCTCTTAATCAATGGCTCGGATTACACTTAGCATGTTCGCTCGTATAGCGCCATAGCCCCCAGGGCTCAGAACATCCATCACTGAGGCGATGATTACACAATATGAAAACGTTGGATCAGGTTCATGCAGTCAAGAAGTCTCCTGTGTTGTCTTTGTACGTTGCTAAGAAGATATACATGAATCAAGCCAGTTTCCTCCGTGGCATGCCCAGCCTAAGGAGGACAGCACCAGTAGCCAACGGCCTGAGAAATCTCGTTAGTCAAAGAGCTCATTTAAACGTGGCGTCAGATACGACTTACCGCGTCAACAGACTCGCAGGGAGGGAAGGGAGGCCACTCGGCTTCAGAAATACCGCACTGGGCATGAAAGTCAGCTACGTGATGGTACGAAACGAGGTCGTGACCCTCACCTTGTACTCAACTAGCGCAGAGTTGAAGCAGCTGTTGCCGGACTTGCTGCATCCAGGGTGAGACCAGCCCATGACGGCCACCGGGGCAATAGCGAGGAGGAGGGCGGAAAGCTGCATATTGAAGTATCGTGGGCCGGGTGCTGCGAAAAGTGACTTGGTCTAACGCCTGTTGTAACTTCTTGCGTCCAAGAATAGTTCTGGCCTTTTATACCGTCTTCACAGCGCCTTCGGACTGATCGCGGATCGGCGGCCTTCTGTTTTCTCCGTTCCTCAGAACGGTGAAGCATCGCAGGCCGAGTCAGTCCCTCACTAAGATCGAACCGGTGGGCTGTGGAGACGATTGGGCGATCTCATCTGAACTCATTTATCCGCTGCCAGGCACGGTTTGCTCCGGGGACTTGGCTCTGGTATGAGATATAATTTAAGCCGTGGCTGTGTTGTGTGCGAGTGCCGGTAGGTCGTTCACGCTCCTGAATCGGGCTCATCCGTATGGTGCTGTAACGAACGCATAATAGGTGACGTTTAACTCCCGCAGAATCTCAAAGGCGCACATTGCGAAAGTTCTTGACCCCAATATCACAGTCGATTATTGCAATCGTCATATTCAATGCTCTAGAGAAGCTGATCGTGTGCCCACAGTGTAGGCCGCTGCGAGCGAGTCATTTCAGGGCGCGGTGAAGATTTCGGGTGGGCATATGCAGGCATGACGGGCTTGGCGTTAAGCTTAATCGTCCCGCGACGTCCGTAACCGCGGGTTTCTGCCTGGCTGGCTGCGGACGCTAGAGTAGTTTGGCGACGCGTCCCAGAGTTTATTGTGCTACTCTGATATGTTGGGGCCTCAGGATACGTTGGTTCGGGGACTTCTTTGACGTATGCGGGAGATTCTTCCCGGCGGACAGTCCACGGCGGGTTGCAAGTCTGCGGCGTGGTATCGTGTAGATAGGGGCCCGGTTCACCCTTCTTATGCGTTGCTAGCATCGAGACTAGAGTTCGTCTCGTGTAAGATGTTGTCGTGTAGCATAGATGCTCCATAAGAAATGCCATGGCGAAGGCTAGCCAGAAAAAAGCTACCAAGATGTCAGCGTCACTGATGTGCGTGAATGCTAAGGCTTCATAGTCTAGCTGGCAAGAGGAAAGAATGTTAAGATAAAACAGAGAGAGCCCCTTGGATAGGGCCTAGGTCAGTGAGAAATGAGTTGAGCGATCCGCTCAGGTCCTGCTGATCCTTCCAATTCTCGAGAAAGGACGTAACAGAACGTGCAAATAAGGGGTAGCGGAGGATGTGTCGTGCTTTTGATGTTCCTACCCGCCGCGCCCTATCTCCTCATGCAGCACCCTACTGCTCCGTGCAGGGCAGACTTTTGGTGGACTTTCAGCGGCTTTCACGGAGCAAAGCGGGCCTGGGCCGGCGTCCGCTCCGCGGGATGCGCGGGGCCGACGCCCGGATTTGGGACGGCATCGCGGGGCAAGCAATGTCTAAGTTACACCGGGGTGTTACGTTCTATATGCCGGCAGTAATGTGAGAAATTACTGTCAGTTGGAATTGAGGTAGATACTTATCTAAACTTCTCGTCCGTACGGAGCCCGCGCCCAACATTGGCTGGCTCTAAGATGCCGTCGTCACGACGGACTGCTCCATCAACATGGGACGGAGTAAACCCGAACACCAAACAAACATCAACCCCTCTCTCGATCCAGTGGATCAGAGCATCTGATGTTCATCACTTAGTTCGTCCGTCTCGGTGGACTACTTCACAGTTCTCGAATACATAAATGATCACCTCTTCCCCAAGTAAACCAACACCACCATGCTCACCATCTCCAAAACCTCACCATTCCCACCACCCCCACCATAAAAATGCCCCCCTCAAAGCTCGACAACACCCACATCCTAATCTTCGGCGGCTCCTCCGGCCTAGGCCACACCGCCGCCTCCCAGATCCTCCTCACCTCCTCCCCCTCCATCCTAACCCTCGTCTCCTCCAACCCAACCAAACTCGCCGCCGCAGCCTCCCGCCTCCCCCCCTCCTCCACAACAATCCAGACCCCCACAATAGACCTCTCCGACCTCCCCAACCTCCGCCAAAACCTCCTCGCCCTCCTCGACACCGCAACCTCCAACGGCCTCAACAAAATAACTCACATAATCTACACCGCAGACGGCGCCGCCCCCCTCCCGTCCTTCCCCGAGACCCAGGTCGCAGACATCACAGCCCAGCTCTCCATGCGCACCTACGCCCCGCTCATGCTCGCCTCCATCCTGCGCTCCCACGCACACATCGAAGCAAGCCCAGACACCTCCATCACCTTCACAAACGGCTCCTCGTCCCACCGCCCCATGCCCGGCTGGGCCGTCGCCGACGCCGCCGCCGGCGCGATGGAGGGCATGGTCCGCGGCCTGGCCGTCGACTTCGCGCCCGTGCGTGTGAACCTCGTGTCCTCCGGGCCGGTGAGCACCGAGATATTCCAGACGCTGCCGGAGGAGACGGTGGAGCTGTTCCGGAGTAAGTGTCTCACGGGGCGGATCGGGAGGCCTGAGGATGTGGCGGAGGCGTATTCGTATCTGATGAAGGATGGGAATGTGACGGGTACGACGTTGTTCACGGAGGGAGGGAGGATTCTAGCCCCTTGAGTGGTTTTGGTTGTGTGATGTCAGATCAGTGCCACCTACTGCCTCACAGTAAACGAGAAAATTCAGTCATAGGCATATTTACCATTATCGCTATGTCCGCCCACGCCTACCCATGCGCAGAACCATGCATCCCCATTTTGAACGGCTAAAATACAAGGGCGCTCCGGTCCCTTTCCCATCTCGACTCCTCCCACGCTCAATCACCATAACATTGCCGCAGGGGAAGACCTCCCACTCCCAATCAAGCCAAGAAGTTCCGCCTCCTTGGGGTTCAACTAGCGCATTGAATCGGAACTCTCGCTATCTTCAATCGTGGTAATAGTCAGGTCGTCGTCATCTGTATCCATCTCGGAGATCCAGATGCCGTCTTCGAATATCCTGTCCGGGACAGGGTCGTCTTGTCCGTTCTAGGGGATGCAGAAGTCGACCCAGCTGCCCAGGTAGTCGAGCCTGTTGCCGGCGTTCTCCTGGCTCTTGTAAATGTCCTCAAACTCCTCGAAGCTGAGCTTGCCCCAGCCGCCGCGGTCGGCGGCCTCCTTCTCTGCAATGTCGAGGCGCTTCCACTCCATAAGCTTGGAATGCAAGATTCCCTCCTTTTCCTTGGCAGCGCGGTCACGCTTGCCCTCGCGATCCTTGTTCGAAGCTGCCCTGGCATCCCTCTTTTTGGTTTTGACTGATTCGGCCGAAGATGATGGTGTGAGTGATGGGATGGGGGGTTCGATAGAGGCGTCGCTGTTGGGACGGAATTGGGGCATCGTGGGGTCACGGTAATCGACCTCTTCAACGACCGGCACCTCTTCTTCTTCTTCCTCCTCCTCCTCGGCACCCTCCTCATCCGTTTCGTCGATTTCTTCAATCACACGCTCGACCTCTACCGCAGGATGAGTATCTTCACCCTCGCCGGATTCCTCAACTCTGTAGCCACTAGTCAAGAGCAGCTCTTCTAGGGATCGCTCGGCAATGGGCTTGCTCTCATCCAGCGCCTTACGTGGCTGTCGCGGTTCAATCACTTTTGGCTTCGTCTCTTCGACGGTGAGGTTCTCAAACAGAGCTCTGTGCGTCTCTCTCTGAGATCTGGACGCGGCCGCTTGAATAGCCAGATCCTCCTTGTCCTTGAAGATGGCGTCGAGGAGCTCGTTGAATGCCTGCTGAGTGACCTGGTAAAGAATCTCCTTGCCCGCGTCCCGCTCCTCGTCTGGGATCTCCATACCACCCCAGCGCTCGGGGACGCTCCTAGAAGACGCTGATGCGTTGGATCTGATCTCGTAGTCGTCCAATTCTTCCGCAAAGCGAACCTTTGAAGATGACCTCGAGCGTGGGGACAGAACCTGCTGCTGCGCTGCCTTGGAACTCTCAGCGACGCCGTTGCGGTTGTTGACGAGCACGTCTTCATCAGACTGCCATCCATCGGGAGCCAGGCCGCCTTCTTCTTCGTCGAGGTAAAACTGTCTCCTCTTCCACCTGTCGTGTAGTTGCTTCCTTGCGGCTTGTCGCCGTCTTCTTTCAATATCCGGTGCCAGCTGCCTCCTATGGTTGATGACTTGCGCTCGGAGTTGGCTTTCTGTGGGCATAGTGCTAGTAAATTGTTCTGAATCGACTCTTCTGGTCCTGCTGTCCGACTCGTCCGGCTGGCCAATAACAGCACCGGTGGAGCTTCTGTTTTCCGCGTCCGAGTTGTTGTTTCCATCCTCTTCGCCGTCCGAGCTGCCCAATTCAAGCTCAAAGTCAAAGTCCAGCTCATTGCGTTCGCGACGTTGTCCACTCAGCAGGTCCGGCAGATCATCCATACTTGTAGGCGGGTTCAGCAGAGCATCCCAGTAAGGCGTATCCGGTTCACTGTCGGGAGACCGCATCTGAACGGTCCAGGGGCTACCGATGTACGGTGCGAAAAGTCGGGTCAAGACGTCCTCTCTCGCCGACGTGTCACCCTTATCCTCGCTCACAGCACCTTGTCTGCCGGGCTCCAGTTCGACGTCACCGTTGGGGTGGAAGATCTTGCCCTCGCTGCGGTTGTCCCCATCAGCGCGCGGCACTCGCCCCTCTCGGCCAAAGAGACTGCTGAGAGGTTGGCGGCTGGCCACCAATTGCATTGCCTCAGTGCTGCCCATGAGCTGGTCATCCAGTCCGTCAAGAATGTCGCGGTGCATCTGCTTGTAGAGAACATAGTACGCGCGGAACATGCGCAAGAAGTCGCGGCGGTTGACGAAGCCGTCCCCGTCAATGTCGTAACCCTCGAAGATCTTGCGCAGCTTGTCCTTTCGTTTGCGGTATGCCAGTCCATGCAGGAACTCAGTAAAGCCAATGAGGTCGTCGTTGTTGGTATCGTAGAATGAAAACATCCGGTCGTGGATCAAGTTCGGCGTCGCATGTCGAGAGCCACCGGACGGCACCAGGCACCGCTCGAACGTCTTCCTGTCCATAGCAAGCTGCAAATCGTCCGGATCCTCGCGCCACTCCGTGTTAGCCATGAACGAGAACTGCTCCCAAAAGGCCTCGATCTCCGGCCTCTCGAAACCAGTCTCCTTGCTCAGCTTGGCCATCAAACTCCGCGGCAGATTTCTTATACACGCTTCCGGATCACCAGTGTACCACACCGGCTGCATCTGCCTAGGACCAAACGGCGGAGCGGGGACCTTGATCTTGTAGAAAATGTGCGTCTTGATATGCACGCCCTGAGACTCGCACGTCTCGCAGAGGTCGAAGTCGGCGCAGTTGGCACAGCGGTAGCGGACGCCGCGTATGGGCACCATGCCGCAGGCGTTACATGCGCAGCCTCGATGGACGCAAGCGTTCCGTCTCGCATTGTCCTCCGAGACCCTAAATAGCAAGCTGACGATGTTGTGCCCCGCGCGGGCCTGGGGCTGCATGCCGTTGGGGTCGTTCCACCACTCGTCGACGGTGCCGCCGTCGACTATCGTGTCGCCGTCATTCAGGGGCCGGATCGCGTCGAGGTCTGCGGCGTTCTCGTCCGGGACGTGGTCGCCGTCGCCGCCGTCAGACGAGGAGAGGGAGTTGGCACGGCGGGTGCGACGGTGGGTGCGGCGGACGGCATTGCTGCGGTGGAGGCCTGGGCCGGGGACGCCATCTCCGTAGGCGTCCTGGGTCGCTTGGTAGGCGTAGTAGCTTACGGAGAGGGCGGCGATGGCGGAGACGACGGCGACTGCGATGCGCGGTCGGGTCAGGCTGTCTGTTGATGGCACCGAGAGCCACATGATGGAGCGTAGGTGTACCTATGCGTGTAGCATGTTGAGGACAGTAGTTGATGTTCACATGCACGCGTAATCTGTTGCTGATCAATTTCTGAAGGCGGTAGATATGTGGCGTCGCAGGGCGAAATAATATTGTTGCTTGATGTCGAGCTGAGCTGTTCGATGACCAAACGAAACAGGGTCAGACTTGCGCCAGCTGTTGATTCTGCCGTAAGGAGGGGGGAAGGAGGCAGGCGGTGAGCTGCTTGAGAGAAGTAGTTCAGTCAGCACGTGGCCCGAGCTCTGGCTTGTCGCCAAGCTATTTCGAGGCAGGTACGTACCGCAGACGGGGTTCCGTCATTATCAGAAGCATTGGATATTTCAATGGTTGAATAAGGTCTTTCTGCAATCAACAATAAGCTCATAGACCTTTTCGTGAAAGACTAGATGAGTGACCCTAAGCTCTTAAAAACCTTCGGAATTCCGCGCCATCCGATGTATATCAACTCCCTGACTGGCCCAAGACTCACGGGGATCAATAACGTCCCATGAGCTGGGAGCTTCCACGCGGCGACTGAAGCTCCCCGGGGCCGAGGCATTGTTCATGTGGGACTAGGGGTCACAGGAAGCCGCGCCGCCGCTGAGTGCTGCTGCTATCAATGTACTCCAGGCCAGCATCCATTTCGGATACCGACAAAATGTATCCTGATAACTGACACCGACACTCATCAACGTCACCGCCGTCCTCTCTGAAGCATCTCTGTCGAGCTAACGTGGGATCCCATGATCGTGTTCACAGACGCCAGCTTCTGCAGCACTTTTTGTTAAATAAGTCCTGTTTCCAATATAACCGCCTCGCAAATCGCCAAAAACCCGCAGGTCTGGTTCGGGTCAAGGTAGCGAATACGCTTGCTTCTTTTCGTCGCATATTTTCAATCAAGGAGGGTGGGTTCGAGCTCAAGGATCAAGCTCCCCCGGCTCTCAATCTATCTCTCTGTGTGTCTCTCAGACAAGAGCAGCTCACAGCCTCAATCAAAACTCATCTGTAACACCCTCCTCCCCCATCGCCACCCTTGAGCTTTTACTTCCCTCTTTGCTCAAAATCCACTCTCTCTCGCGATCAACCTTACATACATGCGCGTAAACCGACGACGATTCTAAATCCAGCCGCAGGTGCAACCTCAAACGATCTGCATTACAACCTCATAAAAGGGTCCTGGGGTAAAGAGACAACTCGCAATCATGGCTACCAAGTAAGCGCTGCTACTCACAATGTAAACTCAACCCCGGGGATGGCTTCATCTGACCAAAATGCACTTCAAGGGTCCCCGTCTTCCCAACGGCGGAAGCCACAATGAACCACCCCTCCTATCCCTCAACGATATGGAACCTCGAGCCCGACCGCTCAGGAAAGTGTCCCGTCGCCAAAGACCGTGACGGGCCCTTCAACATTTCCTGGGAAATCCACGGCCACGGCCCCTCCAAGATCATCGTACTTCCCTCTACCCCTCTGTATCCTCTTCGCCACTGACACCCCTCGAAGTTCATCATGGGCCTCGCCGGCGTCAAAACCTCCTGGCAGCGCCAAACAAAACACTTCGGCCACGACAATGCCGCCCGCTACTCCGTTCTCATCCTCGACAACCGCGGCATGGGCGGCTCCGACGTCCCCTACGCCCGCTACACCACCTCCGCAATGGCCCTCGACGCCCTCGACGTCCTCACCCACGTCGGCTGGTCCTCCACCCCGCGCTCCGTCCACCTCTTCGGCATCTCCATGGGCGGCATGATCTCCCAAGAACTCGCCTTCGCCGCGCCCGACCTCTTCGCCTCCGTCACCTTCCTCTGCACCGCCCCCTGGATCGAGAACACGAAACCCCTCCTCACGAACCTCGCCGACCGCGCCGCCATGCTCGTCCCCAAGTCCATGGACCGCAGCATCCAGGACACCGCCCTCAAGCTCTTCCCCGCGGAGTGGCTCGTCCAGCCCGACGAGGCCGCCGAGCTCCCCGACGAGAGCACGCCCAAGTGCGGCCCCGCGGACGGCGGGAAGGGGTATGGTCGGTTCGACAGCAACTTCCAGCGCTTCCAGGCGCAGGAGCTCGTGAAGCGCTGCACGCCGGGGCTTTTCAGCATCCTCGGCTTCATCCTGCAGCTCGTCAGCGCCGGGTGGCATCACAAGTCGCCTGAGCAGTTGACACAGCTGGCGGACGCGGTCGGCAGGGAGAGGATCGCGGTCATCCACGGTAATGCGGATGTCATGATTGACGCGCACCACGGCCGGTTGCTGGCGAAGCATTTGGAGCCTAGTGTGGTTGAGTTTATCGACGGCATGGGACACGCGCCCATCATGGACAGAGTAGCGTGGATGAATAAGTGGTACGTGGACAGGATCGACGCGGTCGAGAAGCAGTTTCCCTTGCCGTGAGGGGAATGGGACGATCCGCCGGGCGATGAGTTGAGCAGACACATAGAGACAGGATACACGATAGTGTGCAGGTTGTGAGAGCTTTTATTCATGTACTATGATACCTCCGCATCCATCCAACGCCGTATGCATGCAGTCATACCGTTTCTCCCGGTGCCGTGCTCGCCCTTTTGCGATTCCCCATTTACAACATGACCAAACCAATGCCGCTCAGGTTCTCCTCGTCCAGCTTGTTACGTCTGTCGACGCCTCCGGCGATGGGGGCCGCAAGGTAGTTGAAGAGGTAGTAGTGCAGCTGGCCGTCGCCGGGTCCGAACTTCTGCTGCTCCAGGAAGAGGCCGTTGTCGAGGAGGGACAGGCCGTTGAAGACGTCAAACCTGTGCTTCTTAGCCAGGATGAGAGCGTCGCCAATGAGCGAGTTCAGGCGCGGCTTGAGCGCCTCCTTGTCAAGGGGCTGGGTAGTGCCGATTTCGGAGGCGTAGTACCAGAGGTAGGCGGCGCGGATGACCTGGTGCTTGGTGCTGTTGATGATGGTAGACTCGAGGCAGTAGAAGGAGAAGAAGTCGGTAATCTTGCCGTTGTTCTGTTCTTGGTCAGCCATGCCGTCAACAAAGGGGGCGATTCAATACAAACCTCAACAACGTAGGTCCAGATGACCTGCTCGCCGCCCTTCTCCTTGTCATGCAGGAACCAGTGCTTGAATTCCTCCTTGGAGAACTGGGGCGCCATATCGAAGCGGGCGAGGTACTTGTCCAGAAGGGCGCTCGCCTGCTCAATGTCCTTCTCCTGCAGCTCGCGCAGGCCCTTAGTCGACGTATTGTCGGACAGCGCATACTTGCGGATCTGGAACTGAGGCTTGCTGTTGGCAGGCAGCGGGCTGAAGCCGACCTCGTACAGCTTCTGCCAGTTGATGGCACGGTGGAAGTAGCGACAGGTGCTGACGGGCTTGGGCAGAACGACACCACCAGTGTACAGACCCTGCCAGATCTCGCGCAGGTTGCTGCGGCGGGTAATCTCCTTAATCAAGACAGGCGCCAGACGCTTGCCGCGGAGCTTCTTGTGGACAACCATGAAGTTGACCTCGGAGCAGGTGATGACGTTCTTGCGCACGCGCAGGTTAACGGGGATGGCTGAGATAAAGGCGACCAACTTGCGGGACTGAGAAGCGCGCACACCAACGTGCCACTCCTTGCGCCAGCCAGGAGCCATCAGGGCCCTGCAAAAGTCAGCTTCCACTTGTCTATCAAAGAAAATACCCATCCTTACCACTGCAGCATGGCAGGAGAGTAGTTGAAACGGAACATGGCCTCGTCGTCCTCGACATAGTGTCCGTTCAGCAGCTCGTACACCTCCTTCATCTCGCCCTCGTCCTCAAGGTTCATTGTCACCCACTCAAAGCCGCTGACCATCGGCGCCGGCTCCTTGGGGACGTCCTCGACCTTCTGGACGCGAATCGGGCCCTCCTCGATCTTCTTGTCGCCGTCGCCGAACTTGGGCACGGGCTGCGTGGCCCAGAACTTGTAGCTCGCCATGTCCTTCGCGTTCTTGCCAGCCGAGGCCAGGCCGGTCATGATGTCCTGCAGGTTAAGCTGCTTGAGCGCGTTGGCCGTCTGCTCCGCCGACTGGTTGCCGGAGCCGCTGGCGCCAATCTCGTTCGCGAGGGCGGGGTTCAGCGCCAGGAGCTCGGTGAGCTGCTGGGGCGTGAGCCCGCCGATCGCATCGCGGATCTGCTGCTCGGGGTCGCTGGGCTTGCCGGTCAGAGCTTCCTTGACCTTCTTTCTCTTGGACTTCTTCTTCTTCTTCTTGGCGCCGCCGGAGGCAGGAGCGCCGGCCTCCTCGGGCGCATCGTCCTCCTCCTCCGACTCGACCTCGGGCTCCTTGCCCTTGCCCTTGTTCTCCGCCTCGGCGACGGCGTCCTCGGCCTGCTTGACGGCAGGGTCGAGGGGCTTGGACTCCTCGGCAGGCATGTTTGCTGCTTGGTCGATTCGTTCGCGCGGGTTCGTGGGGTGTTGTTTGCGGCAATCGCAGGCGGGGTGGTGGCGGTGGTGTCGTGGTTCGAGCTTTTGGAGCTCTGGACAAGCTTGGAAGGTGGGAATGGCGGGGGAAGAAGTTTTGGCGGGCGAGAGGACAGTTTCATGTGCCCGGGCAGTTTCCAGCTGTGACTGCATCATGGCGGGGTTAGCTGCTGGGGTGCTGTGTGCGGGCACTGCGGGGCAGCCATCCCACCTGGCGCTAGGGCGCCTTAGCGATCGCGTGGTCTCCAGTTAGGGGTCCGAAGACGCTGTCGCTGCCTGCTGATGTGCGTTTGATCAGCCACGTATCTCACCTTAATTCAATGACGGCATTGTGGTTTGGATTTATGTGTCCTTATCCGCTCTTCTAGTGTCTGCGTCTTGCGGAAATCGACTTCGTGCCTAAAGTGAGCTCGGTAGGTCGGTTCAAAATTAGGTCCATATATCGGCCTATGGGACTTCGCGCCAGATTCATCAGATTCATTACCTTACCAACTCTCAGTCCCTGTCGGCCGAAAGGACAAGGACGCTGAGCTTTTCTGAGAATCGGTTCATCATTACTAAATCTATAGCATCGCGCCAGATGTCTACGCTACTAAAGTCTATCAAAAGCACCTCCAAAGTCTAGTACAACTCCTTCTCTGAAGTCTTGAAAGTGAAGGCGCATATTTACAATGTTCGGCTGCTGGTGTCAGAGCCAGCAGTATCATACGCAGTGCCTACAAGATCGAAAGACCGCATTACTGCGAGGATTACGGGCGCATATCCCATGATGTCGTTGTGTCCTAGTCTTATCAGTTACTGCCCGCCGAAGCACCATTTTATGCCAGTCGCTTACCTCCGTATGGGAACATTTCTTGTCGAATAATGATATTGTGGTCCGCATGCCATGTCGTGACGAATGCGTTCTTGCCCTTGTGGATCGTCCGTACCTCCTTCCAAGACTCAAAGGCGTGGTCGCTCAGCCCACCATCAACGGTGGCATTGGCCGCAGCGCGGAACAGCTTGCTGCTCTCCTCGCAGGGAATATCCGAGTCGTCCTTGGCAGATATCAGAGTCAGGCGTAGCCTTCGCTTGGTCAGCTTCACCAGGCTCTCAAGCCTGTCAGCGGACGGCCACTTGTCGTAGATGAAGGTCTCCATGTACTCTAAGAATCCAGGCCAGACCTTCAGAGGGCCCAGAACGGGGAACAGTCCGCCGATCTTGTAGCCACTGAGCATCTTGGGCAAGTTACTGAAGCCTGCTACGAGAATAACTCCACCAAATTCGATGCCCTGGGAGGCGTAAAGCTCTGCGACGCCGCTGGTCACGGCAGTACCCAAGCTCTGGCCGAGAAGGACGATACGGTCTGACGAGACGCCGGCAACATTAATGACCCAGTCAATCAGAGTAGCCGCATCTTGGATGAGGCCGTCTTCAGAGGGAGTGCCTGTGGAGTGGCCGAATCCGCGATAATCGATTGCCAACACGTGGTAGGAAGAGGTGTCGGTGATGACATGGTAACTGTCAGGACGGTGGTTTTGCGCGATATCTCCGGCGTTCTGTTCTTGTCAGCAATGTCAAAATGCGCTTCAGATGGATACCCCTTACACCATGAACTGCAGCATATTAGTATGAGTGAGCCTTAGACAGGACAGCATGGCTTACATGATAGAACAACGCGGGCTTCAGGGTCCTCCTTAAGCGCCTTGAAAGACTCGGTCTGGGTGAAGTCCTCGCAAAAGCCGGGCCTCTGTGCTGAGAATCTCTCTTCCTGCTTCAGATAGGCTGGCAAGGGCATGACATGCCAAGCATACAAGTTCACTCCATCTGGGGTGTTAAGGGAGAAGGGTGTGACTTGGCCCTCTATGCAAGACATGGGTCAGCTAATTGCGCGTCGCCAGTGGCGGTGATGGTACGTGGACTGACTAGCAAAGCCAAACCGCTCAGGTTCATTGATGCCGCGCCACCAAAGTGTGTTTATCTTGTGCGCGTACAGAAAACTGCAGGAGAGAGTCAGATAAAGTACTGAGAAGCGAATCAAATGGTAAAACCTCACTGTCGTTGAAAAAATGGTGTTGCGCCGAGAGCCAAAAAAGTGAAGTAAAGACCTAGGGGAGCTGCGACCACCCAGACGGCGGATCGCAGGATCGGAGACAGCGGAACCGTCATGGCGTGGGCGGTGGAACAGTTTCTTCAGGCGAGGAGAGAGAATCGCTTTGGGGGAGGTTGTCGTGATGGTTCCGGGCTATATACAGGCAACGGGAGGCGATGTCGTGGCCACCCTCGGGGATGCCTAATGGAACTGGTTGCTTGGTTGAGGTTGGAATTGTCTGCGGTCCGCAGGGATGGTGTCACCGGGTGCCTTATCATTCGGTACTTTCTGTTTGGTTGCATCGCACATCCATCTGGAGGTACTCTGCACTAGAGGTAGGATGTCCCCAAGATGCGGCGGCCTTCCACATTTGCGGTATCAGCCGCACTCTGACGACAGCAGACGGGCCTCGGTATAAAACTGAATTCTTTGTGCTGACCATGGCCAGTAAATCGACTGACTACTGAGCCAACCGGTTTTTTTTTTTTGGAGAAAGTGCAGTATCTGGTTCAATATTTTCGGCATTGCTGGACGTCAAGACTTCATTTGGCGCTGCCCTGGGATTGGTTGCAGCGGTGGTAGGTAATTTACTGGTGCAGAGGCGTGTTGCGAAATGCGAGAGGAATCTGCCCAGATCACAGGTTGTCACTGCCCCCAAGCTTTCACAGCCACACCGCTCTACCCACCCGCGTTTGCCTTCCCGCTCCTCACTGGACAAACGCTGGCGCCAGAGCAGGTCGGCAGCGATGACACCCGGAGCGAGCCAGATTGGCAATTGATGGGAGAAAGCCTGCAGGGTGAGGGCGAGGGCGAGACCAACGAGAGGGACCGACTGGGATGGGAAGGTCATGGAAAACGGCACGCATTCCTGCCTTAGGTAATCACGTAATATGGAGTAATGGTGGGTACGCCAGCTGCAAGGGTGCCGCGGTACAAAGGTACATCCCGTCTGAGAGACGGATTTTGGCGCGATTTAAGTGGCAGGCGGAGCTGAGCCAAGCCCTTCGTCCAGTCAGGGCGCGGCAAGTGCCCAGTTTTCCCCCCTCTTCCCGGCCAATCAGACGACCATATCCTTGTTAAACTTGCAGCCCGCCTGTGTTTCTGTCGTCGGCTACGACTGGACGGCGCCGGAGAACACTGCAATGGAAGGAAGTCCAGACTGACTGCACCCCGTGTCAGCAACACAGAGAGAAAGAAAGACGCTCCGGCCAGTGGACGTCCAGCGCAGCAGCAGCGGCAGCGTGTACCCGCAGCGCCTTAAGTTTGGTAAGGCGTGTTCCCGTCCACTCCAGGTCCCCAGCCAGTCAGGCGAAGCAACGCCAACAACGACGGAGACTTGGGAGCCTCAGGTACATGCCGCATGTATCTTTTCACCTCTCCGAACCATTCAGCTGCCGCACCACGCCTCAAAGGTACAACCGTCCTGCGCGGGCTCAATACCGCGCCCATGTATCTGCCCTGTACCTTTCTCCGATCCATACAGAGACAGAGCTCCCATAATACTATATCCCATCCACCCCAATTCAATTCCCACGAACCTGCCCGTCCCCGAGTCTCCAAATCTCTTCCTCCACCACATCCCCAGCCTGCTTCCGCGACGACCCCCGAAATCGAAAGCTGTAACCCACCGACTCGCTCTTCCGCCCTCTCACGCACGCCGCTGTCGACTGTCCCTCTCCCTCTCATCTCGAGACCGAACCCGACGAGCACGCGCGCAGTCGAGGGCTGTGTATTCCCTCGCTTATGATGACCATTCCGACACGCTCGGAAATCGACCCGTGATACCCTGAACTTCTCGCGACAGGGAGACGGAAAAGGCGAAGACGTACACAGTCATGGAGAGGAAGAGGAAACTGCCCGCAAGGGCTGCTGCGCGCGTCGAGCACATTGCGAAGAAGCGCACCGTCACCCCTCCCGAGCATCGATCCGTCACCCCAGTTGCAGCTCCCGTCGAGGAGCCCCCGCCGCCGGCACTGCCCAAATCGATCCAGCCCGGAAAGCCTTTGCCCACCGTCGAGGACCCCCAACCTGATGATCTTCCCAATAAGGACTACCAGTCGTTTCAGGAGAGGTACGTCGTCAGTCTGCGCAGGCCGAGTTCTCCTACTAACAGATGCTACAGCGGTGTTATGGCCGAGTCCCTTGCACGGTCGCGGCATAGATGGATGGCCGAGGGCATGTTCGAGAAGTACTGGACCAAGCCGTTGAGGAGGAAGGGCGCGACCGAGGATCCCAAGAACCCGGCCAAAGATACCATGAGCAAGATCGGCCAGGTGCAAATTACCATTGAGCCGCACGTCTTTGAGGCCACCATGTGGGCTATTAAGGACCCGAAGCCGCCTGCGCCCACTGCCCAGGCAACGTTCCGGCCAATTCTGCAGTATGGGCCCCCAAATGGTGCCATGCCGCCTCCTCCCACCCCAGCGACAACGAATGCAAACCCTCCTATTGCGCCAGCCGAGTCGAAGCCGACGCCGCCAGCCCCGACACCAGCTTCTCACTCGCCTGCACCCCAGCAAGCGCCATCGAGAGCACCGTCTGCGCCGGCAACTGAGCCCCCCAAGCCAATTCCTTCACCAAGGACTTTGGACGCTGCACGACCTGCAGTCGCGACACCACCTCCTCCCAGGCCAATGGCTCCCGGAGCACCAGTTGCAGCGCCTGGGCAAGGACCAGTGCCTGCGCCAGGCACTCCGTCACACCTTCCCGGTCAGCCTGGCCCGTCACATTCTATGCCAAACTCACGACCAGCAAGCGCAACTCCGACGCCGGCAGCAGGAGCTGCAAAACCTGCGGCTCCCAAGCCTCAAGGCACCGACCCTATCATTATGACGTTGGCCGAAAAGGCGTCAGAGGATCCTATGCTCCGCGATCTAATGAAGCGAGTTGCGGCAGGAGAAGCAAAGCCCGATGAGCTTACTAATTTCCAAAAGATTATTGACCAAATTACGGTTGAGTATAAGAGAAAGGGAGGCCAGCAGGGACCTTCAGCAGACAGATTACTTGTCGACGGAAGGACCGTCAAGTACTTTGCTGATGAGGTGCGCACCATCCTGGACATCGTGCTCTCAACGAACCCGCGCCAGAAGTCGAGCGAGTTGCTTCCCCCTCGGGGCAGTGATCCTTTGGTAGTTGCGTTGGTGAGATCGGCCTTGGACGATAACAAAGTACGCACGATGATACGACGGATAGCCGAGAACCAGCCGGGGTTCACCGACGCGACAGACCTGAAGGCAGTGCTTGACAAATTGCACAAGGAACTCAAGGGCGGTCAAACTCCCCAGCCTCAACCATCAACCCCGCAGACTCCAGTGAACGGCGTCCCGAACGGGCATCCCCCAAAACCGGCCACAGCCCCTGTGCCTTCGCCGAAGCCAGCGCCGGCGGCATCGCCCGCACCTCAATTACAGCATCCTCCGCAGCAGGCTTTGCGTTCCAAGGGTCCACCGCAGCCAGTGCGACCTGAGATCTCAGGCGTCTGTCTGGACTTCACCGGCGGGAATGGCGATCGTTACCTATTCCCAAAGTACAGCATCCTGGAGTATCTGCCAGGTGGTCAGCAGGTGGTTGCCTCATTCTTGATTGTCCGCAAGGGCAGCCAACTGGAGTACGGAGGAGACGCCAAGCTCGACTACTACCAACCCGTCACCATCAGAATATTTTCCCCCTCTGGACGAAACCTCGACTATCTTCAGAGAGTCGTCGCACCCCCTGACGAGGTCAGACGGTACATGGATGATGTTATGGACAACATGACGCGGGCAGAATACGTGCTCTTGGCCATGCGCCTGCCTCGAGGCGAGCGTGAACCCGAGAAGGACGACAACGGCAAGGAAATCGCCGCGCCACCATCAAGACCCGAGTCCACGGCTCCTGATGCCCCGGCCCCTAAGCAGCAGTCGGTGATGTGGGGCCCCATCACGTCCAAGTTTATTCAAAAATTCAACAAAAAGTGGTTTGAAGAGTGGAGGAAGCGAGAGAAGCAGCCAGCCGGCACGACAAAGTCTGACGAAATCTTCAGAGAGGCTTGCCAGGCGATTGGCCGCGATCCTCTGGACAAGGATATAGAGTACGAGAAGATGATTGAGCTCCTGGCAGCAAAGGACTCGGAGTCGTCATCCTCTTGAAAGCAAAATTCCAGCAAGCTAGAAGAGAAAGCACACACCGTTTTGAGTGCTGCGGCACTTGTGTAACCTAGACATCATTCTGAAAGGGGGCACTGGCGAGCGGGTGGGTTGGGTAGCACGTGTTGTATGCATAGGGTCAGCTGTTGTTGCATTCTTGGGCCCCTACATTGTGGTTCTACTTCATTTTTTACTTCTTGGCCTGGCCTAGAAAACAGGTCTGGGTGGGAAAAGGAAACCGGAGTGGGTTTGTCGGGGTGTTTCTTCTCCCTTCATTTTTTTCATTTTTTTCGTCTACTTTTCATCCATTGGTGTTCAGAGAGTATGTAACTTTTCCTCGGGCAATGAGGATACAGCAAAGGGGTGGTGGCTCGATTCCAGCAAATTTTTATTCCCACAAAGAGTTGTGTGCTTTTGGAGATAAGGGAAGGGGGGGTGGTTGGCAACCCGACAGACAGACCGGACAGAGAATTAAGAAGAATTATTCCTACTGCTTTGCTAGTGACTATTGCATATCCTGTGGGATGGATATGTTGGTCTATGATGTACACCTTCGGATCGCATGGCTGGTCTCCTGTGGACAGGAAGTTGACGTATCGTTGCCAACACGTCTTTCAGCTGCGGGAAGATTATCTGCCGGCTGAAGACCGCGCAGCCAGTAAGCATGGGCACTGCTTCGCGTTAAAGCTCATTCATTGCACGGTGCCATGTTGGTGCCATTTCGTCTATTTTGTTGAAAACGCAGGAACATTTCTGTGTTTTCAGAGTCGTGGCTGAGTCCTGAGAACTAAGGCGTTGTGGTTGATGTGAAACTAATTAGCCACGAGGGAGGCCTCGCTGCTTCCGCCAACCGCCGAATATGACAAATGTGCGAGTTATATCCTCATTCTGAAGGTACCTGAACTGGTTTAACTTCAGCGAGGTCACTTTAGGGTAATACGGGGATGCGCGGGGCTATTAAGACTGTATTGCGATGATATCTTACTTGCACTGGCTGACACTTGTTGCCGTTGAACATATCATGTTTGTAGCTCTCTTGCTCCTTGCCTTTCCCCTGGCTCAAGCATCGAATGATGTTGGCAAGTCAACCATGAACCACTATCATTCGAACCGAAGCTTTTGGTCCGGAATAGAGTCTTTAGTTATGGCAAATAAACACCGAATTTTAGTCACAAGAGCTCTCACGCAGCAATCAGGAGTTTAAAACGCTGCCCGATTGTTTTTGAACACCAAGAGATGCCGGCTCAGCTGGCGAGTCTGGTCTTTTCAATCTCCTCTAATTTTTTCTTCGAGCAATACTCCAACCTTACTTGTCCTTCCTTGCACGTTCATCTCTACAAGCCTCAAATCAGTTATGACGGCCATGAGCGCTCAAAGACAAAGATGCCCCATGGACGCGGCACTGGTCTGCAATCGTAGCAGAAATCGGCGAGTCATCTTGGACAGGCCCGAGGACCACGATAGCAGCGCAAGAGACTCGTGGTTCTCATCTGCCGCCCGAGAAGACGAAGGTACCCCATCGGCAGACTCAGAAGCAATCTCGGAGCTCGTCTGCGGCCTACCGTGTCTTTTGGAGACCTGCACGAGTCTGAAGCCACCCGACTTTGCCTCATTGCCTTCCCCTTTCTTCAGCTTCCTCCACTCGAAACGTTCGCGTTGCTGCTTCTCACCAACCTCAATGGAAAACAGAAACGCCACCTTTTCCGCTGATACTGAGGCGCGCATAGTCTCGGTGTCCATGTCATGGAGGTTTGCGCGGGGCTCCAATGGCGGCAGGAAGATATTGGTGGTGGAGTTGACAGCGAAGGCTCTAGCAGCAAATTCTGACTCGCCGCCGGCAGTTGCGATGATGAGATCCTTGGAATCGGTCCCGTTGCGCAGCAATATTCCGGGTCGTGAACCAAGACGCGATTTTCTGCTGAAGCCTGTGTGTATCTCAATGATGAATAAGCGGTCATCGCGGAAGTCACCGCACAAGTAGAACGTCTTGATCCCTGTCATGTAGCAACATCCGTTTCTTATTGGAAAAAAGGACAAAGAGGTGCGCGTAGGTACTAATTCTTAGTATGATGGCGGAGCCTGGACATCCTAGAGCAGAGGGTCTTAGGGATCTTAGCTATAAGCTGGGGCTTTTGGATGTCCCTCTTCCATCATTGGGGGCTGGCGCACTTGGATCAGTCTTTCAGATGATGGCCAATGCATACGCAATACCACTAAGTGATAGAGCGGACAAAGAGACGATGGATGACAGACAATTGTTCGCTTGTATCTTGGTTGGCAGGTATGGCCTATACTGGTCTTCCGCGATAAGAATCGATCAACGGCCTGATACGGAAGAACGTCTATCAATGGGTACTGAGCACTTAGTCAGTGATCTGTTGCAGAAACCGCGCCAGCGAATCTATTCAGCTCCTCGTGTTGGCGGTCAATTCCTTGACATGTGAATTGAGTGGATACTTGACTGGAAAGTGTGTTCCAACACGAGTCTTCTCGGCCACTCGTGTTAATATAGCCGTGTATCCCTCGACACGTGGATGGAGTGGAAATCTGACTGTATTGCGATGTATTCCAATCGGAAGATCGGCGTTAGAAGCCAAGCACAGCATATCAATTGTTACAACTTGCAAGGTAGTTGTAGTAAGATCAAAGACCTGGATAGCATCAACATGATGGGATTTCCGTGTTAGTCTCTCACGGCGGAAAATTGATTGAATATGCGATAGATACCAAATTATGTGTAACTTTTGGCTAGTGCCACTTGTTACCAAGTATTGGGGTCAAAGCAGACATCATGCATATAGTACTGCCGCGATCTGCGACTGCGCGTCATTGAAAAGCCAACGGCCTCATTCAGACGACGTCGGCCAATCTGCCATTGTGTAGCCACGTAAAATAGAGCAGTGGACAAGAGACACCACGGAAGGGGGTGTTGATGACCAAAAGAATGCATTGTGACGACCATGGCGAATTATGCTCAAGTCGCAGTATCGATCGACCATCTGGCTTTGCCTGGATGAGAAACATGTTGATCAATATCGAATTCCTCAGCAGTGGGTTGTGATCGAAGGGGCCTATGAACGCAAAGCCATATGCGCGTCAGCCGGATGCCACAGCCAGATGCATTATTCAGACAGAGAACTTGCAGATCTGTGTGACGGTTATTAGAGCTTGTCTCATTCGCGTCAAGGTTGATTTTGCTGCCTTTTTTCAGCCCGACCGTTTACCTTCAGCTTCTTGGCATACAGGTGATCGTGGATATAATGACCCGATAGCTATCTACAAGTGAGACTTCTCCTGTACTGTACAAAGAGTCAATCCTCCCACATCAAGGTCTTACCTATCATGCGCAGAGTTTCTCTGAGATTTGGTTCCCCCCACCCTGACCTTCTGACTTTTTATTTACGCTTTTGTACGGCAGTTTATTGCCTGCGGGCATAAATTATTGATTGCCGTACAGCTTTGTCGAAGACACTTGCCGGCGCCACAATATCATTGGCTTCACAGAGGAACCTCTATGAGAACCCCATAGTACAAATGAAGAAGCCGCTCGCTTTGTAAAGGCAGCTAGCTACCTAGTACCTTGCCCGCAACACCACAACCCTTCGTCGAGCTTCACCTCACCTCATCACTTTCAATACCGTCTTCCTAGAATCTTTTAGACCTTGGTCTCTCAGCCACCAAAATGCCAATTTGCAATTACCGAACACCTGTTGATTTCCCCAAGCCAACCATGCCCGCTGTTCTAAGTGGTCGTGCCGTCAATGGCCCCGTGTTCAGCGATCTTCTCGGTCTCAAGGAGGTCCCTAAGCTTGAGGTCGAGAAGTTCGGTTCTTGTAACGTCCCTTCGTACGTCTTTGAGTCGTGCGACCGCCAGGAGGAGAGTCAGCAGAAAAAGGGCGTCGAGATTGTCCACTCCTTCCCCGCCAGCGGTGGTGAGTATCGCATGCCAACAGCAAGGTTCAAGCATGGCAGAGGAAACGATTAACTTGTGTCCAGTTGCCCGGCTTGAAAACGTTCCTCCCGCTTGTTTGGACCTTTATACCATTCTCGGAGGTTCTTGCAACGTCATCACCGTCCGCCCTACCTCCTGTGGCACGGCCTGCATCCAGTGGGCTGGTCTGTCTGATAAGGAGATGACCCTATTCAAGGCCCCAGAGGACCAATCTGTCTGATGAGGAGATGGCTCTATCCAAGGTCTAACTACAGACCTTTTATTCTTGGCACTCGCTCACACCCTTTGTTCTCTCGAAAAACATGTCAGCGTTGAGACTTAGTTAAGCTTCCTCACTCAGATGTAACAGTAGTATTATACGAGTTTAAACTAGAAAATCAAACCCATATTCGGCATAGCAAGAATAATCTCTATCGAGCGAGCTTCATAGCAAACTCAGCAAGAGAATTCACAGCATGATGAACTCAATGACAGCATTTAGCTAGTGCTCTATCAGGCGAGGATCTTTTGAAATAAATACATAGTCTATTTTGAACGCTAAAAATACTGTTTGAATGAGGTAGCCACTGAGTTGGGTGGGGGTCAAGGTCGATCAACAGGTCATATTCTCACGCAAGATCGACGTTTAAATACAAGCATTCGCACTGTCATCAGAATATTAAAGAACCAAATCACAACTAGCATGAGTGCCAAGCATGTAGACCACACTTTGAACGCCTTCGAATCCAGTAGCTTGCCGAGTTGTATCGCCGCGTTTGTGTAAACTCCCTGTCATGTGAACATTCATTAGTACAAACTCGCCATCTTTGCATGCACTGGCTTCTTACCCAGGGAAACACCAATGCCCAAGCGGCCAACGTGTACGGCATCGGTCTCGGCCGTAAACCCTCAAACAACGCGTGCAAAACACCCAGGATCGCGAATAACCACCAAAACGTACCCAAACCCCAGGCCGCAAGTCCGGCAAAAATGCTGCTGTACCCGACGGGCGCCGCTGCGTCCGCAGTTAGGAACACGCCGCTCGCGTACGAAGCAAAACTTCCCTTGAGGACCGATCTACCCAGCATCTGCAGCGCGAAGCTGGACTGTCCCCACGGCCCGCAGAGGATCATGTCCTGGAACGCTTTCTTCTTCGGCGGCTGGTAGTTGCCCAGTAACCTCGCCCAGAAAAGCACGTCCAGAGCAAACGTCAGGGGCAGAGCCATGCCAATGAGCAAATACGACACGATGATGACGGGCACTTGCTGGTCACTGGCGAGTGCGGCCGAGTTGCACATAGCTCCGCCAGCGGCGGCTGCCGTCAGCGCTGCGGTGAGAGGGAGCTGCGTCGCTGGAGAGAGGCGTGAGACACCTGAGGGATAGATCTTAACTGTGATGAACGGGAGGACGATACTGATAGCCACGGCAAAGCTGAAGGCGATCCACCACAGAACGTAGATGGTCTTGCTCCACCGCTCGCCCCAGGCTGGGACGAGAGCAAGGGAGACCATCTGGATGATGGACGTGAAGGCGATTGAGACGCTCGAGAGCCCCGCAAGCTCGGACTCGTCATGTTTGAGCGCTTGTATGACTTTTCGTGGGTACAAGACGATGCGGAGCAGGTAGATGCTGACCATGCACAGAAGAAGGACCATAGCCATTACTAACAAGACGTAGGAGATGGTTGCGAGGCCGTTGAAGCGGTAGTCGAGCTGCTGCAAGACCGCGGCGAGAATGGTGGTTCCCTGAGGTATGAGGAACCATTGTGAGCTAAAATTGCGTATGCTCGTGCGAAAGCATGATCTTTCATGATTTGTGCTTGGTGGAGGGAGACCTTGAGACTTTGAAGCCATTGGCATGGTTGCATTCCGGTGTAAGATGACATGCAGCTTGAGCAACAGCAGTTATTTGTTGTATCGTAGAGGTTGAATTCTTGTCACCAACAAGGGCTTTACAAATGCGGTAATTGTTTTCTTGGCAATAATCCGGACCCTTGGACTGAAGAGACAAGAGACAACAGGCCGGGGAAGCGGGGGCGCGCTGATCTCATCGCTCCGGATCGCATCTCCGAGGAGATCCAAGATCTGTCGCCGGCCCGGATCGGCCCTGGGCCGCGTTGTGAGTTTGTAAGTTTAAACTGCCATGCCGCTAGGTTATGTCACTCGGACCTTCTGTCCTTCAAACAAACGGTTTCTTCACTTAGTGCATGTTTTGGGAGTGGCTTTGTCAGGCTTAGTCGCATTGACATGGCTGTCATGGCGTAATCATGACGTCCGAGAATCAAGAAGTCATAGATGCAAGGGGGCCTTGGGGCTAGCACTATTCAAAAAGACAGCATGGCTATGCCGACGTACCCGTTGGGTTTCCAAAGAAAAGACGAGTGGACATTTTCCGAGGAAGCGATCTCCAAGCTGTCCTCGTCAATCTGGTGTTTTTTGATTTCGGGTTGCCGCGGTTCGCGGTGGTGAGATAAGACCAGCGCGGAGATGGGACTGCCAGCCATGCGACCGCTGCTGCTAGCAGGGGGCAAATCGACTCGGATGGGCACACCAACACACCTCCTCCGCATGCCCGACGGGACACCCCTGTATCAACGCCAGCTACAACTCCTCCGCGCCATCTTCCCGGAGCCGCAGACGATATACATCTCTTTGGCGCCCGAGTCTGAGACGGACGAGTGTCTGGATGGTTTGCTCTCGGCTGAATCGGACGAAACCTGTGAAAATGGGGACTCGCCCAAAGAGCCGAGAGTGAAGATCTTGCGCGACGAACCGCCAGCGGAGAAGCCTCGATATGCAGCCGGACCGGCCGCCGGCCTCCTTTCGGCGTACCGCTACGACCCGTGGGCTAACTGGGTCGTGGTCACCTGCGAATACCCTCTCCTCCCACCCGACGCCATTTATCATCTCATGTACAAGCGCGATTCTGTGCCGGTCACCTGCTACCAGTCGATGGATGGAAGTTGCGAGCCGTTGCTGGCGATCTGGGCACCGGCAGCGATGTCGCGGCTGGCGGAGAGGGTAGCTCGGGGACACCCATGTCCCTCCGAAGCGGCGAGAGAGTTCGACGCCTTGATGTTGGAACCGCCAACTGGTAGCGAGTGGTGGCTGACAGACGTCGATACCGTGGAGGAGTTGTTGACCAGCGTGAGGGAGATGAAGCTTGGGTCTCCTGAGCTTGTCGCCGTGCAGGCGCCGACGGAGAAAGCCTGATGTCAGCGTTGATCATGCGATTTCATGATTACAGCGAGCGTGTGGTGGGAGATCTTATTCCGTATTTACTTGCCCTGGATCTCTGTCTAGTTTTGCCCTCTACTTGGGCTTTGTCCGATTTGAGAGTAGCCTCGCTCTCCCGGCTTCACATCAGTATAATCTTGGCTGGCTGTGTTCATCATCTGGACGGATAAGTGTGCTGAGCGCTTTTAACCAGCATAAAAAAGCCGAAAACTCCTCTCATCCCTACGAAAGCTGGTTTGGCATCTGTGGTACCGACATCATGGCCAGTATGTTTCTCTCTCATGAGCGGGCAAGGCAGCATTCTTCCTGTATATAAGCTTAGTGAAGAGAAAAGACTTTAACAAGACTTGATAATATCTCATACCTAAGTACGAAAATGAACGTGGCGAGATTGAACACCAGACAGAGAATCAAAATGTTGTACCCAAGCGCATTCTGGCAAAGACGGGCTGATTGAATGAATTGGCCGCGGCGGACGAGGCTTTATCCGTGTCACCTGAGAAGCGAGACCCCGATCGCCATTTATCCTGCTTAATACACATAGCTAGCATGTGGGCTGAGTCATCAATAAGATAGGCTCACTGCCGTCACAAGTGCAACCCGAGCTTCAATGAAGGATTTGGTGGGGGTGGCGCAAGCCGCAGCCTGATTCTTATTTCGGCAACCCGCTCTCAGCTCTCCCTATGATCGATCGAGCCTGACTGTCCCAGCTTCATCTGTAGCTTCTACTCTATTCCTATGAAACAAAATACTATGGCAGAAGTCGTGGCGTTATGTAGAGAAATGGATTTTGGAGTAAGAAGAGTGACGATAGGGTATCAAGCTTGAGTCTACTTGAGAGGCATATTGTCACACTATGTCGCTTGCGATAGAAAATCTGCGCTTCTTGGTGAGCCTCAAATCGGGCCTTTCCCGAAATGCTTAAGAAGACACCAGGCTTTGGCCACCCATCTTTCTCCCAGAGTTGGTATATAAGTTGGTGTGTGTCGGCAGGGTGGGGTTTAGTTGGTCTTGGCTGCATCAAATGGATTGCCTTGATTGCTCAGCTTACCTGCCTGAAGAAAGTGCCACCCAAGCCATAAGCAGGAAATACGAGTTGGCGCTGTAAAGTGCCAGCTGGCAGAGGTTATCAGGACTGCGTGACAAGCATGAATGATTTCTAGCTATAGCATTGGTGTCAGTGTGACTGGGCAGCATTATACATATAGCCTTGAGGGAAACGCTGCCACCATCCTGGGCATCAGATCTTCAGAATCAATTTCAACAACCCCCTGTTTTCTCCGCCGCAATGGCCCACAACAATTGGCTCGGCAAGGGAAACGATAGTTATCACTTGATCTCTCCAACTACCCCAAACTCGGACATTAGTACTGGCAACTTATCATCGGTCGCACCTCCCACCGCCCCAAGAAGTCGATATTGGGCGCGAACACTCATTCTTCTTCTTGTACCCCTCATCATTACGGGCTACTACTACTGGATATGGTTATACCTCCTGTCCCGACCCCACGACGACATAATCAAGTTTGGATCAGCAACCGAGATTTGGGTGTACTACTCCTGGTTCATCATCGGTGTTTTTGCCCTGGAATGGTCTAAGCATGGCCTCGTCGGGGTTGAAGTTGCTATGTTAGAGACGAAGACATTTGGCGCGCCTCACCTCGTCGCACTTTTGAGCCACAGCGAAGGGACCTGGAGCGGACCTGGCGGCTGGTTCAAATGCATCACAAAAGCCTTCAAACATAACCAAAGCGGTATCAGAACCAGCTTGGGTGTTTCTTTAAAGACTTACAAACTCTGGTACATCCTTGCCTTCATCAGCCTGTCTTTGTACGTCGGAATGCCTCTCTCTGGTCTGACTATGGAGCTATCCGATGGATACGTTCGTCTCAACGAGGCTCCTATGGTAGTCGGTCGTAATTCGACAACCTTTCACAAGAGATACAAACTATCCAACCAGAAAACCAACGCGGCCCAGGCTGCATGGGAAATGGGATCTCCAGCAACGCTACCTGGGATTGGAATTATATATACGCCAGACTACTTCGACCGCGAGGGTCACGATTCTCTAGGCGAGAGTCCAAATCTTCTCCCAACTGACCGAGGGATTCCTGAGATGTTCATCGTTCCACAGGCGCTTGGACCGATTTCTGGCCGATCGTGGGGCCTTCGAGTAGCATACGATTGTTCAATCGTTCAAGACGTTTCTGATTTCACTATTCTCGGTCACCATAAGGGTGGGCCTTGCCAAGCCTTTCAATCAAAATCATCAGGGGCCTGTGCCACAGTTGGGATGTTTGACGAAGTTACTAACCTATGGTCATACTCGGAGGTAGGGACCAGGCTGAACGTAATGGAATTACAAAATTCCCACGATACTGTTGGCGGCAAGCAAGAGCCACTCACCTCAACTATCAACCAAGCCAATGTTCTTGAATGGGCTGTCTGGCAGGTAAGAACAGAGGCTTCTTATGTCGAAGTGAAAAGCTTCAACAATACCATCGGCACCATTGTCCAAGGCATCGGGTCCCCTTTCATGCAAGTCAGCGACAGGTCCTGGGTTATAAATACGACATTCTTCGAAGAGAAGGAGTATGCTACCTTTGGCAACACATCTCAGGATGTACAGCGCAAAATAGAAGGTAGGGGCAAGGATACCATCGAGGTTGCTGCTGCCATCGGGGTTCGTTGTGTCGTCAGGTCAGTCCTCGGCTCAGCAATGATCCACGCAGAAACATCCAGCTTTTCCGACTTCAAAATTGAAGAACCAACTCCGTATGGAAAAGTGAATGCAGAAGGACCAATGAGCCGGCTAGGCACCAATGTGGAGGCAGTGGTAACAACGGCCAGTTTGGAGGCCATTTTCAAGTCAATCAACGTCCGGGCCATGACCACTGAGTCCAACTCAGTTCAAGTTTCCAAGTTTGTAAGCTCAAGGGAACTGCAGAAGTCGGCCTACTTGGCATGGGGCCACGAGGTTCTCAACCAAATGTACGACAACTATTACGGTTTCGAAACTAGCTGGCCCTACGCAAACTTGACTTCGTCCAAGAAAGGCAAAGTCTTGACGAAAGGGGAGCTTCCACCGTTAGTGGCGGTGATTCCTTTTGGCATTTGGGCCCTTGGGTCTAGTGTACTCGGGATCTTGTTTGGATTCAGACGCAGGTTGGCGGATTCGTTGAATGGATTCAGCTTCTTCCGTTTCGGAGTGTACTCCGCAGACAAACTGAAGACCGAGGGAATCCTACGTGCTAAGGAAGCTGAAGACGTTGCGACGTTGTGGAATCTGCCAGGCACATTGGAGGAAAGACCAAGATACAGAAGCTGAAGCCTGGTCATTGTACCTAGTTTTGTGGTGGGTCAAAACCGGGCTTACGACAGGGTTGATGCGGAAGCTCGTCCGTCATTCGGGCGTACGAATTTGGTCCGGGAGTCGGTCCAGATATCATGCTTGATTGATTTAGCAAAGTAGAAAAAACTTGAGGTTGTCTTTAAAATACTTCAAGTAAAACCCTTGGGTATTTGAAGCATGAATTCAAGTGGTTCGAGGTATCTCTCCCAACGCACCGAGACTGACCCCCATTTCTCCATACCTACGGAGCCGTGTTCGGCACATTCGGCCAGCCCCGCATCGGTGCCGAGGGCGAGTGGCCAATCCCGTCGCGTAAGCACCCGGAAGCGGGTCAACCGCAACATCCGACACTTTCGGACGGAACTTGCGGCACCAAGCAGGCAGCAACATCTTCACAGCAGGCTGCCATATTGAAGTAGATAGAAAAGAGACGACGCAGATCCAAACTTCTCAAGCGGCTGATATTAACCGTCCCAACTATCAGTCAACCAATCAAGTGTAAGTTCAGCCACTACCAGCCCCTGTGCTCAATGTGTGAAGCGAGTCTGACATCCTTCAGTGGCGTCGAGATGACTTCTCCGACCAACCAAGAAAGCTCCAGGCTATTCGAACTACCCTGGGAAATCAGGGAACGTATCTACGAGTACTACCTTTCATTCGACCATGATGACTTCGGAGACACCCTTCGGCCTCTGCATCTTTACATCGAGCAGGGAGGTTACTCAAAACCAATCCCTCCGCTGATGCTCACGTCCAAGCGCGCGTATCGAGAGCTTCATCAAAGAGTCCATTCGGATGCGGTCATGCGGGTACACACAGCGGGCTGGGGCGACCGGCGCATCGGCTTCGCCGTGCATGGGAAGCTCCGCTTCGAACGTCTGCGCCGGCTGTATGTGCTCGTCGCCATGGAGTATCCCAATTGGAATCGTTGGCTGGGCATGCTCGGCGAAGTCACGCGGCGGGCAACGAATCTGAATGAGTTGGTCGTCGATTGGGAGCCGAGGCCGAGCAACGGCAACACTAAGGTGTGGGAGGCAAAGTTAACGGAGAGGAAACACGACGAATTCTTTAGAATTATTTCAGATTTAAAGAATCTTCAAGTCGTCAGGTTTCATGGCGATATGCCAGTAGGATGGAGGGATCGATTTGCGAGGGAAACTTCAGCCAGGCTGGTTTTATATAAGTCAAAATGGTGGAAAGAGCCGGGAATGGAATAGGGTTGGCCTCTGAATTAGCAAGCCCTGGTAACATTTTCAAAGAGAATTTTAATATGAGATTTGCTGATCGATGTTTGAAAGTCGAGTGTCTTAGTCGTCTTGCGGTGGTCATGAGTCTTTTAATCTACTTCACGTTCTACGGTAAGTTAGCTCTCGTTTCTTGAGTGTCCCCTCGCCGAACCAGACCTATAAGATTGTGTGCTGCTGCTGTTTGAATACCAGAAAGGAATGTCGTACCCAGGGATCTTTCTCGCATAGCGGTGTCAGCTTTCAGGAATGTATTGCTTTCTCCGCACATGCATATCTTACGTCAGTCTCCTAATCGGATCTAAGGCGTCTCATGATTGGACATGCCATACCGTGCCTAAAGCCATCAAAGCCGCATGGCACTAGTGCTGATCGCCCGCTTCCCACCACGCTGATTTCGGGGTCTGAATTGGGCTGGCGGGATTACTTCATCATGAACTCTGAGCCATCATAAATGCCGTGGCCCGTCTCCTCTTCTTCGCCGTACCTCCTTCTTTCGCTCACCGTACCGCACTCCGAAGAAAACCCCCCCGAAAGCAATCACCCCGTCGTCGTATCATCCCTGAAAAGATGGCGACGAACCAAACACTCCTCGTCATCGGAGCGGGCCCGCTGATCGGGCGTTCTGTGGCCACTTTGTTCGCCTCAAAGCGCTACAGCAATGTTGCCCTCATCGCGAGACGCGAGGAGCAGCTACGGATTGAGAAAAAGGCTGTAGAAGAAGCTGCCCCGAGCGCGACCGTCAAGACCTACACCGCAGACATTACCGACCCAGATGCCTTCACCAAAGTACTCGACCAAGCGGATGCGGATCTGGGCAAACCATCGTGCGTCTTCTTCAACGCTGCCAGAGTACAAATGTCGGAGATGCTGGTTCATGACGTGAAGGAAATGGAATATGACTTCAAGGTGATTCCGGAATTCTCGCCATTTCGAAACTACATGAGACGAGTGGCAGACTAACGTCCTTTCCAGATCAACGTCTCTGCATTGTACGCCGTGGCGCAGCGATACGTCCCTCATCTCATTGAACTCGCCAAGTCCAGCCCAGAATCAACGCCAGCCTTGATCATCACCAGCTCCGTTCTCCCGTACAGCCCGCACCCTGCCTTCTTTGCGCTTTCTCTGGTGAAGGCCGCCCAGCGCAACTTGGCACAGACTCTCCGCATGTCTTATGAGTCTGAAGGGGTTCATATCGGACTGATCAATGTTGGAGGTCAAGTCTTCCCTGACCATGAGACCTGGAATCCGCCGAATATCGCCAAGAAAGCTTGGGAGTGGTTTTCTCAGATTAAGGAGAATCCGTCGTTTGAGGTCAAGATCTAAGGCAAAGCCAAATATCATGAAAGGTGAAGGAAAAGAACGGCCACATTAGTACTCTGTCTTCCTAAATTCATATGTGCCCTACGATGATTGAAGTAATATGTCAGCTAAAAGTAGTCTTTAAACCACAAACTGGTTTGGACTGCTGAATTTCACTGTCTTCTATCTTCCAGGCATCATCTTTTTGAGCTTTGTGATACTAAGAAAGCTCGCTTAACTTGTTCTTAGGTGAATACTCCTCAGACTCATGCTCTTTCCATTTCAACATCCTGCATGAAATGCAAAGCCCCACACACCTACTTCACCTGCCTTCCTCGCCCACCTTCGCTCCTTCCTTTCACAATTTGCTTCAGTTTCTCACCTGAGATTTCATCACTGAGCTCGGACCACAGCTTGGGCACAAGAGGTTTTTATTCCATTCTCAAAATGCAAAAATAACCTCACCACCCACCAACCCGACCTCACGAGACCGTCCCAACAACAACGCTACCAAATCGCTTCTTCACGCGACTTTTGGCTTTTTGGGCTTGATTGCTTGTCTTTTCGACGCTCTGACGTTTCTTCATTCATTCTTTCGAACAGTTCTTTTACGGTCATACTTTCCGACGTCCTTGTCTCATTTGCTCCTTTCATAATGGCTTCCATCACCCACGACCAAGCCGCCGGCACCGATCTCAATCTCGAGAAGGGTTACATGGCAATCACCGACGAGAAGATCAAGCTTCAGAGCAATATCACTTCTGGCGATTTAATCGTTATCGATGACCAGACTGCCTCTCTCTCCAGCAAGTGCTACCACAGCATCAATCAGGTGATTGACCTCCCCAGACTTCAGTACGCTGTCATGGAGGGTCTGAAGGTTGGATGGAAGATCGCCCCTGTTGGCTTCGCCGTCTACGTCGTCGCCATGCTCGTCCTGGTTGTGATGCCTCGTCTTGCTGCTGCTCACGGATCCCTTGGCCTGACGGGCGAGGTCGCTGCTCGCCAGGAGTACTCCATCAACAACACCATCAACCTTGCCCACTGCATCCCCAAGCTTCAGCAGCGTGGAATTCTCGATCAGGCTGTCGCTCGCCGCATTGCCAAATACAACGAGCACGCTCAGCTCATCCGCCGCACCGTCGACAACGTCCTCAAGACCGACCATGAGATCACCGACGGCAGCATCACCATGGATTCGACTGATGCCGAGGTCTTTGCTACCCGCGACGACGGCTGCGTTCTGAGCATCGAGACCACCGAGGGTCCCTTCTGTGAGTGCCCCATACTCAGAAAGTCCAAGCTACCCTTGCTGACTCCATGGTGACAGACGTCGAGGGAGAGTTTGTCCGCTGGGCCCTCTGGGACGACGAGTTTGGCATTCCCATGTACCTCGACCTTCAGGTCATCGACACCGAGACCTGCGAGCCCGCTCCTGACGTTTGGGTTGAAGTCTGGCGTAAGCCCTCCCACTCCCTCCATCTCAAAAACATCCCACTAACATCACCCAGACGCGAACGCCACCGGCGTCTACTCCGGCGTCGTCACCAACGCCAACGGTGCCGGCGACTCCGATCCCGACAACGCCTTCAAGACTTTCCACCGCGGCCTCCAGAAGACCAACGCCGACGGCGCCGTCTGGTTTGGCACCAACTTCCCGGGCCACTACGCCGGCCGCACCCCGCACGTCCACATCATGACCCACGCCGCCGGAACAGAGGCCCTCGCCAACGACACCGTCCAGAACAACGTCGCTACCCACGCCGGCCAGATGTTCTTCGACCAGAAGCTCGTCGAGAAGATGCGCAAGCACGAGCGCTACGGCAAGAACAAGCAGCAATTCATCGAGAACAAGGACGACGCCTACTTCCGCCAGGAGGCCGAGTTCACCGACCCCGTCATGAGCTACGTCCTGCTCGACCAGGAGGACAAGGACATCGCCGAGGGCATCATGGCTTGGAAGCTCGTCGGAGTGAACATGACCAACGTCCGCGAGCTGTATGTTGCTGACACTTTCCTTGGTCAGTAAGCGCGACGGTGTCTTTGCGAGGAGATGCGAAAGGCGTTGAACAGTGTGTCCGCAGATTTGACGCCTCGTGGGCCGTAGAGTATTCGGTTTAGTTGAGTGGCAGGAACTCAGCTTAGCTGAGAATTAGTGCTATTGCAATACAGATTAAGAAGAAGCTCTCAATACGTTCAAGATTCGTTCTATGTACATTGCCTCGGTGATGATTCTATACGTCTCATAACGTTGTGTCTATGAGAGGTCCATGGCACCGTTTGCTTGATCTATCTTCTTGTTCTCATCAAACCCTAGTGCCTTCAGAAACCGTATCACATCGTCCATACCAGTAGGTGAGTTGAACCAATGCCCTCCATCCTTGTATTCTTTCCATTCCACTTGACTTCCAAATCCCCTCAATGTGTCTCGCAGAATGCGACCATTTTTGATGAGTACCAAAGGATCGTCCACGCAATGCTCAAGTAACATCGGCGTGTTTCGCAGCAGCCGGTCATCTCCCGGGACGTCTTCTAGTCCCAATATTGCGCGGGTGTCGGCGAGGTTTCTCCCAGGGAACGGCATGCGACAAGAAAATCCCAGGAATGCGCCCAACCTCTCTTGACCCTCTGGTAACTTCAGGTTGAGGAGCGTATGTACACTCGTCGCGGAGCCTTGGCTGATGCCCGCAAGAATGATGCGGTCGTACCTTCCCCCGACCAGCTCCGCCTCTCGATTGATGATCTCTCGGATCCTAGAAACGCTTTCTTTCAGACCCTCGGCCTGTAACTCCTCCCGCTCAGAGAAGTCGGACACATTCCAGACGTCCAACCACTGCGACACCTTGTCCCTTGGAAAGGCGACGGGCACGCTCAGCTCGGCTTGGGGAAAGACCCAGCGGAATGACGGGAACTCGTCTGCCAGAGTACGGTTTCGGGAGTCTGTGAAGTATGCCAGAGATTGCGAAAAGGTTTGCGCATTATCCCCGCGACCGTGGAGAAATATGATGGTGTGCGTGTGGGCTGTCAAAGGCGGGATGGTCACGGTAGACAACGACATCTTGGTAGGTGATTCGAGAGTTTGCGATGACATTTGGGAACGTTACCGTCGATCTACTGACTCCTTTTAGAGTAGGGTGGTCTTTATTTGTGTGACTGATGCAGGTGCAGTCAGCTTGGCGGCAGTGTCGACTCCAGGCAGCCATACGTTGTTGCCTATCGAAGGTGGCGGTGTTACTCAGATTACCCCAAGTTATCTTACTATGCACTCATCCAAATATCCTGCGGTCGGTGGTCATCGCTTGCGCTGCCGCAATATTGCAACACAAAAACAAATCTGAGAGCAAAACGTTGAGTCTCCATCAGGATGATCGATGGAAAGCGGACACGGTATCTCTCAAGCGCTATTCCGACCGCCTCCATTCAGTGGCCAGATGTTTGTCCGGGGCATTGCATCAATATCTCTCATATCTGCAACAAAACATAACATTTGGGGAATCTTGGTATTTATTTGCAATTTCTTGTTACCCCCGTTTCCTCTGACCATTCGTCAATCTCCCGCTCATGGGTCTTGTTTACACACACCTACCCCCCTTCTGCCTTAGTACGCCGGCCGATTCATCCACTCTTTCAACATGCCCCTGATGCGGCTTTGTTGGTGGTTCGAACCGGTACTGCTCGAGCTCTCGCGGCGGCTGACAACATTGGTCAGCTCGGATCCCCCGGACGGGGTCCTCGTCGCCATGGGTCTATTCTTGTAGCCTGCGAAGGTTTGCATCAGTCTCGCGGTCTTTTCGCTCTTCAATAAGGAGCGTATTACATGTGGTATCATATCTCTTCGGGTCTTCAATAATAGCAAAGAACTTTGCCTTAGCCTTGTCACCGGGCGCCATGTTGAATGCAAATCCTCGGTTCTTGGTCTTTGAATGAGATTGTAGTTCTTTCTTGATGTTAATCAATGCGATCTGTGAGCACTATGATATAAAGAAATGATTACCACGACGCGAGTGCACCTGAAAGAGGGGTAGATCGTTCTTATGTATCATCCAGCCCAATACACCGGCAAGGACCTCGTGATTCCGCCGCTGCCATAACCCAGGGTAAGGTTTACCTCCAACCATTCCTATTCGTTCGTCCCGTCCAGAGTGTTTCAACCATCTTCATTAGGATTCGGGGAAATGAAGTGACCATCTTTCAAAATGAGGGGTAGCTCGCCATCCTCACACCAACACGCCGATTTTACCGACTCACGTCGCAGCATTATTGAACCTTCTTTGGCAATATCGGACCTCCGGTTGGTCATCAAGTCTCCTGCTTATGCTATGCGGTAGGCATTGGCAGCTCGGCGTGAGATGGACAGAGTCTCGACGCGGAGCGAGCCGGTGGGTTTCGGACCGCGAGGGGTCGGACGCGGTGCTCTCCCTGGCACCATCTCCAGTCGGAGCTTTGTGGATTATAAATCCGGACCGCGAAGTGTCCATCCAAAGTAAAATGCCGCCGGACTTATGGACTTGTCACCGACAAAGTATAACTCAAATGTTTATAGGCCATGAGGTTTGGATTTTGAGCTGTATGTTATCGATGAGCTCTGCATGCCCTCGACAACTACCACTTGCCCAGCCCGATGGAACCGGTGCAACTCCAGTGCTTATACGCTAATTTGTTGTTCTCAACCTCATCGACGATAGCAACGGCCATGTCCTCGTTGTAGATACCGCCGTTCGCTGCCTCAACCGCAGGGTCCTCGGGACTGTCCACAAAGACCTTGTACTCTCCCGTTCGCACTCCTGGACAAATAGGTCAGAAAGCATTTATCAGAATTTCTCAGAACACTAACCTTTATCACGCAATAGACCAGGCGGCGACAAGAATGACCACGACTTCTCCTGGACGCCATTCCACATGGTAAAGGCGATCCGACTACCAGTGATTAACCCCAGGGTGTGCTTATTCATCAGAGCGCCTTTCACCCAAGCCCGCGCCCAATAGACGAAGGGGCTTAGAATCCAAGAATAGACTTGATATTGGTAAAAGTCGTCAGATCCTGCCCAAGGCTGACCCCATACGACTGAAAGGGCAGAACTTACATCTCGGCCGTTGAATGTGAGACCTGCTCCATTTCACAAGCGTGGCCACCAAGCTGATGAACCGGCTTCCGTGATCCAGCCCACGCGCCGTCATGTAGTCGAGATGCTCATCAGGCCAGTTCCACCTGAAATCCAGTGAGTAAAGCCGCTGTAAACAGGGAAGATGAGATTCCTTACCACCAACTAAACGCAAAGCCCTCCTGGTCGGTAAGCTGATGGCGATTGGATACGTGAATCGAGCCCGCGCCACCTATTCAGCTCTTTAGCCCTTGCTCGATGTCCCAATGGGAGGAGGACGTCTCACCAACGATGATGAACGGGCCGTCGTGCGTCGAAGCCAACAAAGCCGTCTTGATCCGCCCGTGGCCCTCGACAGCCTCCGAGTAAATATTCGATATAACTTTGAGACTCGGTCCGTAGCAAGAGACAATGGCGTCGAAACCAGACGAAAATATTTCAACCAGTTTCGTATGCTCTTTGTGGATGTCCACAGACACTGACGACCAAGTGCCCTTATCGGAGTTGGGCCATTGCATGGGAGGACTTCGCGAGATGCCAACCACAGAATGGCCTCGCGCCAAGAGCTCATCGACCACACAGCTTCCCGCCTGGCCTTTGGGACCGATGACGCCGACTTTCAAGGGTCTGGACATTGTAGAGAGCAATTGAGTTGACAGGTGGGGCTAGCGGGAGACTAAACGTCGATCAAAAAGTGAATGATTTGAGTTTGAGTTGCCGCGAACTGCTGTCGTATTTTAATCAACAATCATTTAAATACAAGCCTTCACATTCCCAAGAAGGAAACTTCTTAATTCGACATCATCAATCTCGTCTACAAGCCAGCACCTCATAAAACGACAGAGACACGGGATATCGGACACTCCAAAAGTCCGGACCGCCGCTGACAACTCCAGTTCCCACCACGTCGCACTAATACCGAGTACATCAACCACAACGACATGACGAGATCGTTCCGTCGCCGATCTTTACGGGGCTCTTCCGAGACGCGTTGCAACGCTGGTTTATGCCGTGATTATGTGCCCAGACGGGAGTTTCCGTGAACCATGGGGATCTGGGAGGCATGATTCGGCTTCTGTTCCTTCGACAACACGGAGCCTTCATTTTACCTCGGCTGAGCTTGCCCGCGAGGGTCTCGTATTTCTCGTGTTAGTGTTTGCAGCTCTCATGACGACAAGTTGCATGGATGACTTGTCGGGTCGGGGAAATATCATTGACCAAGGACACAAGCCAAGCTCCCATCAGATGCTTCGCTCTGTGGCTGGCATCAGAAACGAAGCTGACATGTCCAGGCATATATGCTTCGCTTAAGCGGATTGCTATATCTACCATTTCTGCTCCACGGAAAATGGGATCAGACGGCTCAAGCCAAGAACTGCAGTCGAAAAGTCCATCGTTTTGTCTTGAGGCTCAAATAAGAACCTGAGCTTCTCCTTTTCCTTTCTCTCGTTCGATCTCCTTTTGTCTCCCAGTCCCCATTCCATCACTAAATTTAAACATTGACCAATTATCTCAGGTGGATATCACAAATTGTATTTGGAGTCCAACTACCGCAAGACATAAAGCTACTCTCCAAAGGAGCCAATACTTGGGATGTACCGGGGCTGAAAGAGCTGAGCCGAAATCCGCTGTGTGCATAGCTGCATCACCCAGGGCAGGATGCATAGCCAGCCAATGGCTTGATATCACTTACTGTTGTATGAAGCGGGGTAGATTTTTCAGAGGAAACGAATGGAGAGAGCAAGGCCCGACGAGGTGGCTGAACAACACAAGCAACTTCCTCAGCTGAAGGAAGCCAATGAGGCCCCAGGCCATGTTCTGCCAACGCAGAAAGTCTGTGGAAGGAAAATGTACAGATCTAAGGCCCTCGTCCTCGTGCAATCCTGACAGATGAACCCAAGGAAATCCACCCAAAAAGGCGATGTGTCATGTCACGAACACAATGGGTACTTGATTAATTATGTCACACTTAGATCATATGCTAACACATGCAACCAACCAATCGATCGTTCCCTTCCAAAATCGAATGCTCAAAATAGAGGAACATCTTGATTCCCTCTTGCCTGCCTCGTATTTCGCCAAACACGCAGCATTACGAGACGCACTCCAAAAAGATATCATCTCGCCACCCAAACTAGACGCGGAGGAATCCCTCAACGCAGATTTGGGCCAGGGCAGGCTCCACGAACTCGTCGACAGGCTCTGGATCGCGGGAAAGCCCAAGTCACCCAACGCGCTGCACTTCCAGCGCGTCCTAGGCGGAGACATCATCGTCGTCGAATCGATGGACCTCCACCTCGTTTGCTCCCACACGCAGTTCTACGCCAAGCCGATCCCGCCCTTCTTGCTAGAGCCTGCCTTCTGGACTCGGCATCTATCTTGCAGAGACGGCTGTGACTGCTCCGACAACCCCTCAAGGTCGTGCTCACGTCGCACGCTCTGGAAGTCCGCCCTGGGCTTCCTGTACTCCTACCGCGCTCTGATACGACACGAAAGCGACTTCCGCCTTGCGCAAGACAACTACTTGTTACCAGAACATATCGAATGGGCAGACTGGAAACGCTTCGTCGCAGAGCTCAACACAAAACACACGGATGGTCAAATCCACGAGAGGTTCATGTACGGCGAACTCCGCCGGGGCCGGCTGAACAAACTTCTATCCATACGGTCAAACTTCAGGGAAAGCACGTATGTTCCGCGGTGGTATCGACACGGAAAATTCTTCCGTGACAACTTTGCCTGGCTGGCGTCTGCCACGGTGTACATCGCGATTGTCCTGACGGCTATGCAGCTGGGCCTGGCCACCAAAGCTCTGGAAGAAAAACGCTCTTTTTCACTCCGCTTCATACGGGTTCACTGTCTTCGCCATCGTCGGGCCCTTGGCCGCGGCCGGTGTGATCATCGCACGTTACGTATGTCGCACGGCGGTGCATATGATCAGCGCCGATAGAGCCTATCGAAAAGTCCTGAGAGATGGAGAAAAGAGTTCTAGCAGCAGTCGTCGGGGGGAAGAGCCCCCCAAAGAAAGCACGCAAGACCGCGTGGTCGAACGGTCAAGACCGACCGAGGAAAAAAAGACATTGTAAAGACCGTCGGTTTTTTGTAGGGTTCAACATCGAACCCGAGCTTTTTTGTGTCTTTTTCTCTCCTCTTTTTTTTTAACAACCGTCCTGTTTTCTCTAGCCCGGCTCTCCTCGTCGTGTCCATCTGCCTCTTCTCGTCTTTTCAAGTTGGCTGCTGAGGTATTCGTTTTGCGGGCTGAGAATATTTACGTCCGCGGAAGGAAGGCGTGGGCCGGAGGGGAGGGGGCTCCTTCACTTTCCTGGATGGAGCAGGTTTTCTGTGCTGTGTTGAGAGGCAGAGACTAGATAGGTTGCAGCACATACCCCGAATTCCTTCGCCAGAACCCCATTCGAAGTATCTATCCTTGACTGGCTCTCAACGACCCTCGTTCTAGTTGTCATCGGTTAGACTCGTAGACCACGAGATTCAAGCCAGTGCCCCATCACCATGTGAAGCCCGAACATCATGGTCATGGACAGAAATGCTACGATCATGAAAGCGAAGCATGCCTAAACTCGTCTGCGGCCCACGCGCCTTAAAGTGACAGGGCCGAGATCGATTTTAAACTCAGCGGCATCCATCATCACTTGGGTAGTGGAATCCGTGACGGAGCGCAAGGGCGACATCTCGGGGATCTCAGACATCACAGACCCGTGTGCGGTGGCCGTATGGTATTGAAGAGTATTACACGGCAGTACATGAAAAAAGAGTACCCAGCAGTGGGTGCTCGTCAGCGTTGAATATAAAAATAGGCTAAAAACACGGAGGGGATCGGTTATCTAAAGCTCAACAGAAAAACACCATGCCTACGCCTTCTCGGCCTTGGGAACGTTTGGCGCATCTTCCGCCACGTCTGCCGCCGCCGCGTGTTCGTGCTTCTTGCCCTTCTTCTTCTCCTTCTTGACGGCCGCTTCGGCGACGAGCTGCTCGAACACGAGGTAGTCGCCCTCCTCCTCGGGCGTGCGCTGTGCCTTGGAGAAAATCTCCGCGATCAGTACCATGGCTTCGGCGCGCTCCAGGCGCTTGGCCAGCGGCACCTTCTTGTCGTTGAGAACGGAGTCGCACACCTCGCGCAACACGCTCTGAATCTCAAACTTGCTCCCGCGCCACGCCGCCGTCAGGATCTTGCCCGTGACCCGCCTTTCGTACTCGGCCTTGGCCTCCTCGGACCAGTCGGCGCCGCCCTTCTCCTCCATGCGTGCCATCTCCTCGATGGTCTGCTGAGCGTCGATTGCACTGCTAATGGTGTTCCACGTCTCCTTCACGATAGTGCCCTTGTCCTTGACGCGGCTGAAGAAGCCACCGATCCCCAAGAACTTCTGGCTCCGGAGCAACGCGGTGGCCTTGGCCAGATAGGTCTGGCCGATGGCGTGCAGGATATCAAGGCCGAACGACTCCATCTTCATGTTCTCCACCTCGAGGCGCGTCTTCTCCTGGAACGACTTGGTGACGTCGGGCCCCTTGTCGGTCTCGGTCCATACGCTTAGGCGGTCGAGGAGCTTGCGGGCGAGGGTGTCGACACGCTCCTGGCGGACCCGGGCGCGCTCCTTGTCGTAGGCGGCGAGCTGCTCGCGCTGTTCCTTAGTCAGGCCCTTCTTCTTCTCCTTCTTGCGCAGCGACTCCTCGGTCTCGACGCCGCCGACCTCGTCCGACGGACGATCCATAAGAGCCGGGCGAAGGGGGATCTGTGTGCGTTTCGAGCCTGAGGTGCCGGAGGGGCTGGGCGAGGGTTCCCTCTGGTAGGCAGGGGGTGGAGCGTCGGTAGCAGTGCCGGAGGATGCGGCGGCGGCCTCGGCGGCGTCGCGCGCCTTGAGTTTTTCCTTCTCGTCCTCGACGACGACGGCAGGGGGCGGTGCGGCGGCGGTGCCGCTGGCGGTGGGCTTCTCTGCATCCTTCTTCTCGCCTTCGGCCGCAGCCTTCATACTCTCCTTCTTAGCCTCCTCGGTGCCGGGGAACTCGCCCTCGGCGCCCTCAGCACCCTCGGCTCCCTCCTCGCCCTCTTGCATCGTGATGTCCATCGTTGCGGTCAGATCCTTCATCAAGCTGATCTCGCCGATCCAGTCGACGAAGGCGTCGCCGCCAAAGATGGAGGTGAAGAACTCGGCGGGGTCGGCGAAGCCCTCCTGCGGTTTGGCATGGTCCTTTCCATACTTGTCGTAGGCTGCTCTGAGGTCCTTGTCGGACAGGACTTGGTATGCTTCTCCGATCTCTTGGAACTTTTCGTGGGCGGTGGGGTCGTTGGGGTTCTTGTCTGTTATGCTTGGCGTCAGTGATGCGCGCCCACGAAAAGACCTGCGATGCTCGTGACAGGGTGCTTACCGGGATGGTGAACAATAGCTAGCTTCCTGTACGCCTTCTTGATTTCGATATCGGTGGCGGCGGGCTTCACGCCCAGCGTGTCGTAGTAGGCCGTGTCGACGACCATGGTCGAGGTAATTTTAGGAGGGGTAAAGTTTGGAAGGGGGTATCAAGGTATAGCGATGACAGCTAGAGATCTATGGAAGAGTCGCACCGGGAAAAGGGGAAGAAAAAGAGAAAAATACGGTCGGCGCGGCAGAGATCAGAGATCGCGGGGTGGTGGCGGGTAGGGATGCCAGCGATTATGATTCAAGCGGTGGACAAGGTAGGTTGGCGATGAGGTAAGGTTGGCGAGGTAGGTAGGTCAGGTACGCAATATCCTCGTAGAAAATCACAAGGAAAACTAGGCGACGCACGCACACATTGGCCCAATATCGGTGACGGTGACAGCAGGTGCACCCGACCGGACGGGAAGCCGCAACTCAGCAACGCTGCTGGGCTGAATTTTGGGTGGATTTTCGTTTTTGCGGTGGTGCCCCGCCAAATTACGTCGTTGGAGGTGCACTGCACTCCCAACTGTGCTCTAGGCCTTGGTGGGCTGAGGCAACGTCCACCGGTGCCCAGCCCGCTGACGGCCCGCCACTTCCCCAGCAAGGTGGCATCTGTTGGGCTGACTGCTCAGCGATGCCAGTCATACTTCAGGCGACTGTTGCTGGCGAAGTCCACTGCGGCCTTGAAGATTACGCGGACAGGGTCCTGCTGACAGGGATGACGTTGCACGGCATCACGATCATGTTGCGACCGTCCTGCATCGCGACCGTAGAGTTCCAACTTGCCGTGCAAACATGGTTGCAACCGATTGCAGCAAGCTTGTCGGAGTGATACAGCACCTATAAACGGCAAGCCACCATCTACACGTGGATGTTGCGATGGAGTTCTCCCGACACATTCGACGATCAACGACCCTAATAAGGCTGCTCAACGCCGCGAGTCATCCAGCTTCCAGAACAATGCCAGATCTTCGGCATAGCTTCCGCCAGCTTCTATTGCATACACTACCAGTGGGACCAGCCAATGCCGGCAAATTGCTCGTTGCACCGGCCATACCGACTCGCGATGTACTCTCACTCTGCACTGGAGCTCTGCGCTGACATTTGCCCGATTGCTTTGGATTCATGCTATGCTGCTCCCATTTTGGCTTGAACTGTTATCCCATTTCAATGTCCACATTCCTATGTCATTTTTTCCGCCTCATGATTCCTTCCAAAGCAAACAGCTCCCGATACGCCAATTCCAAATCTATTTCATTTAAACAACACCGTTGGCCTTCATGCGCTGGAAGCACGCCCTGTAGGCGTCGTGAACCTCGGGCACAGTGTAGCCGTACTCCTTGAGCTTCTTCTCCAGCTTGGTGGTGTCGAGCTTGCAGTTGCTGCGACCGGCCTTGATGACCTTGGCCTGCTCCTCGAGGGAGAAGTTCTTCCATGTGTAGTCGGGGCGGACAATCTCCTTGAACAGGGCAAGCACCTCGTTGTGAGAGATGGCGCCGGGGTTTGTGAAGTTGTAGATGCCGGTATCCTTGTGCTCGGCCATGAGGATGGAGGCAGGGAGCAGGTCGGTGAGGAGGGTGTTGCTGTTGGGGATATCGACGACGCGGTCGTACTTGGCAATCTTGGTAACGAAGTTACGGGGGTGCAGGTCGTCGCTGACGGGCATGCGGAGACGGAGGATGAGGCAGTTCTTGTAGTGCTTCATGATCTGTGATAGGGTTAGCTTTGCCGTCGCAAGCACAGAGAGTTGATGACTTACCTCCTCAACGTGGCCCTTGGTGTCGGAGTAGAAGCTGCCCTTGAAGTTGGCAGGGTCGGTCTCGAGGTAGCCGGGGCCGCCAATGGGGTGGGCATCGTCGTATTGGTAGATGCAGCCGGTGGCGAAGACGGTGCAGTGGATGCCCTTGAGGAAGCAGGCGTCGGTGAGGTTCAAGGTGCCGATAACGTTTGATCGCATCGTAGCCTCCTTGTTGTCCTCACACCAGTCGACGTTGGGGCGACCAGTGCAGCCGGCGCAGTTGAGGACGTGGGTAGGCTTGACCTTCTCCAGCTCGGCAATGACGCCCTCGCGGTTCTCCATGCGGACAGTGGTGGTGTAGACCTCCTTGCCGTCCTTCTCGAGGAGAACCTTGAGGTGGTTGGCAACCCAACCCTCACCTCCCCAGATGAGGAAGCGGTTCGCGGAGTGCCCGTTGGTGGCCATTGTGATGATGTTGATGAAAGGGTTGTTATCGGGTGCGTTCGTCGGGGACGGAAAGTTTCGAATTGGGTTTGTATCGGCTCGCTGGGATGGTGTAAGTTGGCAAGCGGCGGTATGTAGCTGATGGCGGTCTTATATGTCGTTCGCCGGCAAGGGATGGAGTCGTGGGGTGGGATGGGAAGGGGATGGGAAAAGGACAAATTGAGTAATTTGTAAGACAAGATAGCAATCAGCAGAGAAAAGGGAAGGCGTGAGACGGGATTATTTATCTGGGGTAAGCATGGCAGCGCAGGTGTGACCCAAGGGAGAGAAGGCGGAAACTTTCAGTTCAGGTACGAGTCGTATCTGCATTTCAGCCCATGGTCGAGACTCCATGTCCCATTGTCCCATTTGGACCGTTCACAGCAAGCAGCTGCCACCGGCACTGGACAGCAGGTGTTCAATGTCGTTCCCACCCCCACCTCCGGGAACTGCACTGGTCCTTGACACTCTGGACGTGGGCGGGCTTGCACACATTTGGTGCTGGCAGAGGAATGGAAGCGTGGAGGTACCGCCTTCACCGCGCGACCCTGTAGCGCAACTTACGTACCTCGAGTACGAAGCTTGCCAGGAGCTACGTTCCATGTTGATGGGCGCGTGTTATCAGACGGGCCTATCGTGCCTATTTTCAGTCAATAGTCGGCGGAGCTTTGGCAAGGCTATGGATATGTAAGCAGCGCCACGGAAGCCGAAGACAGCAACGGGACGACAAAGTATTGTTAGTGGGAGACTTGAAAGACAAGTAGCTACTTGCTACCGCCGTCGTTGGGAGCCTCAACGACATGTATCGCGGATACGTGGGCCTATGATGAAGGGGGCTAGATGTGCTCAGTATGCTCCCTTGGAGATGCAACGAGTGAGACATGCGCCGACGAGGTGCACACCGCATCGTGCTCCCTTGAGTCGGGTGGCGGTGGAGGGGAAGACGGTTGAGACTTGAGACTTGGAGAAGAAGCTCTCCGTTTCTGTCTCTGTTCTTGTTCCAGCGTCATGCCATTCGCAAGGAATGGTGGAGAAACAGAGCCTCACGGCTGGTATAGAAGCCAAGGATCTCTGTCGAGTTGCGTGGTGGACGATGGGCTGGAGACTTGAGATAATATCCCAAGGACCAGACGATTGCGCACGCACGCGTGCTAAGGGTTCGGATAGTCGGGTCGCGAGGGGGAGGCTGAGCTGCTGCGTTTATTGGGAGGTGACTGCATGCGTGAAATAAGTCGACTGCTCTCCCCACCCACACCTCATTTGGCGTGTCAACAGGTGAAGGAAGGGACGCAGGCCTGGTACTTATAGACCATCAGTCTCGGCCTCTTGGGTGCCGCCAAGACGCCCGAGGTGCAAGTGACACTTGATGCGAGCTGAGCCCACGGAGAAAGAGAGGGAAAAGAAGACTCGGAAGCGAGAACCAACTCAACGACGCAGTCGCGGATGGAAGACCCTGAAATATGGGCAATACCTTCCTTCTCAGGCAGTACCAACAGGGTCGTGATCCGTGCCCCGCTTGGATGGACAAAAAAAAAGGGACCTGCATCGCTGACAGTCAGCACCTTTCGGTGGCCAATCACGCCGCGCCGTCCGTCTCATTGGCTCGCTTAGGTTTAGCCGAATCGGTGCTCCAGTTGGTCCCGTCGCCTGCCAAATGGGAGCTACGAGTGCGATGCAGTTGGGGGCCTTTGGAGCCTTCCCCAATAGGGCCTTCGACTGCGAGCTTCCACTGCGCTGCTGGACCCGTGGCAGGCTCGCACACAGGCAAGGTACGCCGTGTGTCACTGTAGCATGGCGCCGCTCGCCGCCCATCCGCGCCGGTCCACCGCCCACAGCAGCCAACCACCGCGTGAGCTGTCAACTGAAAAGGCGGGCAACCACAGCGCCGTCGGTGGCACAGCGCGGGCACCTCACTGGACGGGGACCACACCACCGCCGGAGCTTGGCAGATCGTTGCATTTTGGCAAATTTGGGGAGGAGCTGCCCAGTTCATACATACCTACCTTACCCGGCGCATGGGATTGGCTCATGCTGATGACAGCGGAGAAATCTTTCCTCCTATTCCAGTTCCCCGTCGACTGCTTCGCTCCCGTCGTGTGTTGTTGATCTCCAGTTCCCGTCGTCACCGGTTACCCAGATCGCCTGCTGCAATCTGCAATTTGCAATCCCGTCCCTGAGCATAAGAAGCGTCCGTGTCCCTCGCGAACTGATCTGATCCAACCACTCGGTACCTGGAGAAAATTGCAACTGCGACTGCAACGACACCCGCAACCGTCTGCACTGCGCGAACTTGCGGCCACGAAGCAACTGGCGATTCTCGATTCTACGTCACTACCACCGCGACGACAGTCTGACCCGGCCCTTTGCTCGCCTTGACCGCCCGTCGCCGCACGTTCTGACAGACCTCACCGTGTCGTCTCCTCTGCAAGTCTTGCCTTTGCCCACCGTCCGTCGCGACGACCGCTTGCCATCATGGGCGCCCTCTACTATGTCCTCCACCCGAACCAGCTTCGCTCCATCATTCAATGGTACCGTCTACCTCCCTTTTGCCGATGCGCGCATGCCATGCGCTCATTCTGCAATCTGTATGCTAATTAGCCTCCAGGAAGGTCTGGCACGAGCCTGTCCACCGCCGCGACCCCTCCAAGGAAGACCCGACACTGAGATCATGCTTCGAATTCCTGAACAAGACCAGCCGTTCCTTCTCCGCCGTCATTCAGGAGCTCAACCCCGAGCTGCTCGTCCCCGTTGCTCTATTCTACCTCGTCCTGCGCGGACTCGACACCATCGAAGATGATATGACGATCGACATCAAGGAGAAGGAGCCTTTGCTGCGAAAGTTTGACACCCTGATGGAGACGGACGGATGGACATTCACCGGCAATGGCCCCAATGAGAAGGATCGCGAACTTCTGGTGCACTTTGACGACATCATTGTCGAGCTGAAGAAGCTCAAGAAGCCCTACTACGAGATCATTAAGGATATCACAATCAAGATGGGCAACGGCATGGCCGACTACGCCCTCGACACCGAGCTCAACGCGAACGGTACCAACACCATCAAGGAATATGAGCTGTACTGCCACTACGTGGCCGGTCTGGTCGGCGACGGTCTGACCCGCCTCTTCGTTGAGGGCGACCTGGCCAACCCGAAGCTCCTCGAGCGTCCCGAGCTCACCGAGTCCATGGGCCAGTTCCTGCAAAAGACAAACATCATCCGTGATATCCACGAGGACTACCTCGACAAGCGCGCGTGGTGGCCCAAGGAGATCTGGAGCAAGCACGTAGACAAGTGGGAGGACCTCTTCAAGCCCGAGTACCAGCGCCAAGCCCTCGAGTGCAGCTCAGAGATGGTCCTCAACGCGCTCAAGCACGCCGAGGATTGCATCTTCTACATGGCCGGCATCCGCGATCAGAGTGTCTTCAACTTCGTCGCCATCCCCCAAAGCATGGCCATCGCCACCCTCGAACTCGTCTTCCGCAACCCCGCCATCTTCAACAGCCACATCAAGATCACCAAGGGCGACGCATGCCAGCTCATGTCCGAGTCAACGCAAAACCTGATGGTAGTCTGCGACGTCTTCAGGAGATACGTCCGCCGGATACACAAGAAGAACGACCCGCGCGACCCCAACTACGTGCAGATCAGTGTGCAGTGCGCCAAGGTACGCGACGGCTTTGTCCCGCGCCTTTGTTCGCGTCAAAAAAAGTCAATTGCTAACACAATGCACAGATTGAGCAATTCATCGACTCATTGTTCCCGAGACAGGACCCCAAGAAGCTCGGAGATGCGGCGAAACAAAAACAGCGGGGCGAGCCGGGCATGGACCCAGGCGAAGCCTTCATATTGGGCGGCATGGTCCTGCTGACCCTCTTTTTTGTCTCTGCTCTTATGGTCAGTCCAAAAATTTCTTCTCGCTTGTTTTCTCTTCCTTCACCAACCTCTTCTCAACCCTAAACCTCGACACCGCAACTGACACGGCTCAGATTGGAACGGCGTGGTTCTTTGGTGCGCGCTTCGACACGCTCTGGAAGTCGGACAGCGTCTACTGGCCCGGCATGGAGCCCAACGCGGCCAAGCCGTTGGAGCACAAGGAGCTGTAACACCAGACAGACGAGAACAAAAGTTGTTCTTACGCTTCATCTGACTTGTTGACGGTACATATTGATGAGGAGTTTTGCGGTTGCTCTGCCGGTTCCGGTCACGAATATTGAGCCCATACTAATCTTGCTAATACACACCATCATCTACGATGGTTTTTGTGCGCCAAGCCTGCTGTTCGTCGCCTTTTGAACCCACGCCATTGAGATGACTTTTTTTCCAACGAACCCAAGCACGGATGTCAAATTGCAATTCAGTCCCACCTTTTGGTGGTCATGACTGTGGTTGTGCCGAAGAAGTGCTGATATCAAACCCACCGGCAAAGACCTCGTCCACAGCGGCGAGTACGGGGCGGGCGTGTCTTCCACTGTTCCAAGGATGCGCTCTTTTGCTTCGGCTTGCAAACATACTTGAAATGTCCCTGCCGTTATATGTTCGGCGCCGATAGTTTGGATTTCTCAATGTCGCGACTGCCCATCGTCGTCACCATCGTCGTCGTCTGATCCACGGGCATCCTCCCATCGGGTGACAAGACTGCCACCGACGCAGTCATATAAAGCAACGTGGGAAGGAATGACAAGCCTCCCATATCTATATCTCCTTCGGTTCCCCAAATGTCAGGGAAGGCGCGAATCCAAAAGTAAACCCAAATCCCAAATTTCGTCAAGCAGGGGAAGCATGCGGATATGTTCTTGTCATAAGAGTTGAAGACCATGTCGTAGGGCAGAGCTTAGCTAAGACGAGTTAAGGTAATGCGCGCGGTGGCCGCCCTCGCGACACTTGGCTCTTTCTTTTGCATATCGGATGAAAAGTCTCTGTCTCGCACTCGTCCGGCCCCCTTCCCCCCGGACTTTAGCCTTGGGCTGGCCGGACCGAAAGTCTGTACCTTTGACCGTCCCGTCTTTCCCGCGCGCCGCGAGCTGCGAAGCGAAAGGGAGGGGGGAGAAGGGGAGAACCTGGGGGAGGCAGGCACGCTGGATGCGGCTCCTGGAAGGCTTCTCGGCGTTCATGCGCGCCGGCTGGGGAGCTGCCTTTGCCCGTGCGGCGACGCAGCTGACACCCGTTATCGAGGTGCTTTCTGTTCCCCTACGAATAGCCGTTTCTGCATTTGCTGCGATGGATCGCGTTCACGGTAGACTGCCATCGTCGTTGGAAGTCGTCTCGCCTTCTGCCATCCTTCTGCCATTTTGCTTCTTGCTGAGGTCTCGAAGCCGAGTCATTCTGAAGAGTACTCCCGTGACAGCACATCGATATTCGACACGTGGGAAACGAAATAAACCACAATCACAAATAAGACACGCGCAAAGTCAGGACGTCCCCTGTTCCAGCCGTGGTGTATCCGTACCTGGTGGGCTCAACTTTCTTCAGCTGGTTTTGCCTCCTCAGCCTTTTTTTCCCGGCCTCCGTTCCAAGCTGAAGGTGGTTCGTTACAGAAAGCCCCGTGAAGCCCATGACGCCAAGAACTCGGTTCTCCGTACCTTTGCAACATCGAACGCTGGCCCCCGTCGCCCCTAGGGTCATGACAGGCGGACTAGATGGCCCAAGTATCGGGGGTCTGCTTCAGCGTTGTTTTGTTGAAGGGGAGCCCTTTTCGGGGTTTCTCTCTCGCTCTTCCCTTGGACTGTTCAACTTATTACATGGCCTCGATTATTATGGAGAGGAAATCATCCTCGTCTTCGGTTTTCACGCACTGCCCGTGAAGGAAGATCATCGCCACAGGAAACCCACCCCAGAAGCTTTCCTATTTCGGGTTCGGGGTACCGAGACGGTGATGTTTGACTCGCGCTCACAGCTGATCATTCCCATGCCTCTGTCTCTCTCTCTCAGCCTGGACTAAAAGAAGCTTTCGGGAACAAGTCAGCGAAAGCGCGAGGAGGTGAGGAAAGGGAGGCCTGGCCTGGCCTCGGAACCTGTCTTCCGTTCTATTGGGGGAGTCCAGTCCTATCCTTCCCCGTCCCCGTCCCGTTCGTTCGTTGCGCTCGCTACATCATAAGAGGGAGACTTTACACTACCCTCCCGGGCAATTCTTAAGCAACTTTAGCTTTTTCAACTCAACTTTTCTCTTTTTTTTTTTTTTTTGGTCCCATCTCTGTGGTCGAAAAAGCTGCCCCAGCCGACCTTCCGAGCACTCAACTCACGAGACTAGTCAACTTGTGGAAAACCTTGGGGGCCGTCTACAGACCCGAATGCGGTGATGGTGGGCCTGGCCACTGCTGCTTCGGCCGGAGAACTCCCCGCGTGCGAAGGCACACCAGGACAGCAGCGGCGCTAAGTTCATCCCATCCCGTCGTGAAGGTGCCGTGAAACCTTGTTTCGCGTGTGAGAGCGAGCGAAAGTCTTGCCTTGTGTTGTTTTGGCTCTGACCGCTGGACCTCCCCGACGAGGGTGCGCGTGCGTTGAGTAAGTGTAGTGTCGTCATGGCATCATGTCCTACCTAACAAGACTCGGGATGAAATAAGGGAAGGAAGGCTGTGTATGGTCAACGGGATTGTCCAAGTTCGCGATACAAACCCCGGGCCTCGCATCGTATCGGTAAAGATGCAAATGCGAGGAATCTGAAGAATCCACGCAGATTGGGTTTTCCGTCTCCGAGTGCGCGCGTGGGTGACGTTCTTTCGCCTCCCGTCTCATCTCGTTCCAACGGTCCGGTGAGAAGGGTGGGGTTGCTTGGTGATCGTCGTGCTTGCAGATTGTGATGTGTGTATTGGAAGATCGTGATCACGATAGAAGAGTCATGTCACTCGATGGATAGGCAAGAGATGAAGTTAACGTCTTGTAGCTGTCTGCTGTCATTACCTAAGTCTTCCCATCCCTCCCCCGTCGCAAGTAAATACAAGTTTTTGGCTTATAAATGAAAAATGATTCGAGAAAAATCGTTGACTAGACAGGAGGGAAAAGGTTATAAACCCAGGACAGTGAAGAGTTACGAGGAAACCAGCCCCGTCGAGGGTTTTTGTTCTTTTTCTTTGCGTCTTGTCTGTGGAAAGTTTCTTGAAATGCGGTATGGTGTTTGTGTGATGACCTCTTCTTGCTTAAAAGTGTCTTTTTACATACAAGTTATCCCTCTCCCTGGTCGAGAGACGGGACAGGTTTTGCAGTCGAAAAGGCCCGCGCGCCATGCTATGACTGGGTATCCTCTAATAAAATGCCGTGAATATTTTTACTCTCTTCTTTGCGTTTCGTCTCCTCCTCGAACCAAAAAAATGAAGTACACAAGTGTCGCGGATATTAAACCAAGGAAATCGAGGTTAAAGAAAAGACGCCATGTGTGGTTTCATGCTTCGAGCTCTCGTGAAATGGTAATCGGACCAATGAAATAGCTCGCTTAGAGCTGGCCGTTGTTGGCGATGCGGTTGGTCGTGCCGGCAGTGTTCTGCTGGACGGTGGCGCCAGAGGCATCGGAGAGGGCGAGGATGCGGTCGGTGACGGCCTTGACGGTGTTCAGGCCCTCAAGACCCATGAGGTAGGCGGCGAGACCAGCAACGTGGGGAGAGGCCATGGAGGTACCAGAGAGGGTGTTGGTGGCAGTGTTGGAGGTGATGCCGACGGACAGAATGTTGACACCGGGGGCGAAGACGTCGACGGACTGGCCAAAGTTGGAGAAGGAGGCCTTGCGGTCGTTGCGGGCGTCAATGGCACCGACGGTGATGGCGTTAGGAGCGGAGGCGGGAGAGGTGTTGCCGGCGTCCTGGTTCTCGTTACCGGCAGCGACGACGGGGACGACACCGGCGTTGTTGAGAGCCTGGATGGCGCGGTTGACGGCCTGGGAAGCGGAGCCACCGAGAGACATGTTCATGACAGCCTTGCCGGTAAGGTTCTTCTTCTGGACGTCGTCGATAACGAACTGCATGCCCTCGAGGACACCAGAGTTGGAGCCAGCACCATCGCCGTCGAGGACCTTGACACCGATCAGGTTAACGTTCTTGGCAACACCGAAGGTACGGCCGCCAATGGTGCCAGCAACGTGGGAGCCGTGGCCGTTCTCGTCAGTGTCCTAAATCGTGTCAGTTTCCAAGGCGGAATAAGTGTAAGCTGTAAGTACATACGACGCTGTTGATGAAGTTGGCGCCAAAGGTGGCACGGGTCTCGAACTCGGAGTGAGTGGTCATGATACCGGTGTCGACAATGTAGGCGGTGATACCCTGGCCACCTGTCTGGTCAAAGACGTAGCCGGTCTCGCCAGCAGTGGCGTGAGACAGACGGACAAGGCCGGGAGGGGCGTTGGTCTGGGAAACGGTGGCGGACAGCTTGACCTTGGCATCCTGCTCGACGTAGGCGACCTCGTCGGCGCTCATGACGGACATGATGAAGGTGTCGTCGGCCTCCATCGTCATGGCACGCCAGCCGTTCATCTTGAAGCTCTTGGTGGAGGTGGACAGCTCGCGGCCGTCGAGGGCGCGCTTTCCAATGTTGCGCTTCTTGATGGAGGAGATGAAGGACTGCTGCTTCATGTCGATGGCATCGTCGTCGAAGGTGTTGTTGTAGACGACAATGTACTTGTTAGGAATCAGGTCCAGGGCGTCGAGGTTGGAGATGGGAACACCCATGAAGGAGCCGGATGTGTTGGTAGAGCTGGAGCTGCCTCCGAGGCCGAAGGGGGCGGCAAGGCCGAGAGCGGGCAGCAGAGCCGCGACGAAGGTGGAAACGGCGCGAACCATGTTGGGCGAGATGTGTATGTAAATACGGGTTGTTGATATTTAAGCAAGGAAGGTTTGTACGGGAGAGAGCTAGCTCGTCGTCGTGTTTGGTGTGTTTAAGAAGCGAAAATATGAGACCGCTGGTCTGTGAGCAAAAAAGTCGACGGCTGGAAAGAGGTCGTCGAGGTGTGCGTGGGAGTGAGTGAGTCGTGGTCGAGCGACGGAAGGAGTGCGATGTTGAGAGAAGATGCAATAAGGGATCCGGATACCAGTCACGACAAAAAGCCTTTGTTACGCTCTTGATCTCAAGTCAAAAAAGCCCGAACCGGAGTAAAACAAATATGATAAAAGAATAGGCGAAGAAGTAGACGGTTGTTGTTGGAGAGAGGAGGAGGTATAGCTATCCGGCCGCACGGGAGACGTGGGAGCTGACTGATGGATATACTAAAATGGAGAGAGGATTGGAGGGAAGGAAGATGGAAGCAACAAGAGAGAGAGACGGAGCAAGAAGATAAAAGACGGAAGGCCAAGCACAGCTGGGTCTGGATGGAGGTTGAGAGAAGTAACTTAAGTATAACGACGGGCCACGAGGAAAAGAAGGGGGGACGAAGTGGACGACAGGACTAGGGGACGGGAGCGAGCCGGGGGGGGGGGGGGGCAAGCGGTACATCAGGTACCTGCATCTGCGGTCTGCGCTGGAGCAGCTGGGCCATGCCTTGCCTTGCCTTGCCTTGCCCTGTATGGGAATGGGAAGGGGTGGACATGGACTGGGACCTGACCCGGGGTGGGAATCAGAGGACTGGGGCCCTTGAGAGCAGGGGTGGATCAAGTGTGGATGGGGGAGGGCTTGTGCTCGTGCAAGAAGACGGACAGGCCAGGCCGGGGTTAGGAGCAACGACCGATGGACTAAGGTATGGATACAAGAGGCAAGAGGGTGAGTGGGAACAAGGGACAGAGGCGAGGCAGAGGCAGAGAGACGAGAGAGAGAAAGACGGGGACAGTGCTCTTTGCACAAAGTGAATAAGGCCTTGGACCCATGGACTCCAAGAAGACAAGGAGCGAGAGCCGAGAAAGAGACGAGAAAGACAAGAGAGGGGAGAGACAATGCTGCAACTGCGCTGAGAGCGAAAGAGAACTCACTCACTCACTCAGACCAAAGCAAGAGGCAGAGAAAGACCAGACCAGACAAGAGATGCAAATGCAGCAGGAGGTATAGAGTACGTACCGGGTCTGCTGTGTCTGCTTGTCATGGCTTGGGCTTGGCTTTGGGTCGACTGCATCCGAGACTTGGCAGGCAGGCTGTTGCATAGATTTCCATAGCAGAAGCAGGAGGCAGAGGGAGGCAGTGGCAGTGACAGCATGCAATCACAGCCGTAGTACCTTAAGGTGGCCATTGATTACCCTCGGGGAAGGGAACAGACACCAGACCACCAGAGAGCCAAGTACCAAGCGCCTTAGCCAAGTACCCTTCCACGCACGCGCAGTCTCAAAGTGAGATCAACAGAGCAGCAGAGAGTCTTAGCTCCCCTCGGCTGGCCTCGCGGGTCCCTGCACAATTTTCCCTCATTATTTCCTTGTCGTTGTAGCGCCGATTTGTTGCCTCTTGTCTTTACTCGGGAGGGTGTAGTGTCTCTCGGGAGCAGGCCGCTGACACTAGGCTAAAATGTGAGGTGCTGGTGAGGTGCATGTCGAGGTGTGAAGGGGTACCGACATGTCGCCTAGTCGCAGATGCTGAGGTCCATTATCCATTAGGTACCTAAGGTAAGGTAGGTAAGGTGGTATGGGTGGTTGCTGTATTGAAATGGGGGTCCTGCTAATGCTGCTGACGACCGACCCTTCGTCATGAATTATTTTCGGGCTGCGAGCGACTCGGCGTGCGTGCCAGGTCCCAGTCGAGTTCAATCCGGCCCAGGGCGCCAAAATCAGAATCAAAATCAAAATCAACCTCCACGAGGAGGTGGCCATTGGCAGGGTGCCAGGGTCGTTGATTGCCGGGGCGCCACACACACTGCACGCTTTTTTAGTGCGTCGTGGTGCTGGGGGACACACACCAACGCAGGCCAACCATCCCTGGCACGCCGTCGGTGACGTGCGGCGAAAAGAATGGGATGGAGGGACTGGTTGGTGTTGACGAGATGGATTTGACGATGAGATCTCGGTGACTGTCCACCCGTGGTCTGGCCCAGTCATCCTTGACAGCTGAGAAATGCAAATAGCGAACCCTTCGAGACGTCTGCAATACTTCGGACCAGCAGCAAGCGTTGAGGATGTCTTCAGTTGGGAGGAAACAGAAACAAGCAAGTCTGGGGGAGGAAAAGAGGCGCATCGAGCAGAAACATGCCGTCGCAAACCGCCGCCTCCTAGGCCTGTACCACGCAGGTTGCAGCAAATGAGTGCCGCAGCCACACGCGCGTAAGTCTGAGAGAGAGAGACAAAAAAAAAAAAAAAAGGACAGAAGCAAACATGCAGTTTGCAGATGCCGTTGGCCACAGCCGCCGAGAGGGAGCAGAGCAGGAGCAGGAGCAGGAGCAGCGAGACGACGACGCCGTTTCGATGTGCAGCAACGAGACGCCCGTCGCTGTGGATGGGCTCATCTGATTGGTTCCCGCCGCCCGGGTTCGTCAGCGTCGTCGTCTTTTCGGTGGACGCTGGACGCCAGAGTGTGAAATGGAATGTCTCTCTCTGTTTTGGCTGTTTGGGATGCTTCCTTGGGGTATTCTTTTTCCAGAATCCAGCGTTGCTTCCGTCTCAAACCCGGACATGGCCCTACCTAAACCTGGGCTGGGTCTGGACCTGAACCGTTCCTTCCCTCATCGCAGTTTCTTACGGTTGCCTCGCTCCCTCCCATCTTCCTTGAGGCAGGAGGTGGTGACCTGATCTGAGGTGAGGTCCTTCCTGCTGCCGCCGTTGCTCTTGCCATTGCTGTTGCTGTTGCTCCTCCCCTTTTGCCCCTGGAAAAATCTGGCAGGAAGGTGCCTTCCTCGTTACGGACAGTAGCGCCTGCCCTTCTGCAGGGGCAAGTACGTATCTGACGGAGGCTAGTCCCGAGACGGCAAGGCGTCGAGCGTAGCGGTTCCCTATCTGGGCGCTGCTGCAGCCAAGCGCGCTTGTGAGTGGCCGTGCCAAGTCAAACAAGCCCAACGCCTGGAGACGCTGGTCGTCGATCCTCCCCACTGGGGCCTGTTTCGACCCTGTCATTTCCATAAATCTGTAACGCCCACCTCGCCTCCATTCTGGCTGCTTTCCATTTCGCTGGCGCTCTGCGTGTCCCACCGAGAGTGCACTCAATCAACACGACGACGGAGTTTAACCGTCAGACACTGAATCACTGACTTATGGCTCACTTGGCTTGCTGACTACTGAGATGCACACTGCCTGCCCCAACTGCACCTGACTCCCAGGAGGCGCGGTGCACCAGAGCTGATGCTGATGCTGACAGCCTGGCACTGATGACACTGACTGACTGCGAGACTGTGCAACTGTCAAACCCAGCCTTACGTACACCCATGCCTACTCTATGCCTCCCTCAACACCCGACATCGCCAATACTATGCAAGTGCACACCACAAGCGTATTGTCTCTTGGCTCGGCTTGGGAGGTTGCGAATCGCATTCGTCGTCGATACCCTCACAAGTCGCAGCCTCGCAACATGCCACCTCTTGGCTCGTTTCCGTCAGCATCACCAATATGTCTTGACTCTGCGCTATTCCTCTGGGCTTGCGTCTCCTCCTTCCTTCCCCTCCTGCCTCATGCAAAACCCTCTCCTCCGATGAGTACCATAGTAGCAACACATCCCAAGACCACACGTTGTCTCAACCGCTTCGCAGCCATCTCGCAGATACGCTTTGCATCTGCAGCCATCAGTCGACCCGTCATCCATTCCCCATCCCCATCTCCGCATCCCAATTCTTCTCTCCGATTTCCCCATGCAGTGCACACCTTCGTCGGTCATCAACAACACCTTCCACACCCCCATCTCGGTCCCGTCGTCGACTGGCCCAGACGGACTCCGCCATCCCGGCAACGAAGCTTTTCTTCATTTCATCATGACGGTCCTCTACATATCGCTAAAGCCCATATCCCGTCCAACCCGTAATGACGATGCATGCATGCATACCTGCTCTCGTCCCCCTCGTCGAGCGGTCCCGTGTACTGGACTGGCTGCCGTCTGCCGAATCCCGTCGTCCCCTCTCTTGGCATCCCTGATCTCGCCATGTGTGCACGCCCATCCCGCGGCGAGGTCCACGAGTTCCTTGCCCGGCACCGAGACGCCATACCCACGGCCTCTCCGCTCCTTCTTGCCCTCACGTCACTCACACCACGCTGACCGACTGATCGATCCCGCTGTGTAAGCAGCTCTAAAAAAGCGACCTCCCTCGCCCCTCCTCGAATGCTTCCTCCGAGGCACGTCCGGCCCCCCCTGGCTCGTGGGTGATGAACCGACTAACGTGCGGCTCGGCGTGTAAGCCAACGGCGCAAGCCACACGCCGTCGCCGCAGCCTGGCCTTCTCGGTGCTTGAGCCGCCTCGCGCAATTTTAAAGGGGAGATATCAAAAAGCAACTCAGTGCAACACCAAGCATCCAATGGCGTTGTCTAGTCTTCACCTCCAGGACTCTGTGTAATATCGCGTCCTCAATGCAAGTCCGCATGGCACATCATGCAAAACGCACAATCACCCAAACCTGAAGGGCGAGAAAAAAACATCTCATCACCTCGGCCGCTCGTGTTCTCAGGCCCGCATCCGTCCCATAGCGGAACATGCAAACCTCAGCAATACGACCTTCGAGGAGCTTCTTTCGAAACCGTTGAAACCCGTGAACCTCCCTTTCTCGCGTCCGAACCCTGCCCTTCTGTCACCGTCCCCCCTTCCCCTCCCCTTTCGCACCCTAAACTCCGGGGCGACGCTTGGGGGGTGCTGCAGCAGCAGCAGGAAGGGGGGTCACGTCAACGTCAAAACAGGTTAAACCACAGACGCTCCGCCCGTCAATCTCCCGCGACAATCCCCAAGCACCCCCTCGTC